TGGCTCACCTACCTGCTGACCGACTTGGGCGAGCCGCCTCGTTCTCCTCCAGTTCTGTACGTCGACAACAAGGCCATGATTGCCTTGTGTTAGGAGCACAGACTGGAGCACAGAACGAAGCACATCGCTCTGCGCTACTTCCTTGCTCGAGAGTTGCAGCAGCGTGGTCAGCTTCGTCTTGTCTACGTGGCCTCTCTGGCCAACATAGCTGATGTCTTCACCAAGGCACTTCAGCCTTGTGATCATCAACGTTTCTGTACTGTTCTAGGCCTTGTGCCTACTTGGCCTCACTTGCTCACTTCTTGAATTTGCTTGTACTGTGATTTATATACTTATACCTGCATGCTTCCACTTGCTAGGTTTTGATCATTGTACTTCTTGTTCTGCTTTATATGACTCTGCATGTGAACTGGCCTTGTGGCCATTTGCTTGTGCTCAGAATATGTGGTGACGTTGTGATCCACCCTGAGCTTGACCTTGTCTCGTTCACTTGCTCGTCCCCCACTTCTAGGTAAAAGCACAGGTGCAGCAGACACCAAAGCACAGGTGCCTATGGGGGTGTGTCAGAACTATGCTCTAGGCTGTAGTGGGGCACTCCTTATGGGGTACAGCCCAAATTAGGTTTTGCCTATACAAACCTTGTACTGCTCTCTTTCTAGTCATTCTTTCCTTCACATTTCTGACACATCCATTCGTCGCTTCAGTTCCTGCGGTGACTCTGGCACCTTGCTACCTGCCGAACCGCTTGCCACTTCGTGTCGCTCAGCCCCTTCCGGCGAAGCGCCTTGCTCGCAGCTGGCAGCTCGCTGTTGCCACTCGGCACACCTCACCTCACCCACTCCAGGTGCGGCCTCTCCTCTACAAAATTCACAACGCCACATACTATGCCCAAATCTCGGTTTTCCCCATCTTTGCGCACTAACCATTGCACGAGCAATAGCTACGGTAACTTGAAACAATGCTTCGGAGGGTAAGCATTGCTGAACATCTGCTGAAAGAGTGGAATACAATGTCCCCCCTTACCCATTGTCTCTACAGCTGCTAGCAGTTCCGCATCGAATCAGCCCCGCACGTGCAAATTCGGTATGGTACAGTGAATTTACTTCGGTTGTGTTAAATGCAAAGTGGTGTCGTACCTGCATGAATCAGAGATCTGAATTCGCATTCAAATGAATATAAATTTCAAGGCGTTGTAACAAAGCAGGCTGTAGCGACTTTTGAATCAGATAAGGTGCTGCTGACGCGTCGGAAATCAGCGTCACTTCTCAAGGTGCGCTGTCACAATCAAATGTGACAGAGCGGATGTGGTTTGGACCAGTGCGGCGAAACTAAACACAAATGACGTAGGGATTCCATATCGCCAAATTCGTCAAGCTGCCGCTGAACACAAATAGCGTAGGGTTTCCAAATTAGCCAAATTCGTCAAACCACACCATGTTTGAACGATCTCGCAAACCATTTCGTGATTTTGCCAATCCTCACGTGTGACACAACACCACATGTCAGAATGTTATATTGTTCTAGTCTGCAGTGGGGTACTCTATAGTGAGTAGCCCTGTTAGGGTTTGCTATATGTACTCAACTGCCTGCTAGTGAAACCCCTCTTTCTTGTTCTAACTTTCTGCTTACGATTCTGACATGGTATCAGAGCGAGTACGCTCTTGGCCTGTGGGCCCACCTGCTTCCGCTGCTATCCTGTCTGTCGTGCGCCCCGTGGCGCGCGACGTTTTTTCTTCCCGCCACGCGCTCGAGGCGCATGGCGGTTTTCTGCCCGCCGCGCGCTCGAGGCACGCGGCGGTTTTCTGCCCGCCGTGCGCCCCGAGGCGCGCGGCGGTTTACTACCTCACGCGGCGCCCCGGGGGCCCGCGCGCTGCCCTGCCCGTCGCCCGTCGAGGCGCCCTGGGGGCCCGCGCGCCCCCCCCCCCCCCCCCTCCTGTCGCCCGTCGCGGCGCCCTGGGGGGCTGCGCGTCGCCCTGCCCGTCGCCCGTCGCGGAGCCCTGGGGGCCCGCGCGCGTTGCCCCCTCTCCCGTCGCCCGTCGCGGCTCCCTGGGGGCCCGCGCGCCGCCCTGCCCGTCGCCCGTCGCGACGCCCTGGGGGGCCGCGCGTCGCCCTGCCCGTCGCCAGTCGCGGCGCCCTGGGGGCCAGCGCGTCGCCCCTCCTGTCGCCCGTCGCGGCGCCCTGGGGGCCCGCGCGTCGCCCCCTCCCGTCGCTCGTCGAGGCGCCCTGGGGGCCCGCGCGCCGCCCCGCTTCCGCTCACACGCCACCCCAGCTGCTGCCCGCGTTTCTGCCCTACGTTGGGGGTATGGGGGTGGCGGGTATGGGGGTGGCGGGTGTGTGAGCCGTCCCCTGCTCCTCCTCCTCCTCCGTCTCCCACTGCTGCAGCTGCCGCTGAGGGGGGTGGGTGTGTGGGAGCCGAGGGAGTGACGTTAGGGGGGTGACGTGGGAGTGGAGCTAGGGGTGCAGCACGGGGTGTGTGAAAGGGGTGTGGGACAGTTGGGGGAGGTTGGGCAGAGGTAGCCGTCGTGTCGCCAGCAGCGCCAGTAGTCCGGAGGCTACGATCTTCGGTAGCCCAGCGAGCCTGTTGAGCCAGTTGCCCGTGGGTCCGTTGCTCCTGCCGCTCAGAGTTAGCCGCAGAGCCAGTTACTCCTGTAGTCCGGGGCCCTTGCTCCGGTAGCCACCGTGCACGCCGCTCCTGTTGCCCGTGTGTCTGCAGCTTCACCCGTCGCCTCCTATCTCCACTCCTCTCACAGTCCCTCCTCCTCCTCACTTGCCCTCTGTGACTGCCTCTAGCTTTGCTTGTACTTGTGAACATGCTCTGTGACTGCTTGCTGTGCTAATTATACCCCACTTTGACTATGGGGGTGTGTCAGAATGTTATATTGTTCTAGTCTACAGTGGGGTACTCTATAGTGAGTACAGCCCTGTTAAGGTTTGCTATGTGTACTCAACTGCCTGCTAGTGAAACCCCTCTTTCTTGTTCTAACTTTCTGCTTACGATTCTGGCACCACACTACTACCTTCTGGTGTGCGAGATGCTCCTCTCCCCCTCCTTCAAACTCCATCTTTCAGCTCGCCACCTCTTCATTTTCACGTCTTGGAAATTTAGTCCACCGTTTTATTCACTCACTCAGCTTCCTCTCTCCTCTGGTTGTTCCTATATATCCGATTCTGCCTCATATGCGCGTTGTAAATATTTGTGTCTTACTGTTCTTGCACCCTCCCGCTTGCAGGCTATTGAAAGACTGCTGTGGCGGACGGTTCTTCTTTGAAGTTTAACTTGCCGTATGAAACTTGCGATTATAAACCTTGTCACGCCCCACGCCCGCTGGTAAATTAATGACTAGCTCATGTGAGTTTTGGATTCACCTATATACGCCTTGTCTACTCCGCTTGTGAGTAGTTGTTTCTTTGCAGAATACCAGCGTTGTGATAACGCTCTATTCCCGCGACTTCCGTGATTATCGCCACGAGTCTGAGTTTTATTTTCAAGCTGATATTTTCCAGAAGTTTTTTCGCCATTTTATCGCCGAGCAAATCACGGTTCTTCTCACAGTGCATTTACCTTGCATATCAAGGTCATGACTTATCGGTAGGTTCATGAATCATGTCGTTTACGTTTGCTGTGTTGACCTAAATCTGCTGCGTGTGCTACTGTCTGCATAACTCTCGTCCGGCTTGAAATAAGCTACTGTGCATCATTGTTGCATGATCCTTGTGATGTGTAGATGTTGTAGGATGTTGGGATCTGTAATTGGTAAGGCCAACCAGGTATTGTAATCATGTTTGTCAGAATGCTAATTACGGTATATGACCACGACCTATACGTCTCTATATTTATTGGCATGTAAATTTTATGAAATCAACACAGCATTACATGGGACACTTGCTGCTTAACAACTAAATATGGCATGATCTGTTTGAATCACTAGTAAACTTAAATCAATACAGCTTTGTATATACATATGACAAATGTATCTGCACTTTGAACAGTACCAACCACCACGCACATATTCAAGTTATTCAGGTTCGGTAGCGCCCGAGCCACGCAGCAACTTTCCTATTGGTGTAGGAATCCCGAGCCACAGAATTTTGCTTGGCGCAACTTCAAACTCGCGCCGCGCAAACCAACACATACCCCCACGTAACCCCAACGCAACGGCCCCACCCAGCGCACGCGAGGGCTGGGGTATGTTTGGAAGTATCGTCAGCAAACATACCCCCCAAGCGATTGCATTTTTGGGATGTCCCTTCCCCCTTTGCCATCACCTCCCATCAATTCTTGCCAGCACCTCTCATTACCCCTCTGTCATCACCTCTCATTCCCTCCTTGGATCACGCTCTGCGATTTAGGAATTGTACATACTGGGAATGTCAAAAGAGTCCGGGCAGACATCGCTTTGCACTGTACCTACCACACTAGAGGTCTTCGATAAAGAACGAAATAAATATTGGCTGTCATCCTGCTATAGCTCAGTTGGTAGAGCGGAGGACTGTAGTAAAGCAATCCTTAGGTCACTGGTTCGAATCCGGTTGGCGGGATATTTTTTTCTTGAATTAGTAGTCCTTTATAGACGTGGAACGTCTTTACGGTAAAACTTCCGAACATGCAGAAACAACTAAATCACATTCTCAGTGTATCACTCTTTTTCCCATCCTCTGCTGCTGGTCACGCCTCTCTCTGTTTCCTGCTGTATTGCACCTAGTATTGTGTTTTTAGTGTTAGCTCGCTTCTGTGGTATATAAAGTCCGAGCACTGTTTTCCCCAACGTCTTATTCCACTAGTGGCTCTTATTGCCGCATTGCTTGTGACTGGCACAAGTTTGCTGACGTGGAATGCCATCATCAACTACATTCCACTCCTCCCTCCTCGCTCAGGAGTTCGCTTCAACGTTATTCCCTCACTCCCCTCCACACTCCCTTTCTCTTCTCAGGCCAAAAGTACTCTCCTTATACCAGTGATGTGGAGCCCAACTGATCCCTGCAGCATACAGCCGGGCGGCATGGTAGATCCATGGGCTGCAGCAACAACAGTCGTGGCGGTGAGTTTGGTCAATCGCGAGTTCGTGGAGGCGGACAGGAGGGAAGGAGGCGTGGATGTGAGATTGTGACAGAGTGGGGTTCACTGAGCGCTCCTCATTGCTTGCTGAAATGCGCAGCTCTTAGTTTCCATGTGAAGAATGGAGGGGTGCAAGGTGGTGCCGTATATGAAGGTGCGTTCAAGCAAGTAGAGTGCTTTCTGACGAACCAGCATGAGTTTGCTTATTCACCCGCATTCTCTTCCCTCCACCACTGCTGTGTACACCTTACAATGTTCTGAGCATGCTTTCAGGTGCCTGACTGGCACGGCAGTGTCACATGTCTCGCTCCACCAGCACACCCATGGGATGGGATTGCTTCACTGCAAGATTGCCACATGTATCCACCTCCCTGCCTCCCCCAACCCTTTACCACGACACTCGTTCTCCTCCCATCTATATGTATCTGATCTCCTCCCATCGCATTTCCCACGTCCATCCCCTTGCCTTTCTCAAAACACGTCGCTTTCCAGCAGCTCAATCGCGGCTTTGCCAATTTCCCGGATCTTGACAGTAGTCGTTCTTCCACCATTGTGGTGGTGAGAAGTTAGAGAGGGTGAAGCGGCACAAGGAGCTGACCACCCCACAAACCCCCTCCTGGGTGGGTGGCATATGACCGGTGAGGTAAACATCTCACTCCTCGCCACCCCCCATTAACCCCCCCTTTCCCCCCTCCCTCCCATCTCCTTTCGTGTCCCTCCCATCTAGCATCCTTTCTTCCTCTCCCTCCTGTCATCTCCCTTGTCTCCCCACTCTTTCTCTCCCTCCTTTCCTATTTCCAATATCCACATTCCACCCCATTCCCTATTTTCTCTTCCTCGTACCCAACATCCGCCGCCACTCCATTCAGCTCTTACAACGCCTGTGCCTCTCCTCTCTATCCTCCCCTCCTGCCTTTTAACCAGCTTCCAGCAGTTTGATCATACGATCCACCATGCCCTTCATCTCATCATGCCGTTCCCTTCATCTCATCATGCCATGCCCTTCATCTCATCATGCCATGCCCTTCATCTCATCATGCCATGCCCTTCATCTCATCATGCCGTTCCCTTCATCTCATCATGCCATGCCCTTCATCTCATCATGCCGTTCCCTTCAACTCATCATGCCATGCCCTTCATCTCATCATGCCATGCCCTTCATCTCATCATGCCGTTCCCTTCATCTCATCATGCCATGCCCTTCATCTCATCATGCCGTTCCCTTCATCTCATCATGCCGTTCCCTTCATCTCATCATGCCATGCCCTTCATCTCATCATGCCGTTCCCTTCATCTCATCATGCCATGCCCTTCATCTCATCATGCCATGCCCTTCATCTCATCATGCCGTTCCCTTCATCTCATCATGCCATGCCCTTCATCTCATCATGCCGTTCCCTTCATCTCATCATGCCGTTCCCTTCATCTCATCATGCCATGCCCTTCATCTCATCATGCCGTTCCCTTCATCTCATCATGCCATGCCCTTCATCTCATCATGCCATGTCCTTCCTCTCATCATGTCATCCCTTCCTCTCATCATGTCATCCCTTCATCTCATCATGTCATGCCCTTCATCTCATCATGTCATGCCCTGCATCTCATCGTGCTATGTCCTTTATTAACATTCACCCCATTCATAAACAAACTGGTCTTCCCTGCAATGCAAAACTCAGATGTTGTTGTGTGTCACCACAACTCACCACGGCGCACAGATTTGCTTCGCATTGGTCACCACATCTCACCACGATGCACAGATTTCCTTCATATTGGTCATTACATCTCACCACGGCGCACAGATTTGCATCATATTGGCTACCTTATTCATATCAGTTACAATCACTGCACAAAACAGCGTGAAAGGCAAGAGAAGGTTAGGCATGAGAGAAGGGCAGGCATGGGTGAAGGGCTGGCATCGGTGAATCGGCAGGCATGGGTGGAGGGCTGGCATGGGTGAAGGGCAGGCATGGGTGGAGGGCAGGAATGCATGTGTTGCCTCTCTGCTGCCACGATCAATCAACCAACCTACAAGGAGGGGGGCATGTGTGGAGATGAGGGAGAAGGGACAGGAATGGGGTGGGGTTGAGCAAGAGACAACAGGAGGCGAGGCACATACATGAGCAGCACAGAGGGGGGAAAGGCACAGAGGGAGGAATTGGCGATATGAGAGGGCAGAAGAGGTGTTGCCTGAAGGTGCGTTAAGTACTGCTGCTTGGCTGGATTGGTGGTGGAGCACATGGGAGGGTGATGGCGGGCAGAGGAGGAGGACCTGAATTGGGGAAGGCGTTTGGTTTATGAACAGGGTGGATAGAAAGAGAGTTACAAAGATAGGAGAGGACGGGGAATGGGAAGGGGAGGAAGAAAACGGAGGTGCGTCGGAGGTTCAAAGGATTTGTATGACACCTGATCCTGGTGGAAGGTCAGCTCCTGGTGCTGCTTCACCCTCTTTTGCCCTGTCAACCCATACCCAGCCAGAGTTGCGCAGGATAACCTAGGTCAAATTGTATTGCATATGCAGGTTATAATTTAACATATCTGGGGTAAAACTGAACCGTCCCTGCAGGTTTTATCCTAGCCTGGGCCCAACTAAACCAGAACTGCAGATTTGGCCGTAATTTGGGACGGGCCTGCAGCATGACTGGAGGCGGGCCAATGGACCATCGGCTAAAAAAAAAATATGTGCAAGGACCCATACGGATGGCCCGGGCCATGCATGCCCGTTTTGAGAGCCAGAAGAGCAAAGTTGGGGCTCACTACGCTCGTTTCCTGCTCTATCACCCCATCTAAGAGCTAAGCCATTACCTTTTTAAATGGACGCTAGCGCATGCGGTTTGGTTGTCCATACACATTCAGCCCAACCAACCCTTGGTCGGGCCAAGAGTCAGCCAGGGTTTAAAATGCCCGGGCCGGGCGTGTTCGATTTCAATCCCACCCAGGTTCCAGCTCGACCTGGGTCGGTGTGGCTACACCCATGCTCATGCTTACTGGTGTGAGAAGAATGAACGTCGCACAGCAGGCTAATGGATGCAGAAGAATCTAAAGTAGGATTGGAGAAGGAAGGGTGTTGTGGGGCAAGGGGATGGAATAGGAATGTTGGAAAAGGGGACTAGGAAAACACGGCTGGATGGGAGGTGAATGGGTGTGGCTGCAAAGGGAGGGGGGACAGGGGATAGGGGAGATGGGTGGAAGGATAGGGTATGTCAGCAGTTGAGCAATCCGATGGGTATAATGATGGTGATGGTCATGGAGACATGTGGCAGTGCGGTAAAGGATAGTTAGTGGATCTGAAGTTTTAAGACTATAGGCATTCAATTGCCTCACAATGTATAGTGTTGGCAGAGACGCTAGAAGGACAGAGAGACAGAAGTCCATAGTTGACTTATGGCTCTAGCTCAACTAGATGTCTTGTTCAGTCTCAACCATCTGCATCCCTCTGCCCTGTAGTTGGAGCAATACAAACATGATATACGCACCTTCAGTCATGGCATGAGATGCTTGAAGCCAACACCTGCTGTCAAAATGTCACATCGATAGATATTTCTGACTCACCCTTCTCTCCCACGCCTCCCTCCTGCATGCCTGCCCACTGCTACCCCACTCTCTGCTGACCACCTTCACCGCCGCTACTGCTGCTGCTGCTGCTGCCAATGGCTCTGCCATTCCACCCAGATGTTTGTCACAGCGATGGGCTGGGCTCCTGATAGCTAGTACAGGGCAGTGCTGTTGGCGTGGGAAGGGGACGCGAGTGGGAAGGAGTGGGGAAGAGGGGGGGATAGGGGCATACTCTGAGCGAGGAGGGGGGAATGGAATACGAACTGGGGTAACACAAATTTCTCCATACATAAGCAAATCAGCACCAGGTACGGAAGGGAGAATGCAAGAAGCGAGGAGGTGTGGGCAGGATCAACGGATGGAAGATTAATCAGAGAGATAAGAAAATTCTATCAGATTTATCCGCCTACTCTGCTTTTCTCACCTCTCTGATGGCACATTCCCTGCTTGCCATCAACTGAGAAACCATCTGCAGTTATGGCACGTGATGATGCCACTGCTCGCACCACTTCAAATTTTCACGGAGCTAAATATCCCAGCATCACCAGCATCCAAAGACCAGCATCCAGCTAACACGTGTCACCCACTTCTTGTGTAAATGTACTCTCTCCTGGCTCTGCCATGCTGTGTGTCGCAGCAATAAGCTGGGCACCTCATGACTAGTCTACAGAAGGTGCTATTGGTGCTGGAAAGGGGGGAGGGTTTGGTGGGGAGAGCGCACAAGTTAGAGGGGTACTTCAGAGCGAGGAGGGAGGCATGCAACAGTTGATGATAATGCATCAAAACAATGGAAAGTCGACGGAAGGGACGGGGTTGCGGAGAACGAATGCTCAATGGGAGGGACAAGAAAGACGACAATATGTAAGGGGATAGGGTAAACATGGGGTGTTTGTGGGGTGGCACCTTGAGACGTCACCAGTCATGACGTCATACGTCAGCTCCATCTGCCCCCTCTTCCCCCCCCACCCACCCACCCACCACGGCGACTAGTGTTTTCAACCACACATGCTTTGGTGGAGTGTGCAAGCACCTGTAAAGAACATACGGATGGGTTTGGCAGAAAGCAAGGCCGTTTGAGACAAGGAGGGGACGCATGTGGGAAAGGCGAGGTAACTCATATAATCATTTTGGGGAAAACGGGTGCGGCGACCAAGGGTGCGGGGAGGCTGGGAGGAAGGGGAGGGGGGTGGAGGGATGTGCAAGTATGTAGTGGAAGTAAAAATGGGAGGGGAGATGGAGGAAGTTATGGGACGTAGAGAGATAGGAAGGGAGGTGGCTGGCTGAGCATGATGTTCAATTAGCTGGTAATCGTTGCTGCTGGTCATGTTTCCTAGCACCAGGCAAACCACTAGAGGTGTTGCAAATACATTCTACAGTAATACCACTGCCTAATATCTGTCAAGTGCGGATGAGGTAGTACAACGGAGGGGCTGCCATTTTCGCTTTGAGAGATTGGAGCGAGGGAGTCAAGGGGTGCGAGTGAGGAGGCGGAGCACGGCAGGTGGGACTGGGTGAGTACGAGTGGGAGGAGGGCTGGGAATGCTTTTGTGCTGGGTTCATGCAATGCACCTTTGAGGAGGAGCGGGCATGTCGCGATTGGATGACATCATCACGGCATCATGAGGAGGATTGCATCATCATGGCGTCATGAGCATGATGGCATCATCACGTGCTCCACGCATCATGCTTCACGTGGCATTCCGCAGCAACAGGTGGGGCGTACCGCGATTGCTATTCAGGCTCAGAACATGCTCTGCTGACGTCTAACATGGATGGAGGTGAGAAAATCCGAGATGGATACAAGGCACCTTAGCCACTGTGGCGAAGGAATTGAAAATGTTCTTTATCCTCCCTCCCCACCCTCGCATCCCATCCCTTGTCCTGCATAGTATGACATTTCTGGCGCTAGGTGAATCTGAGCGCTAGAGAATGGAGCAGAGCTAGAATATGAAGTTGTCCACTTCGCGACCTTCATGCTCCCTCTGATTCTTGCAAGTGCTTGTACACTTCTTTGAATTACATGAAGTGAAACACTTTGCGCCACCCTAAACCCCTTCCCCGAGCCTCTAGGCATCTGGGAGCTCCTCCACACCATCGAGGGAGGGGCCGAAGTGCTGTAGACAAGTGCTGTAGTTGGTGCTAGAAGTGTTTGTGATCGATATACCTACCGTATTGTATTGCCCTCCCGTTGTATACCACTGCCATCTTGCCTCAACTCTCCACTCGTAACATGCAGCTGTTTAGTCCTACCATCTACCATACCTTCTCATCATTCCTACACCACCTGCCACACCACTCTCTGCTCTTCCTACAAGCCTACCAGCATCATCTCTCCCTACCCGCCCTCTCTCTCCCCTTCGCCCTTCACCTTTCTCTCCTCTTCCCTCCTTGTGAAGCAGCATTGGTAGTGGGGTATGGAAGATATGGCTGCTGGAGGTATGATTGGACACTTGAGGCATCTGATGCGAAGTATCCCAGGTATGGGTGCTGGCGGCACTGAAATCGCTGCACTCACTGCTTCTGGTGGCAGACATAACTTGGAGGTGAGAGGGAAATTGGGAGGTGCGAGGGCACTTGGGAGGTGAGAGGGAAATTGGGAGGTGCGAGGGCACTTGGGAGGTGAGAGGGAAATTGGGAGGTGCGAGGGCACTTGGGAGGTGAGAGGGAAATTGGGAGGTGCGAGGGCACTTGGGAGGTGAGAGGGAAATTGGGAGGTGCGAGGGCACTTGGGAGGTGAGAGGGAAATTGGGAGGTGAGAGGGCTACTCGGCATGGTCGCCGGATCGCTGATTCTGATCCTTTCTTACTCCTCCTCGCCCATCCGTTGCTGCTGGGTATGCCTGCCTGCCTTTGAAACATTGCCTATCCTCACCTGTATGGCATTTTTGGCTTTAGTTGTTGATGCGGCAGAATGAACCTAAGCACTGCGTTCCAATGTGCCGTTCCAATATTGACTTCATGTAAGTAGGTGGGAGGATGCACTGCTACATTGTGCTAGTAGGTGGGATGTGATGCCTCTGAATCTGAGCGTTGCTTTCCCAATACCATCAACACTCATCCACCGCTTCCCTTCTCGCCCTGATTTATGCCCTGTGCACTCTCCCCCCAGGTTCTCTCCAATTCGAACACCATCAGCACCGCACCATCATTGCTGCGGCATACAGCATGGCAGCGCGGTGGAGCCACGAAGTGGGTTCACGAAGGTGACAAATTTGTCGTGGGGCTAAGAGCGGGGCAGCAGCAATGGTGTGCCATTGAGTGAGTGCGTGTTAGGTGCACACTGGTCTTGCATGCTGATCATGTGGGGCTTTTAGCCTCAACATTAAATAATATGCGGGCTAATTATGTGTGTATTCTCATCTGAAAGCAGGCATGGCGACGTGCTAATGCGGAGGAACCTCGCATCCCCCCCCTACCATCACCTCACATCCCCCCCCTACCATCACCTCTCATCCCCCCCCTACCATCACCTCGCATCCCCCCCCTACCATCACCTCTCATCCCCCCCCTACCATCACCTCTCATCCCCCCCCTACCATCACCTCGCATCCCCCCCCTACCATCACCTCTCATCCCCCCCCTACCATCACCTCTCATCCCCCCCCTACCATCACCTCTCATCCCCCCCCTACCATCACCTCTCATCCCCCCCCTACCATCACTTCTCATCCCCCCCCTACCATCACCTCTCATCGCCCCCCTAGCATCACCTCTCATCCCCCCCCTGCCATCACCTCTCATCCCCCCCCTACCATCACCTCTCATCCCCCCTCTGCCATCACCTCTCATTCCCCCCTGCCATTACCTCCCTTCCCCTCTTGGCATCTCCTCCCTTCCCCCCCTGCCATCACCTCCCTTCCCCCTTTGCCATCACCTCCCATCCCTTCTTGCCAGCACCACTCATTACCCCTCCGTCATCACCTCTCATTCCCTCCTTGCATCACGCTCTGCGATTTAGGAATTGTACATACTGGGAATGTCAAAAGAGTCCGGGCAGGCATCGCTCTGCACTGTACCCACGACACTAGATCTCTTCATTCAACCCCATAAAAAGTGGAATAAATTTTGGCGGTCATCCTGCTATAGCTCAGTTGGTAGAGCGGAGGACTGTAGTATAGCAATCCTTAGGTCACTCGTTCGAATCCGGTTGGCGGGATAGTTTTGTTTGAGTTAGTAGTCCGAACGTCTTCACGGCAAAACTTCAGAACAGGCGGAAACAACTAAATCATGCATCGCTCTTTTTCCCATCCTCTGCTGCTGGTCACGCCTCTCTCTGTTTCCTGCTGTATTGCACCTAGTATTGTGTTTTTAGTGTTAGCTCGCTTCTGTGGTATATAAAGTCCGAGCACTGTTTTCCCCAACGTCTTATTCCACTAGTGGCTCTTATTGCCGCATTGCTTGTGACTGGCACAAGTTTGCTGACGTGGAATGCCATCATCAACTACCTTCCACTCCTCCCTCCTCGCTCAGGAGTTTGCTTCAACCTTATTCCATCTCTCCCCTCCACACTCCCTTTCTCTTTTCAGGCCAAAAGCACTCTCCTTAGACCAGTGATGTGGAGCCCAACTGATCCCTGCAGCATACGGCCAGGCAGCATGGTAGAGCCACGAGCTGCAGCAACAGCAGTCGTGGCGGTGAGTTTGGTCAATCACGAGTTGGTAGAGGCGGATAGGAGGGAAGGACGCTTCGATGTGAGATTGTGACAGAGTGGGGTTAACTGAGCGCTACTCGTTGCATGCTGAAATGCGCAGCTCTTTGGTTCCATGTGAAGAATGGAGGGGTGCAAGGTGATGCCGTGTCTGAAGGTGCGTTCAAGCCTGTAGAGTGCTTTCTGACGAACCAGCATGAGTTTGCTTATTCACCCGCATTCTCTTCCCTCCACCACTGCTGTGTACACCTTACAATGTTCTGAGCATGCTTTCAGGCGGCTGACTGGCACGGCAGTGTCACATGTCTCGCTCCACCAGCACACCCATGGGATTGCTTCACTGCAGATTTGCCACATCTATCCACCCCCCTGCCTCCCCCAACCCTTTGCCACCACACTCGTTCTCCCCCCATCTATATGTATCTGATCTCTTCCCATCGCTTTTCCCACATCCATCCCCTCGCCTTTCTCAAAACACGTCGCTTTCCAGCAGCTTATTCGCGGCTTTGCCATTTTTCCCAATCTTGATTCTTGACAGTAGTCGTTCTTCCACCATTGTGTTGGTGAGAAGTTAGAGAGGGTGAAGCGGCACAAGGAGCTGACCACCCCACAAACCCCCTCCTGGGTGGAGTATATGACATCATGACAGGTGAGGTAAGCAACTCACTCCTCACCACCCCCCACCAACCCCCCCTTTCCCCCCTCCCTCCCATCTCCTTTCGTGTCCCTCCCATCTAGCATCCTTTCTTCCTCTCCCTCCTGTCATATCCCTTGTCTCCCCACTCTTTCTTTCCCTCCTTTCCTATTCCCAACATCCGCCGCCACTCCATTCAGCTCTTACAATGCCTGTGCTTCTCTCTATCCTCTCCTCCTGCCATTTAACCAGCTTCCAGCAGTTTGATCATACGATCCACCATGCCCTTCATCTCATCATGCCATGCCCTTCGTCTCATCATATCATGTCCTTCCTCTCATCATGTCATCCCTTCATCTCATCATGTCATGCCCTTCATCCCATCATATCATCCCTTCATCTCATTATGCCATTCCCTTCATCTCATCATATCATCCCTTCATCTCATCATGTCATGCCCTTCATCTCATCATATCATGCCCTGCATCTCATCGTACTATGTCCTTTATTAAAATTCACCCCATTCATAAACAAATTGGTCCCCCTCCCTATTCTGGATCCTCGTTCTTTATTTTTTCGCCATCTCCTGCGCCAAGACTGCCTGCTATCACCCACTTCCCTCTCCATCCCCCACTCCCCCTCCTCTCCTCGCCCACATCTCTCCCTTTCCCTTCCTCCCCACCCCCCACCACTCCAACCCTCACGCCACCCTCGCTCCCCTCGTTTCCCCCTTTCTACCCCCTCCCTCACCCCTTGGTGATTGGTTCATGCTGGCAGCAGAGAGGCGCCGCAACTCCCATCCCACCCTCCCATTCCCTGCCCCACCTTCTCCCCCTACCCCCTTTCTCCCATCTCCCATCCCCCTGCAGCACGGGGAGAGCTAGTACGGCTGGATTGGGGATTATCAGCACTCTCAAAAGTAAAACTGGTGGGGATATCTGAGGTGTCGAGCCAAATCAGCAGCAATGTGAGTGTGATCTAGGCATCTTTGCAACTACATTTCATCACATTGCTCATTTCAACCCACTGCTTATCTCATCCCTGCCCTGCGCTCTAACCATTCCTGCCCTTCTCTCATGCCCTTCACTCCATCTGTGCGGAAATTGAACTCAAGTACAACGGGCAGCCTTTGTGAAGAATGTCGATGTGTTGTGGTGACCTTTGTCGACACACAGCGGCCTTAGAGGAGAGTTGGATGAGCCGTTTGAATCACTGCATCGCTTTAGGACGAGCAAGTCTTCAGCTCTTGCATGCCTCTTGATATCATCCCTTCCAGATTCAGGGATTCAGGGTCTCCCACAGCGTTGCCATTATTGTCACTCACAGCAGCTTCATCTTTAACAGGTGCTGCTCGGGAGGTGGTGTGAGAAGCGTTGAGGGGCGAAATGTGAGAAAACACGCCAATCTCGCAGGGACTTGCAAGCAGGGGTGGTTGGTTCGGAGCTCAAGTGCACTGCAGCATGCATCACATCTGCCCCTTTTCACATGCACACACAGGCCCACTTCTCACTGTTTCACCGCCGCCCTCACTCATATGCCAATGCCACCCACCCCAGACAACAGCATGCCTGCATAATGTCCTCTACCCTCTAGCACGTCCTCTAGCAAGCCACTGCCACTTGTCTTAACCACCTTGGATTAAATTGTGAGATGTTGTGTAAACAACACTGTTGTTGAATACACTTTTATTGTCTTGAGTGCTAAGGCAGTACAAACAAGTTATTGACTGATGTATATAACAGGACCTTATCCAACAAAAACGTGGGATACCAGTAGTTGTATTAAGCAACAAAAACTTGCGAACTTGGTCAGTCGTCATGCATATCCAAATGAGTTACGGCACAAGCTCTACACATGATGCCCTCAGCTTCTGTTTTCCAGCTTATGCATCTCCATGCGGAGGGCAGCTAGAAACACAAAGCCAGAAATTTATGCGGCTTTCTCTCCTGCACAAGAGACCAAACAGCCATGTGCCAGCTTCTGTCCAACTGCAAGGTACCGTACAAGTTCCACATGACCAATTTCCACCACGCTGCAATATGCAACTCCAGTCCATGACCACGTGCACAACCAAGTACAAGATACAGTGCCTCACTCCCTGTGCATGCCTCAATCCTTACACCGCTTGCCTCCACGCCTCTCCCCAGTCTCCCCTTGACATTCACAACCAATTCTTCCCTCATCTCACCTCCCTTTCCATCATCCTTCCCTGCCACCCTACCTGCCTATCCGCCTGCGTACAGCATTGTTCTCAAGCCAACCCCCTTCTGGCGGCCAGAGTTCTCTCAGCTTGGTCAGGCCAGTCAGCTGCCGCAGCCCAGAATCCGTGACTGCCGTGCCATCCAGCTGCAGTTTCTCCAGTCCTGCCAGCCTCCCCACATCCGCCATGCCAACATCTGCCACGCCGTTGCACCCAGAAAGCCCCAAAAATTTGAGCGAAGAAAGGTGTGTCAAGTGCAGCAGACCAGCATTGGTGACCTTGGTCCTCTGGAGATAGAGGTCCTCGAGACTAGTCAGGGACCCAATGTCTTCCAAGCAACTGTCTGATACATCTGCTTTCTGAAGGTCCAGCTTGTTCAGCCGTGGGAGCTTGTAGAGGTGCTTGATACCTTTAGAACTGAAGCCTGACTTAGATTCCAAGTCAATTCTCGTCAGATGCGTCATTGTGGACACATGGCCGAGCATGGTGTCTGAGAGACGGCAATTGCAACACAAAAACTGAGACTGGTCCCTTGTGATGTTGACTTGATTTTCTGTAGTGAATGGGTGAGCATACATGACAAGGAAAGAGGTGACAATGGGCATACCCAATGAGAAAACCACGCCATGTGCTAACTTATTACTCACCTCCCATGCAGTCTTCCAAGGACCTTCACTCTTGCTGATTTCCAGCTCAACATTCATCTTCATGTCTTGTATCCTCTGCCATTCCTTGCAGGCTGCTAATTCCTCCATGGCACGTGGCAGATTCAACTCCTGCACCTCCCTCCTCCTCTCCTCCCTCTCCCTTGCCAACGCCGCTCTCATTTCATCCTCTCCCTTTCTAGCCTCCTGCCGTAGCTCTCTCAGAACCAATTCTCTTCTTCTGTCAGCCTCTACCATAACGTCCTTGTGCTCAGCCAGCTCTCTCTCCCTCTCCTCCACCTGCCCTCTCATCTCCCTCATTTCTGCCACTCGTCTCCTCTCAGCCGCTTCCAGCTGCATGTCAAGCGCCCTCATTCTCATCTCCATTGCATCTTTAAACTCGTGAATTCCGGCAATACGTGCCATGACAGTCCGAATAGCCTTGCCCACTCCCTGGATCGCAGAAAGGGTATGATGTCTATGCAGTGTACACAGGTGGCAGCACACAAGTTCATATGGGCAGCAAGCATGGAAGTAAAGAACGGGTGGAGTGTTAGGAAAATGTGAGCGGCAGCACACGGTGACATGGCAGCAGGCATGGAAATGACATGACACGTTTACAAAGAGTATGATGAGAATGCAAAATGGTTAAAGGTAGGCAGAGTGAAGTTAGATTAGGAGATGCAAGGGAAGCTGCCGTTTATGAAGTCAAAGGATAGGGAATTATAGATACAGCATGGCTAGCAAGTGAAAAAAAAAAAGTACAGGGAACAGGGACACGTAAGGCTCAAGAAGTACAAATGAACAAGCAAAAAGAACCAGAGTCGGGGAGCATGAGCTGATGGGAGAAGAGGACGAATGGGCATCGCATATAGGCAAAAGGTCAATACTGACCCAATATGCTTTACACAATCAGATTCACACTCTTCACAGTTTCAGATTATGAAAACCTGCATGAGGCATATGATGGAAACCAACAATAGAGAGGAGGGGCATGCTCACATGGGACTGTGAAGCAGATAGAAGCTTCCGCATGGCTGCAGCAGCATGGTGACGGAGGAGGGAAAGGCAGGATGAGAAGAGTGGTGACGGACGTGAGTGGAGAGAGGATAGGGATGAGACGGTAAAGGGGTTGTTAGCAGCATGAGGAACAGGAGTGTGAGCATAAAAGCGTGGGGTAGAGAGCCTTGAAGGAGGGAGAGAATAGACAGGAAGAGAGGCAGAGCGCATGGCATACCATGAGGCACTTGGTTGCACTCTTCAGCTTCATCAGCCCAGCCGTCACAGCCAAGCCCTGCTGATGCACCCATGCTCTGACTTGCACGTGGGTCACGCCCATCCCCCACAGCAGTGACACCAGAGTTGCGATGAGAGTGGAGATGACAGAATACAGCACAAGTAAATGATTTGCACATGAAGACTGCGGATGTAAGACAACAAGGGCGAAACAATGATGCATGGGGAAGGATACACTTGAGGCATGGTGGCATGGCATTTTCACAAACAGAGGCAACTGGGCTAATACATCTTGACAGCATAGCTGACTGATGCAAAGTAGGAAGTGCAGAAGCCTTAGTCATTCCAGCACGCACCAGGGTGTGGAGGGAGTGAAGAGACACGTTGAGAGCGTGGGTTTGAGTGGGAGGCACGCTTGTTGCATTCTGACACATGCCTGTTGCATTGGCCTGAGAGGCAGACAACACATGCATGCATGTAAAGTGGGTCACACATGTGCATATAAAAGGTGACACACACACAAAAACAGAATAAAAACAATTTATGTTGATACTTCATGTGCTAGCTTGCATACAAATCTGAAAGGTAGGGGAGAATGACAAAGCGAGAATATGGAAAGTAAAGAAAGCATGACAAGGGCACGTGCTTACACGAGGGAGGGGAGAAGATGCTAGCATGAGAGAGTGCTTGACTTGCTGGCTGTCGGAGTCACATGGAAGCTGCAAAGGCAACAAGGAAGGATAGCACAGGTGCATACTGAGAGACAAACGATGCGAAATTCATCTGCTGTCAGATTGAGAGTGGGCATGGAAGGTCAATTGTTATGTTAGTGGTGATCACTCACATCATTTGTAACTGGGTAACGACAAAAAGCATCTCTGCCAACTGGCACGATGCTGATGGCAGTGATGGCAGCGCTGAGAACGAGCCCAACGAGCAGTCCTGGCAGCAGCGTGGCCACTGCAGTCAACCGAGCCATGGCTGATGGGGTGAGCCCAATGCAAGGCGTGCGCCTGCACAGTGAGGTGCGGCAGGAGAAGTGGAGGGAGACGGGCAGTGGCAGGAGAAGGAGGGGATAAGCAGCAGCAGCAAGGGAAGGAGGGGATTAGCAGCAGCAGCACGGAGTGGAAGGGAAAAGCTGCAGCAGCAAGGGAAGAAGGGAATAAGCGGAAGCAGCAAGGGAAGGACAAGATAAGCGGCAGCAACAAAAGAAGGAGGGGAGAGGCGGCAGAAGCATAGGATGGAGGGCGTAAGCTGCAGGAGGGAATGAGTGGCAGGACAACAAAAGCAGTTGCGTCTGGACGTGATTGGCGTTTGGATAGGGACAGACTAGGAATATGGGGACAAGATCCAAGAGTATGGAGACTGTTGGCAAGTGAAGACGGATCACACGAAGGAAGACGACGATTGGCGAATCTAGGTGCATCTAAAGGTGAGGTGGGCAAAGACGTCAGCAGCAGCAGGGCTGGCAAAAAGAAGAGGCACCAGTAAGTGGACGGTGATGGGAGCTTTGCACAACACCAAAGCAGCAACACAGGAAAGACGCATAGGAGAGAGATGGATAACCTGAAGGAAACTGCGTACATTGCAAGGTGAGTGTAGAACGGCAGAACGCAGGGGAAAACGGCAGCTCACGCGATTGGCGAGCAGAGAGCGCAATCTGGCAGCAGCAGAGTTTGGGGCGGGGGACAAGACGCATGAGACACGCGGAGTGTAGACAATGCAGTGGTGTGAATTCAAGAGTGGGTGGAATAGGCTGAGATAAAACAACAACCCTCAACTTTACATCAAATTATGATTGCTCGACAGGCATACGATGTGGATGTGCATGGCCAAGCAAGCCAGAAGAACAAGCGAATCAATCCTTTTGTTTTGATCACTCCACCCTCCGGAGTCAAACAATTTGAGTGCCATGCCTAGTGGAGGAGGAACAAGAAACGGGTGAAATTGGTGACAGGAACAGCAACAATACATTGGAAAAGGGCGATGCAAAGATGATTCATTCAGTAGAGACAAGCTGAACTGAAATGGTGCGAGTCAAAAAGAGGAGACATTGGGAAAAGTGAGGCAGTAAACGGATCCAGGGGAAACGGATCTACGAAAATAAATCCAGGGAAAACGGATCCCGGGAAAACGGTTCCAGGAGAAAACAGATTCAGGGGAACGGATACAAGGGAAACGGATCCAGGGGAAACGGATCCAATGAAAATAGATCCAGGGAAAACGGATCCAAAAGAAACGGATTTTGAGGAGATGGATCCAGGGGAACGTCAGGACACGGTGTACCCACAGCAGACTGGTGAGTGGCGGTGGTGCACCAAATGGCAGCAACGAGCAGCCAATCTGAAACAAGGTGCTCCTTAGCCAAAAGAGTGGCAGCGGTGAAGATCAGGGCGGAAGAGAAGAGAATTGACGCTGCAGTAAGTGGAGAGGAACTCGCAATGGAATAATTCAGAATTCCGAGGTAGGGAAAACAGGTCAGATAGAACTCGGGAGTAGATAACCAGAGTTGCGGGTTTGAGTCGTGTGCTAGAGCAGGCAGAGGTAAGGGGACACAATGAGGACGAGAGGAGGCATCATGGGACGGGATGCCCTTCGGGAGGCATCAAGCCTCAAGGGCATGCCCTCCCGAAGGGCATGCCTTCCGATGGGCGTTTTATTTTTTTGTCCGCGGGCAGCGGGGGTTCACGTTCCACATCCCAGCCATTAGCCCGTTCCCGCCTGTAAGGCAGCGGTGTTCCACCAAACCAATCATCTCGTTTGCGATGAGAAGCCGCAGCGTGCCAGGCTGTACTTCACCCCCGTAGCCGTAGCCACGTTGGGCTTGCATAGGGTTGATCGCGAACGAGTTTCGAGACATTGGGATCATTCGGGGCCAATTGCGTCTCTAGCCCGCCTTCGGCTCGCTTCACCCTGTAGGTCGCAGTGCCTTTACTTGCATGTTGGATCTCGCACTGAAAACTGAACGAAACATAGATCTAAACATGGCTTTATCGCGTTGCTCAGCCGAGGCGCGTTTGCCGGCGAAAGGCTACTATTTGGCGATATAGAAGGCTATTGAATGTGGACGGCAAGGCCGGTGCTTTCTGGCGCGGATCTAGCTGTTGGAGAACGGAACGTAGCGGTCAGGGCTAGTTATAAGTTGCAGCGAGTAGCGGGGATGACCGTGTGGAGGAAATTGGTTAGTGTTACGGGTGCAATGGAACGAGGTCACGAGGATTGCACTCTGTGGGTCAAAGGTACAAAGTATGAGCGAAGGCATGAGCAAATACTTATGTGCAAAAACATGCAACGGTTACGCGGTGCGTGCGAGCTAGCTAGTGCTAGGCTGGCATCGAGGTTCGGGCTGGTCCCGAAGAGTAGGCCGACTCGGCCAGGCCAGCGGTGCATGGTTTGGTAAAACAGTGCGCGAAGTTGGCGAAGCCCCGTTGGCAGTAACGGGCGAACAACGGCTGCTGCTGTACGCGATGTTGATGGTCGCGATAAGGAATGTCGAGAAAATTCCTTACACTACCCCCCCCCTCCCCCCCCCCCCCCCCCTCAAGAAGACCCCTCTGCTACGCGAGTGCGTGTATGTCGCGGAAACCCCGGCTCCTCAGGTACACTTGCAGGGCAGGGTGGTTTTCAATGTTGGCCAGGGGCACCCAGCTATCTTCAGTTGGCGTGCGGTCCTTCCAGCGAACGAGGAACTCGATCCTCTTGATGCCTGTGGGGTGTCCAATCCGATGGCTCAGAATCTTTTCGGGCTCAATGATCGGCTCCGATGCAGGGCGAGTCATGGCTGGCGGGCGGTGACGAGGCAGTTGGCTCGTGGTTGGGATGTAAGGGCGAAGCAGGCTGACGTGGAACTATGGGCTAATGTACCAGTCTGTCGGCAACAGTAACAAGGAACGCCGCTACCCGCTTCAGCTCTTATTATGTGGCATGCAACCCCTCTCCTCCCTTTTCATGTGTCTGTGTGTCTCACTTCTTGTGTACCTCCATGTATTCACCCTCAACCGATTTCGACACGCCAGAGTGCCATCAACGTTGGGCATTCCGCAGAGAGAAGGAGGAGGCTGAAATGAAGCTACAGTTATGGCTACATAGGACGAGTCAAATGTGATAAGTGAGGCAGTAAATGGGCTGTTTGGATAAGTGAGAGGGGAATTGGGAGCATTGAGGGGGGAGCTGGTAGTGGTCAGGGAGGAGGTGGCTCGACAGAAGGAGCGAGTGTTGATGCTGGATGAGAGAAACCGAGATTTGGAAAATGAGTTGAGGCGTGAACTGGGTGTCGTGGAAGAAAGGAGTGTGGCGACTGCTGCTGTGGTGGAGAAGGGGAGAGAGGTGGCCGCAGTGAAGGGGGATCTGATTCGAATCAAATCAGAGTTGGCAGTAGTGAATGGGAATCTGATTGCAGTGACTGGGGAGGTGTCTGCAGTGAAGGGGGGAGGTGAATGGAGTCAAGGGGAAGGTGAATGCAGTGAAGGGAGAGGCAAATGCAGTGAAGCGGGAGTTGAATGCAGCGAAGGGGGGGATGAATGCAGTGAAAGGGGAGGTAAACGCAATGAAGGGGGAGGTGGATGCAGTGAAGTGGGAGGTGAATGCAGTGAAGGGGGGGTTGGCTGAGCAGAAGCAGTCAACTGCATTGCAGTTAGAAGAGGCTGAGAGAAAGCGAGTGGCGGATATGAGGGAGATGAGGGAGATGAGAGGGCAGGTGGAGGAGAGGGGGAGGAAGCTGGCAGCAGGGAATGCCACACAAGAATGCCCGCATGAAGATGGATGTTGACCTGCAAATCAAGCAGAGTGAAGGCGATCAGAAGACGGCATGGGAGGTGGGTGTTGCATGAAGTAGCGTGCATGATTAACAGGGCATCCTTTGTTTGCTATCGTCGCAGTGTTCATTCCTTTTCTTGTCATGCATGCCTCTTTATCCATCACCTCCAGCGAATCAAGTCACCATCACGAGGAGGAACCGATCTGAGGCTGTCGTGTATCCAATGCGTCTCAGACGCCATGCTCGCCCACAATGACGCGTCTGACGAGATTGGACTTGGAATTCAGCTCAGGCTTGAGTGCAGAGGGCATCAAGCACCTCTACAGGCTGCCACGGCTGGAGATGCTGAGCCTCCAATACACAGAAGTCTCGGACAGTGCCCTGGAAGGGATTGGGTCCTTGACCAGTCTCAAGAAGCTTTTTCTCCATCAGGCCAAGGTGACCGATGCTGGCCTGCTGCACTTGACAGCCCTGCCCTCTCTCATGGAGCTGCAGCTTTCTGAATGCATTAGTGTGACAAATGCCGGCATGGTGACCGTGGGGAGGCTGACAGGGCTTGAGGTTCTTTGGTTGATTGGTACGCCAGTCACGGATGAAGGGCTAAAGCAGCTGACTTCCCTGACCAAGCTGTGTCTTCTCTTACCGCCAGAAGGGGGTAAGCTTACGTCTGGTGCTGCACAGAGGCGGATAGGCAGGCAGGGTGGCAGGGGGTGATGATGGAAAGGGAGGTGAGGTGAGGGAGGAGTTGATTGTGACTGTCTAGGGGAAGCTGAGGAGGGGCGTGGAGGCAAGGGGTGTGAAGAATGAGGGGAAGCATGAGTGCGGAGGAGTGAGGCATGAAATGGTGGTTGGTTGTGCACGGCTCAACTTGCATGCTGCAGAGAGTTGGGAAATGGTGAAGCGGCTCGTGCTTTGCAGTTGGACAGAAGCAGGTGCAGGGCTGGTTGGGCAAGACACAGCATGCCTAAGACATCATGGGAACCGCTTAAGCAGGGCGGGCGTGGAAGGGGAAGGGGAGAGGGGAGACAGGCGGAGCAGGTGGGGAAGGGGCAGCGAGGCAGAGCAGGAGGGGAATGGGAGGGGAGGCAGGGAGCTGGGGACAAGGGCGAGCATGGTGGGCGCAGCAGCAGTGGCAGGAGCAGTGGCGGCAGCAGTGGAGAGGAGCAGTGGCGGCAGCAGTGGCTGCAGCAGTGGCAGCAGCAGTGGCAGCAGCAGTGGCAGCAGCCGTGGTAGCAGCAGTGGCGTGGCAGCAGCAGTGACGACAGCAGTGGTGGCAGCAGTGGCAGAAGCAGTGGCGGCAGCAGTGACGGGCAGCAGCGGGAGAAGTGGCGGCAGCAGTGGTGGCAGCGGCAGTGGTGGGCAAGGGTTGAGATTAGGGGTGAGTGATGTCTCGCATGGCTGCATGAGGGGAGTTGCATACAAAAGGCCTGGCTGTGTTGGTTGCAGTGCAGGGTGTACAAACATTTCTGCAAAGGAGAGGCAATAGTGTGTATGGTGGAGGTTGTAAGGCATTGCTTAGAAACCCTACTAAGATTTTCCTGAATGATCTTATTCATCTGATACTACTCCAATACCGTACCTATCGTACATGGAGATATGAAATTTCAGTCTGGTTGGCATTATCACCGATTCACCGGTAATATGTATTTTCAACATACAGTATTCAAAACCCCATTCTTCGAAAGCACTCACATGCCAAACCAGCTCGCCACTGCTCTTTTTACCAGGGCCCACAGCCTCGCCAGGCTCAATCAGACAGCTTTCGTCTCGTTCGAAGTTGGCTGAATTCCTGGAGTTGGTTGAGTGCTAGGACTGGTTATTCTCTATCCAGCTGCCTCGGCCCCGTCCCGGTTGCGCACAGGCATACTCAGATTGTTAACTCTGATTTGACGTTTAGCTGCCTCATCTCTATCCCCTATTTTAGCTGCCATGACTCCGCAACGGCCACGCACAAGCACAATGCGCTCAAGCACCCGCCGCGCCTCACACTGAGGAAAGTTGGCCAAGCCATAGTAGTGTGGGGCAATGTCTAACAGCCTGCATGGATACGAGGGGGATAGGGAAGAACAGTAGTAAGATGCAGCATGATATTGAGTCGTACGGATGGAAGTTGGCCAAGCCATAGTAGTGCGAGGCAATGTTCAGTAGCCTAGTGGGTGTAGAGGGGGGGGAGAGAAGACGGGCAGTGAGTTGCGGAAAGGATTCAGTTGCCTTGCGGAGTTGGCCTCGTAATATTAGTGAGGAAAGGAAGGTAGGGGCAAAGAGAAGAAGTGGGGGGGTTGCACAGGAGAGCCACACTGAGGGAAGTTGGCCTCGTCGTAGTAGTGCGGGGTAATGTTGAGTAGCCTGGTGGTTAGTTGAAAAGGAGAGGTACCGTAATTGGTACATACGCACCAGTCGCCCATATCCCCCCCCCAGACATACGCACCAACGCGCATACCCCCCCCACACACACACGCACCAGTCGGCCTTGACGACAGTGACAACGCGGATGAAGTTCCGGGCGGTGAGCACACACTCGTTGTAGATCACCCACTCTGGCTTGTGGGACAGCCCCGTGGATGGGTGTAGGTGCACGATCTGCGGAGGAGGAGGAACGGATGGGGGGAGGAAGGGGCCCTGAGAGGTGAGCCGAGTGGCATATTATCCACCTTGTGCGACCCAGATGCAAACCCAACCCTAAGGGCGCAGACCCAGATGCATGATCTCCACAGGGTGTGGGGAAGGAGGAGAGCGGGGAAGGGGGGTTTGTGAGGGGTTGGAAGTGGCCAGGAGAGGTGTGGTGGGAAGGAGCAACTGTTACAGGGGTTGCGGGAGGCGCAAAAGATGTGAGATTGGCGAGGTGAGGCAAGCTGTGCCCTGGGAGGAGAAAGAAGCTCGTCAAAGATGACCAATCTTGCTTGTGTAGAGGCCCATGAACGGACGGATGCAGGTGCACGTTCTGCAGAGGGGGAGAGGGACGGATGGGCAAGAGGGCACGGGGAGGGAGACGGGAACAAGGGAGAGGTGATAGGTTGCGAGAGGTGAGGGCAAGAAGACAGCCTGCTTATCGCAAACTTGCTGTAAATGACCCGCTCCAGCTTGTGTGACAGCCTTGTGGACGGATGCAGATGCACAGAAGTGGACGACAATATCCGTTTATTCAACGGGGACAAAACAAGACTTTTACACTAATACGCACTTCCACTTATGTTGACCTTCCACCTCGTAACAGGAATCATACTCCTAATAAAACAATAGACTCACTCATGTAGCATGGTCCTTCAAGCCGTTGGCCCAAATTCCACAAGCTTTAAAAGGTTGACGAGGAGGTAGTTCAGTTTTTGGGCTGTGGCGAGAGGATCAATTTTGTAAAATTCGTTTTTTTGCAGCACACAGCCAAACCTCGCCTTTCCCCTGGAGGGAGCTCGAAAGTCCCAAATTGCAGCCGCACTTTTTTCAAGTTTGAAAGCTACGCACGCAGCATCAAGTTTTAAAAACTTGACCCGCGCAGCTTGCAATTTGGGACTCGGCTTTAACGTTGCATGTGTACTGCTCACAAGGACATTGTCACAACAAGAAAAATGACTCCCACCAAACGACTCACTCATGAAACATGGTGCTTCAACGTAGCATGGGCACTTCTCACAACGAAATCGTCACAAATGACTAAGCCGTCACAACGACCAAGTGTTGAGTCGGCCCACCTGATTCTCTTTGACTGTCATATAGTGACCCCCACTCTCCAAATGTGCCACCTGCAGGGCAGAGACGAGAGGAGAATGAGAGAAACAAGGCATGTCACACCAAATGTGGCTCTGGCCAAACTGATTTTAAGGCGCCTGAAAAGTTTTCCTCCACTGTTAAAAGTTGTCCTGACAATGAAGGAAAAGTGTTGTGGACAACTATCTATAGTGGGATGGCACATCTGTGAGGACACTACCGCATCCTCTCATCTTCTTTCCAGATGTGGCACCTGGGGAGCAGGGATAGGAGATGGGAGGGGTGCACTATGGGTTGAGAGAGGAGTGGAGCGGGGTGCACACATGGGGTGAGAGAGGTGAGGAGAGGGGTGCACATTTTGGGGGAAAACAGAGGGAAAAAATAGAGGTGCAAAGGGGGCGCAACAGAGAGGGTTATGACGAAGGAAATTTGTCATACTTGATACACAAGAGCAGAGACGAAAGTGCAGAGACGTAGACAAAGAGGAATGGGGAAAGGGGGGCATATTCCTTCCTTCACTTCTCTCCCTCCCTTTTTGTTAATCCTCAGTTCTCTCCATTATTTCTGTCCCACTTATCCATGCCCTATGCTCCCAGCATAATCTCCCCCCCCCCCCCCCCCCCCCCCCCCCCCCCCCCAATTTGACGCACCCACACGATTACCTGAAACGCACGCTCACACACGACCACACTCGCATACGTGCAAACCACACCCACATCCACACATGCATGACGACCACACACACACATGCACGCCCACATACACACACACACACACACACACACACACACACACACACACACACACACACACACACACACACACACACACACACACACACACACACACACATGCACACGCCCATGGACACACGCACACGCGCCCTGCCACCTCTCTGCAGCGCTCACCTGCATGAAGAATCCAGCGAGCAGCGCCTTGCGGATGTTGGGGTAGTAGGCACAAGCAAACTCTGTGGAGCAAATGTGGAGCCCGTAGCTCAGCATGATGCACACCAGCTGCTTCCGCACGTTGTCCGCCATTCTCAATACCCACTCGTGCAAGAAATTATTCTCGCACCAGATGGGGTGGAACAGGGAAAGGGGAAGGACAGAGGTACGTTAAAATCCGTCCGCGCACCAGATGCTTGCACACCTTGACAGCTGTCTGCAACACGCAAGCGTTTCGAGGCATTTCCATTATACTGCAATCCACGTTGCCAGGCCCTCACTGTTCTGCTTGTAAACACATGTGACGTTTTAACACACTCACCGTTCTGCCTGTAGGCGTGGAAGACGTTGAGCAGCGTGAGGTGGTCGCCCTCCTCATGGGAGAAGCGCGCCTTGGCCTCGTCCGCCTGCCTCTGCACCTCCCGCGGGCGAATGAAACAGTTGGGCACTGCCGAGTGAAAGCGGGGACCATGGAGCCAGTGAAAGCGGTGCAGCACAGGCGAGATTGGCAGTCCAGGTGATTAAAGGGGGAGGTTGAGAAAGAGGAGGAGGACGAGGAGGAGGAGGAGGAGGAGGAGGAGGAGGAGGAGGAGGAGGAGGAGGAGGAGGAGGAGGAGGAGGAGGAGGAGGGGAACTTTGACATAAGGGTTGGCAGCACTCGAGGAGTTTCAGCACGGGTGTCATGCCGCACCATGATCGATAAAAAGAGCAGTGTGGTGGTTAGGAGACAGGCCCGGTGTGTCCGCATGTAGGCACGGGCGGTGGCAGCAGCGGAGGAGCAGAAGAAAAGAGAGTCAACAATAGGTCGAGTTTGGAAAGATGACAGTAGTAGCAGCGGTGTTGATGCTGGTGGTGGTGGTGGTGGTGGTGGTGGTATGGGTGGAGATTATATGGAGAGTCCGTATGTGGAGAGAGTCCTGTGGGAGCACCAGTGGAGGAGAGAGAACAAATGCAACACACTGCAAGTGGGGAGGTCAGGTGCGACTCATCATGAGGTTGACAGAGAACAAATAACAATTAACTGTTGTGCCGAGTACAGTCAACGGTTCTAACGTAGCAGTCACAATGAACTGTTGTTCAAAGTGCAGTCCTGAGTAAAAAAAAAGGCTTCAGAATCGTGATGACATGTGAAACAGACAAACCAACCAACCTGAGAGCATAGCCGCAATCGAAAGAATCTCATTGGAACAATTGAGAAACGGAGATACCACCACCATCTTGGACAGCTGCGGGTCCAGCGGAAAGCTCCCCATGACCTCCCCAAGCAGCGTCAACTTCCCCTCATCATCTAACGCCCCAAGTTCGTGCAGTAGCTCCAGTGCTCGCATCAGGGTTTCCGGGGCCGGAGGGTCCATGAATTCAAAATGCACGAGATCGTCAATCCCGAGTATTTTCAAAATCAGGACGACGTTCGCGAGGTTCGAGCGGAGGATTTCCGGGTAGGTTTGCTCCTGGAGGTCTTGGAAGGAGCGTTCGGTGAAGAGGCGGAAGCATTTCCCGGGCTGCGTTCGGCCGGCTAGACCCGCCCGCTGGTGCGCCGAGGCTTTGGAGATTGGGGAGACCAGGAGCGACTCGACACGAATCCTTGGATTGTAGACCCTTTGCTTGGAAAACCCTGGGTCAATGACATACACTAAGCCATCGATTTTAAGCGACATCACCACGTCTGTTGAAACCACGACTTTCCGCCCAGGTGGGCCGCCCTCTTTCACAAACGGCGGGCCGGCGTCGAAGATTTTCTGCTGCATGGCGGGCGGCAGAGTGGAGTAGAGCGGGACGACATTCACCGGGCCAGCGTGGTCCCCCATATTTCGAATCTCACGGGATATCTCCTTGCACGCGTCCTCGATCTCCTCCTCCCCCGTGAGGAACACGAGAATGTCCCCCGGCGGCTCACACATGTGAATCTGCAGCACCGTGCGAATGGCCGCCTCCAGATAGTCCCGCTCCGGCTCCTGTGAAGGGATAGGGGAGGGGAGGGAGCGGGTGAGAGAGGAGCGGAGTGTGAGTTGGAACGAATCAGTGAGTGGGATGAGGGGGATTTCACCACATCTCTCCCCATACGCACCCCTCCCTCTCGCACCTCCTCCCCCCTCCCCTCCCCAGCCCACCTGCGTGTAGAAGATCTCGACGGGGTGCAGCCTGCCGGGGACCTTCATGAGGGGTGAACCGTGGAAGTAGCCTTGGAACTTGTCGGCCTCGAGAGTGGCGCTCATCACCACGAGCTTGAGGTCCCTCCGGTGCTCCAGCACGGCCTTGAGCAGCCCAAGCAGCACGTCCGTTGCTAGCGTGCGCTCATGCACCTCGTCCAGAATGATTGCCTTGTACCGCTCCAGCAGGGGGTCTGCCATGGCCTCCCTCAAAAGCCTGCCATCGGTCAGGTACCTGGTTACGGTATGGAAGGTATGAATGAGAGAGCAGCGTTACGAGGGCGATTGCCTTGTACTACTCCAGCAGGGGGTATACAACATGGCCTCGCTCAATAGCCTGGCTCAAACCGTAAGGGTTAGAAAAGAAGAGCAACAGGACATATTAAGGTGTGTGTCACCTGTGACAAATTTCAATATTGAAACAAACATCTCCAGAAGGTAGCACTCGTTTCTGCTGCGTGCATGCCGTGCCACATGCCCTATGTACAACAATCTATGGTAACCGTAAGCACCCTCACCATAGGCACCCTTAGCATTTGCACCCTCGCTATAAGCGCTCTGCAAAGCACCCCAAGCATTTGCGCTCTGCACAAGCAACGAGCCCTGAAACAAACTTACTACCCTAAAGCTTCACTACCAGATATTCACATGAGCCTTGACTGCCACAGACAGGCTCACTTAAGGCGGGTGTTGGGCCCGCTGCAGTCCTCGAATCGGATGGAGTAGCCCACCTCCTCGCCGATGGTCACGTCCATCTCGTCCGCCACTCGCCGCGCCACCGACACCGCCGCCACCCGCCGCGGCTGCGTGCACGCCACCTGCTTCTTGGGCGTCGCGTTCAGACACTCCACCACGAATTGCGGGATCTGGAACGGTACGATGCGGTATGATGCAAGATTGCAGGGGAAGAGGGGAGGGATGTAAGTAGGGGTGAGATTGGAGACGAATCAAGAACCGCAATCGCGTACATGCCACCTGCTGCCTCTTGGGTTTCACCACACAACTTAGCCGAATCTGGAATTGCACGCTTTGATGGGGAGAAAGGGTCCCATTCATGAGGAGAATCTGCACAGCAGAAAAAAAAAAAAACAAGCTGGTGCACCGAGCCTGCCTTTTGAGAGCAGATCAAGGTTGTGAAGAGAGGTTCACGTTACAGCCGATACGGCAGATTTTGGGGATGCTTCTACAACGTAAAGCAAGAACCAATCACTAACCTGAGTAGACTTCCCGCTACCCGTCTCTCCCACGAGCAGGATAACCTGCTCTTTCTTCAGCAGCTCCACTAACTCCTGCTTCTGCTGCCACACCGGCAGTGTCTTCCGCTTCTCGAGAATGTCGAAATACCGCTGTGTGTACGGCCGGCCGTTATACGGGTTCACCTCCGCCGTTGCAGCGGCGATTACAGCCGCCGCCGCCGTCGCGTCCGCTAATCCGTCCACCTTCTGACGGCTAGTCTCCGGCGGAACGTCAAAGAGGCTGATCTTACGCTTGCGCTCGGTCCCCATGTCTGAATCCTCGCCAGGTGCTGACTACTCGCCGAAAGGGTCAGGGTTTTGCGAATCGTGAATCTAGAGTTTCTGCACTCTATGGCAGACCACAGCAGACAACAGCAGCGGTCAGACTTGACGCTTGGAAGAAGCGAATTTCCACGTGTAACAGGTTTGATTGTTAGCCTGGCAGGACTGCTGCTTGGGAATGAGAGAAACTCGTGGTTAATCCAGACATAGTGTGTGCAAGGAGGTGCGACGAGAACGGAGTGGCGTGATGCGCTGAGGAGGGCAGTGCATGGCCGCCGCGATGTCGTCGTGACGAGGCATGGCGGCGCTCGCGCGGTGGAATTCTCCTCGGATTCGACAGCGTGCGGATTGTATTCTTTCGCGCAGCTCGGTGTTGTGCGAATGTCGCCTGCTCTTATGATGCACATCGTCCTTTCGAACGGAGTAACCGAATCAACGCGACGTGGTAATATGGGAGTACTTGTTATGGGAGACGCCTATGTCCGTCTTGGTGGTGAGGTCACATTACCGTTGAGCTTCTCGATTGTGTTGCAAGTCTCATCACTCACGTTAATCTCTCCGGGTTGGTTCGGGTTGGGATTCTTTGGTAACACGGAGTTACACTCCGAAATGATCGTTTGCTCTGCTTTGAATTTCGCATCAATTTTGCTGAATGTTCTCTCGCTTTTGAACCCGCACCTAACGAGCCTTGTAGCTTCCAGTGCGAAGAATCGCAACTTCTCGCCTGAGACGAATTCGCTAAGCTGATTTTACATACTCCAACGCCCTCGTGAGAACGGACTGTGTGCTTTTGCCAGATTGGAACTCCAAACTAGTAGTTCCTGGCTTACCTCGCCGTCATTTCCTGATACCCTAAATCTTAATTTGAACTAGCGTCGCGCTGTACGAAATTCGGCACGTATAATAAACGAATCGCGTTTCTAACTGGCGGATCCCCAATTCTGCATCCCCCTGTGACATGCTCACACGCCTCTGCCATCCCCTTGCATCCCTCGAGACACCGTGGTCACACCACGTGGTGCATCATGATTCATGCTCAGTGGTAACTCTATCCGAGGCTCCGATGCTCATTTTGTGGCCGTCCGAGGGGCGGTCAAATGGATGCAAACATCGGCATGCAAGCAAACGGCCAGCATGGCGCGCTGAGCGCGGCAGGAACTGTTCGTGGCGAGTGCAGGTGCTGTGCGGTGCTCGTCGGTAGTAGGATGCGATGGGCTGGAATCGGACGTGCGAAGGCGACGCCGAACGACGAGGACGGACGGGCGAATGGGATGGAGAGAGGCGAACGGCGCGATGAACATTTGATGACCCATCCAGGATGGATGCACGGATGGGCGTGCGGCGCGAAACGATGGAATGGGCGGGAGAGGCGAAAGGCGAAAGGATATGATGGGCGTGAGCGCGAGTAACTGGGAAGGGCGTGCGGCGCCAGTGACCGATGGGTGCCATGCACGAGGTACCATACCTCCCTTCCGTCCCGCGTTCACCCCCCCTCTCTGCCCTCCTCTCCCTGCCTCCCCCTCGCTCCTTACTCTGAATCCAGCATCTCAGCGTTATTTCACGCCTATTCCGAAAATTTGGCTGCTAGACCTCCCTTTCGGACAGATTCAGATTCTCTTCAGTTCGGCTTGTGGCGTCGTTCCGTCTCAGAGCCTTTTTCGCGTTCACCCGCGGCTGCGGCTTTTTAGTCTGTCTGCTGTAAATCGCTTCTTCCCACTGCTGCAATCTGCCTCTTCCCATGCGCCCTGTCGGTCGCCCTCACCTGCGGAGCTCGTCAGTCTGTCTGCTGAGAGGCGCCTGGCTCCCTACTGACACATCGCTGCTGCCCTTCCACAGACAAGGTACGCACCCCATACTGTTCTCTCAATAGTGCTCCACTCACAACAGCTTGTTGCGCCCACCTGGCTCATCTAACACTCGGACACATCAGGAGGGCTCGGCCATCTTGTTGCGTCAGTGGTGCCCCACCTCTGCACCCCTTCCTCTCTGCGTCCCCTGCTTCTCGTTTCGTATGTTTCCTACAGTTTCATAATATTATGTTTCCATGTCCAATCCAACTCGCTCCATCTGCACCTTTTTAACTTGTTGCTGTTGCTTCTGTCTCCGGATTTGCGTTTTTTTATACCTTTTCCTCCTATATTTCTTGGCCAACCATTCACTTCGTCGAATACTAGAAGGATTAAGCGATTCCTCCTGTTCTGCTGTATCCTCCATCTCTTTTGCCTCGTGCTCGTTCTGCCGCCAAATATCGTCAAGGTATTCTCAGCTTTTTGCGTCCGCTGCCTCATACTTCCCTGCGCGTCCTACTCGTCTCTCTGATAATTCCAACCCATTTTCAGTCCAGCTCGCCTGTACCATAAAATATTCAGTTCCTTCCATGTCCTATCTAACTCGCTTCATCTGCTCCTGCTATTTCTTTTATTGTGCAGCTGCTATATCTTTCACCAGATGTGCAATATTCGTCCTCTTCTCTGGTCTGGAATTTACTTCGTCCGGTTTGTCATATACCTCTCTCCACCTTTCACCAGACTCAGAGTGCACTTATCAGCTTTCTCCATCACTTCCTTCCCTCTCCACATGCGTCTTATCCCTGCATGCATATACCGGTTAATGGGCCAGCAGTGAGCGTTGCCACACTTGCGTTCTCAGAGGCAGCCAACGAGATCGACGTCAATCTGCGCCTAGGTAGGTACAGCTAGGCAACCCTTGGCTTGGCACAGGTGTCACACGCGCACCTGCAACAGGCCCGGCGCGTGCATGACGTGCCTGGTAGCATGAAGTTCGTGGATTGTTAAAGGCGGACCGGCAAGTGGTTCAGGCCAACCCACGCATGGACTGGATGGAAATCTGGGCGCCAAATTCAGAAGCCATCTTTGCAGTTACACCTGAGTGCACCATTGGCATTTGACATGTCGGCAACGCGTCTGTGTATGCACGTGTGTGCCATCGTAGAGTGGACCAAGCCGATCCCTGCCAGCATGGATGTGACTCCTCCAGTGGTGTCAGGTTTGCTTAGGTTCATTCAACGTGCTTCTGTGTTCACACTGGTGTTTTTGGACATAGTGTGGCATCAAGTGTGTGCTTGCATGTGTTTAATGTTACGCTTAAAGTTACTGTTGCTGTTGCAAACAGCTACTGTCCGATACCCTGCCATCAGTTCGTGCATTCCACTTTGCAGAGGTGGCTCGAATCGCCTCTACGAAACCAGTACGATCGGCTGCGCCATCCCGTCGTTGCCACTCGTTTTATCTTCCGCGCATCGTGTCCTCTCGTCACCTTTCCTGGCCCGCCCGTCTTTTTTGCCTCCTGCCCGTCGAAATCGTGAAGCCTCGCCATTACTCAGCACGCACTGCAAATCGAATCACTTCGCGCCGCTGCTCAGTCGCCTCGAGGGCCTCGGGAACCTTGACGCATTCTTAGCCCCTCGTAGCATTATTGCATGTGTTTCCTCGCCCTCGTTCAGACGCTCACACTGTCGATCACCCGGGCGATGACCGTCCAAGCCTGTGACCAACCGCATTGGTAGCCTCCGCCCTTCCCCTGCTGCTATTTTTTAGTCTAGGTTCATTCATGCTGTCACTGATCTAGGCTCTGATCGACCTAGGCTCAAATCGACCTAGGCTCTGATCGACCTAGGCTCGGATCGACCCAGGCTTGGATTGACCTAGGCTCGGATTGACCTAGGCTCGGATTGACCTAGTGTCTGATTGACCTAGGCTCTGATTGACCTAGGCTCTGATTGACCTAGGCTCTGATTGACCTAGGCTCTGATTGACCTAGGCTCTGATTGACCTAGGCTCTGATTGACCTAGTCTCTGAGTGACCTAGGCTCTGACCGACCTAGGCTCTGATTGACCAAGGCTCTGATTGACCTACGCTCTGATTGACCTACGCTTTGATTGACTTAGGCTCTGATTGACCTACGCTCTGATTGACCTAGGCTCTGCTTGACCTAGGCTCTGATTGACCTAGGCTCTGATTGACCTAGGCTCTGATTGACCTAGGCTCTGATTGACCTAGGCTCTGATTGACCTAGGCTCTGATTGACCTAGGCTCTGATTGACCTAGGCTCTGATTGACCTAGGCTCTGATTGACCTAGACTCTGATTGACCTATGCTCTGATTGACCTATGCTCTGATTGACCTAGGCTCTGATTGACCTAGGCTCTGATTGACCTATGCTCTGATTGACCTATGCTCTGATTGACCTAGGCTCTGATTGACCTAGGCTCTGATTGACCTATGCTCTGATTGACCTAGGCTCTGATTGACCTAGGCTCTGATTGACCTATGCTCTGATTGACCTAGGCTCGAACTGGCTTAGGCTCTCATTGTTGCCCCGGCCCCTTCCCGTGCTGTGTTTCCTCGCCCTGGTTCAGACACTCACGCTGTCACGTACGCACCCTCCGCTGACCCAGCCTGTGACTGATCTTGCCGTGACTGACCCAACGTGACAGACATAGCTTGTAATTGACATGGTTTGTGACTAGCCTGTGGCCCTAGACATGTGCAGTAGAGTCTGCTCAGTCTCAGCGCGAGATGAGTCAATTAACCCCGAGTTAAGTCGGGGCAAATGTCGCCCCTACCCTGGTTTAGGTTCGAGTCAGGCCGGACTCAAACCTACTCAGAAGTCGAGGTTGACTTGATCTGGTACCGTGGCTTTCTAGTCGCAGTAATGATGAACATGTAAGTCGATTCTGCTAATGTTTGAAACATTAGAGAATGGTTTCTCATTTCAGTCAAGAACCTTAGCTAAAATGGATTTCTTGGCGGTGCTAAGGTAGAAACGACCCGAAGGAGGTTGCTTGGCAGCAGCACTAAGGTAGTGAATGGAAGACGATCTAAGGTGGATCCTTGCCACTAATGAAACCGATTCAAGTCGGATTGTTTGGAAACATAAAGAGGAGTTAATATGGAGATTGGATCTTGAATTTGCAAGATCCAGTTTCTGAACGTTCGCTCTTCGTGACCCAATGTAAGTGCTTGGGCTGTGACAACCTACTCGAGTAGCGATGAGTCAGCTGCATCTCGTCAAATTACGATTTGGCGGGTCCTTGCTGACTCAATCCAGACAGGCGATGCATTGGCCATTAGATTGAGTCGACTCGACTCGACTCATTTCCAATAGAAAAGCAAGGAGGAGGAATGCGGCTCCGTCGTCAAGGGGATGGTCCTTAAGGCGCTGCAGCACAGGGAGAAGCGCCTCAAGGACCGGGACACGAGCACGGTCCGGAATTCTCCTGACCAATGGAGGGGAAGCAAATTCAGGAGCAAAAAAACGGTCCCACGGCCAAGAAGCCGCGGCCAGCCATGTGTCCTCCGTGGCGATGCTGTGAGGTTGAGGTGATACGGTTGGTACTGGGGTGAGCTATGCCTCCAGGTTTATCTTGTGCAGAAGTGCCGCTGCTTTACACGATTTCTCGTGACGCGCCCGACCTTGTGACGTAGCTAACTGCCTGGGGCAGTGGCGACATTGAAGTTGAAGAGTTGTAGTAGGTGCTGAAGTCTCTGTGGGTAGTGGTGCTGTTAGAGATGAAGGTCCCGGGTCTTGAGGTGCTAGGAGAGAAGCAGTAGGTGTGGGGAGTAGTGGGTTCTGTTTCGTAGGTCGGATAGGAGGTATAGCTGTTGCTGGTCTCGCAGTTGATGAGTGTGTAGCTGATGCTTTAGACGCTGCTGGCTGTGCAGGTACTGGTTTCGCAGTTGCTGGCTGTGTGAGCATTGATGATTTCCGTGCAGATGATTTCGCAGCAGGTGTTCTCGGCTGTCCGTCGTCAACTTACATGGGCGATGGCTTTGAAGGAGGCGCTGAAGTAGGTGCTGTATGGATGTACTCGTCCAGTGGAGAAGACTGCTGTGGCGGATTTTCGAAATTCGATGCTGAGAGCCTTGGAAGGTCGTTTAATCCCTCGAGACGAGTGGAGCCCAAACGCTGACCTGGCTGCTTACTAATCGCATCCCTATGGCGCTTGTCGTTCGTCGCCATGGGAGATAAGACCTTATGTCGCGAAGATGGTTGCAAATTCGTCTGTTTTGGTAATTCTGGAATAAGGGTCGAATGTATGAACTGAGTGAAGACTTGACGATTTAGGACGAAAGTGGTATCTATCGATAGCTGATAACGAGAGGAATCGAAAAATAGCAGTCGATGAGTTTTCCGTAGGTTGGATGCTTCAGGTAGCGTAAAATTCGGCGTGAAATTCGGGCTGCTGTGTTGTACGGCGACGAGCAAAATTTGTGTGCTACAGTCCTCCGCTCTACCAACTGAGCTATAGCAGGATGACAGGCGAGTTTTATTACTTATTTATAGATCTAGTGTGGTAGGTACAGTGCAAAGCGATGATGCAATTAGTATGTACAATTCCTACATCGCAGAGCGTGATGCAAGTAGGGAATGAGAGGTGATGACAGAGGGGTACTGAGAGGTGCTGGCAAGAAGGGATGGGAGGTGATGGCAAGGGGGAAGGGAGGTGATGGTAGGGGGGGAAGGGAGGAGATGCCAAGAGGGGAAGGGAGGTGAAGGCAGGGGGGAATGAGAGTCGATGGCAGAGGGGGGATGAGAGGTGATGGTAAGGGGGGGATGAGAGGTGATGGTAGGAGGGGGATGAGAGGTGATGGTAGGGGGGGGATGAGAGGTGATGGTAGGGGGGGGATGAGAGGTGATGGTAGGAGGGGGGGGGGGGGGGGGGGGGGGGGGGGGGGGGGGGGGGGTTGAGAGGTTCCTCCGCATTAGCACGTCGCCATGCCTGCTTTCAGATGAGAATACACACATAATTAGCACGCATATTATTTCATGTTGAGGCTAAAAGCCCCACATGATCAGCATGCAAGACCAGTGTGCACCTAACACGCACTCACTCAAGGGCACACTATTGCTGCTGCCTCGTTCTCCGCCCACTTTCGTCACTTTCGACAATTTTGTCACCTTCGTGAACCCACTTCGTATCTCCACCGCACTGCCAGGTTGTATGCCGCAGCAATGATGGTGCGGTGCTGGCGGTGTTCGAATTGGAGAGAACCTGGGGGGAGAGTGCACAGGGGCATAAATCAGAGCGAAGGGAAGCAGTGGATGAGTGCTGATAGTATTGCACATGGGAACGCAATGCTCAGATTCATTGCACCTAGTCCTCGAATTAGAAACCTGAAATGCCATAATATGCGTGGAGATTGGAGAACGCAGTAGAAGATACAGAGAACGATTCGAACTTCTCTAGTTCAGGTAACATTTAAATCCTACTTGGCTTCTCTCACCTCTGTATTAACACCATCGTTGCCCTGCTGCCATACATTATAGACTCGTCAGCTAAGAGGCCCCATGTTATGGCGGCTTTTGACAGCAAGGTCGTTGCCGAAGTACAACGAAATCAAGGCCGGTGCACGGGAATCACATCCGCTGCTCACGACATACCTCTACGGTCCGGCACCTGTGGCCGACGCGCCGGGGCCAAACCCCACACCACCAGCTGGCTTTCGTGTTCGCCGACGCAACGTCCGGCAAACACGCCGGACACGCGCGACCGCCAACAATATTGTGGCCGAGGCGGCCGACGCACGGCAGCGTGCGCGAGCATCACAGTCGCGTCGTCGCGGCCCGCGACCGAGGCAGAGCGGGGCAGGACGCCCACCTCCGCATTCCGCAGCGCCAGGGCAATCTGCTGCGCCAGGGCCATCAGCAGCGACTCACCCACGCGCACCATCGTCGGCCTCGTCTGCGCCCCGCCCTTCCGCAGCACCAGCATCATCTGCAGTGCCAGGGCCTTCCGCAGCGCCCCGCCCATCTGCTGCACCGTCACCCGCCTCTGCGACCCGCCCATCCACTGCACCTGCATCATCCGCAGCCCCCCGCCCATCTGCAGCGCCAGGGCCTTCCGCAGCGCCCCGCCCATCTGCAGCACCGTCACCCGCCTCTGCGACCCGCCCATCCGCTGCACCTGCATCATCCGCAGCTCCCCGCCCATCTGCAGCGCCAGGGCCTTCCGCAGCCCCCCGCCACACCGCAGCTCCGTCACCCGCCTCTGCGACCCGCCCATCCGCTGCACCTGCATCATCCGCAGCCCCCCGCCCATCTGCAGCGCCAGGGCCTTCCGCAGCACCCCGCCCCTCCGCAGCACCGTCACCCGCTGCTGCGACCAGCCCATCCGCGGCACCTGCATCATCCGCAGCGCCCTGCCCAGCTGCAGCGCCAGGGCCTTCCGCAGCGCCCCGCCCATCCGCGTCTACAGGACCATCGGCATCACTGTCACCACCCACTTCGACCCGGCCATCTGCAGCACCAGGTTCGTTTGAATAACGGTATGTCAATTCGATCGTCCGTTCGTTAGTGCCATGTTAAGCGTGGTAAATACGTTAATCACCAAAACTTAATTTTCGAAACCATTCCATACGACGCATTGTCAAGAGCCTATGAACTTCCATACAAATATGATTTCGCATCCAATCCATGATTGCATGATCAGAGGTTCCGTTCAAACCGCACAATCTCACGGTCTTTGCGGGGTGCATATTGCAACCCCTCTTGCAGAAACAACCGCAACATCAACATCACAGCGCGCGCCGCATCCACTACGACGGACTTCACCGATCGTCGTGCCTACTGGATGGTGTGGAACAGCCACGTGCTTCAGCTTTGACAACATCGTGCTGAGAGCTGCGGTTCCGGGAGTCGTACCACCCACTGCGGCACCAACCCGCGACCCACCACCGACTGCGGCACCAACCTTCGACCCTCCACCTCCCGCCGTGGATCCGGGAACGTCGAATGGGCACAACAGTGAAGAGAGGCCCAGCGTGGTAGAGGACGAGGCGACTGTCGTGGAAGAAGACTCTATGGAGGACGGGGAGGATGGTGTGCGGGTGCGTACAGGCTTACGCGGTGACTACACTGCACGGAGGAACAGAATCTGGGTGTACGAAAGGCAGTGGGCTTGCTGTGCGGCACCAACGAGGAGATTCGGCATCTACACGAGCAACATGGCGGAGTCGACCAACGGGGCTGTGAAATCCATCTGGCGTCTTCCCCCCGCGTATCTGTTAGCTTCAATGTGGGACTACAACGTCAAGAAGTTTCATGAGCGGCGTGAGGAGGCGAGAGCCCGGGATGACTATTTCACGGAGTGGGGGAGGAAACGAGGAGAAGTGCGAGCGGGCAAAGAACTACGAAGTAAAGGTCTCCAACATCGGGTACCTTGCGAAGGTGATTAACAATGGCAACACGTCGGATCCTACCCCTCGAAGCTTCAACGTCGACATTCGTGGCGAGGGCAAGTGTGAGTGCGGGAATTGGACGGAGTATGCGTTTCCGTGTGCACACGCCATGGCGTTTTTCCCAGTGGCCAACAAGAATGGGTGGGAGTTTGTGAGCGACTACTACACCACATTCAACCTCCGTCTCACATACTCCCACACCATCCCTGGGACCTGCATCGACACCCTGATGACACAGACAACACCCGTGCTTCAGGGAGTGTGTGATGCTCCTACGTTCAGTCGTAGGGGTCCTGGCCGTCCTCCTTCCTACAGGCGCAGGGATGCTCCGCCGGCGAACTATCGCTGCAGAACCTGCTTGGGGCCTAACCACAACTCCGCTACCTGCACCCAGAAGTATGGCTCCGACAGAGCTGCGGGAGGTGTGCACCACACGGTGGGGTGAGCCTTCAATAATTTAGCTGATGTTAATCATACCAGACTATGTGCAATGTCCAGATTATTCGACACGTTGTAACGTGGCCGTCCTTATTAGTCGTAGTATCTTGCATGTGTAGCACTCTGGTAGAATGCTCCGGTTCTTGGCGTTTAATAATTAGGGTACAAAAGCAGATGTTGTTTCGTGTCCGAACATGTTTTTTAGTGGCACTTACGATATAACACGCCCGTTGATAGTGCTAATAAACTCTGACTCCAGACACGAGGCCATTGGACGCCCACACATGTGAAGCGCGAGATGGTCGCCCGAAATGTAATATAATTGGCAGCATACCACTTGTACAGTCGTTTATTAACGTGGCGAGCATTCCGACGTCGCGAGCAACCGTGGTTCGTCGTGTTAAAAAGCACAGACAGGTTACGATTCACTCTTGTAGAACCGGAGCGCCTATCCGGTGGCCGAACTGCGATGTGGTTTTGATCGAAAATAACGATGTCGAATCCACCACAACGGACTTTACACGTGGAAAACCCGCATCTATAATTTGGAACTCGTGAACAGCTAAATCCTTCTTTGCCCTAATCCACACGTGCTCGCGGACATCCACTGTTGTGTTGACATCGACACGATAAATTAATGCTACACTATTCCCGGAATTATATAGTCTGAACAAAGTCTCCAAACGAATTTGATATTCGAGACAACCATCGTTTGTGCTTCGTCCGTGAAGGCGTACATTGCGCGGAAAGGGATGATATATTAGATGATACACACTAATGAGGATGCTGTCAAGTATCAGTGATAGTATGTTGCCCACAAACTCCTTATGTGGGGATAGTATCATAATATATGTATCTTACACACATTATAAATTAGATGATACACACTAATGAGGATGCTTTCAAGTATCAGTCATAGTATGTTGTCCACAAACTCATTATGTGGGGATAGTATTAACAATAAATGTATCTTACCCACATGTATAGTTGTCTCCTATGGAACGTGACATAGTTGACCACAAACATACTATGTACTAGCGTTCCGCACTACGACCCGGCACATGTTGTAAGGAGCCAGATACAATGAGGAAGATGCCACAATAGTAGTCGTCGCTACTACCCTCCGTGGCAGTCAGCCATGGTCGCAGTGATGGCATCCAGGAAGTCCCTGGACACCGATAGCGGATGCAGTTCTGCCTCCTGGCTCAAAATTAGTCGATAAACGACCTGGGAGAGCGGCCTCGTTCTTCTCCAGCTCTGCACATAGACAACAAGGCCGCCATTGCTTGGTGTATAGAGCACAATCAGGAGCACATAACGTAGCTCATCGCTCTGCGATACTTCCAGACTCGAGAGTACTTGCGAGGGGCGATCTACTGTTGCAGGCTATGTACTGTTTGCTCTCTCCTTTGTATAACCCTGCATCCATACTGGCCATGTGTCCTTTGGCTTTTGCTCATAATGTGTCTTGACTTTGTGATCCACACTGAGCAAGCTTTGCTTTTCTTGACTGCTCTTGTGACCACTGGTTCTCCCCGTCGTTGCCGGCGGGGGTGTGCCAAACTGCCAATCAGGTTTGTCTTGTGTAGGCTGTTGTGGGGTAGCCCATAAAGGGTACAACCATGAAAGGGTTTGCACTTGTACCCACATTCTGCCCAACGCTATCTTTCCAGCTTGTTAGTTTCTGACAGAGCTTGCTTCGTCAACAATTGGACCAGGGGACAGTATTTCTCTCGAATACCGCTTGCATTGGACAAATAGACGTTCACCAACCGGCTTTTAGCACTATCCTATACCACAAATACAAGCATAAGGATAACGTCCACATGTCTAGTGATGTTGTAGACATTGTTCGAGCTCGTCCAGTTTGGCAGAGAGAAACGACTGTAAGTGGTCGGTTTTTTGCCGAATGCTTGCAATCCCAGCACGAAGCTTCTGTACCTCCAGTTTAAGCCTAACGATCTCTAGTCGCTGCTCTAGCTCATGTGGAAGTGTTGGAGCTCCTGCCTCCACGGTTACGGACCCCTCCTCGTGCCGCCTACGGTATGGCCCTTGCGATGGGACGGCAACACATTCCGCCTGTGATTGCAGCAGCAGTGCACCACGTAGAAGTGACAATAACGCAGATTGTAAGCCTACCCAATAGTCCGCAGGGTCCATCTCGAGGTATAGAGGCCCTTCAAGGTTCCGAAAATCACGGGTTACAAGGCATCTCAGAAACATGCATGTGTATATACCACTGTCTTCACTACCAAGCGGTTGCTGTGGGATCTCCGAAGTCTGCAGAAGCAACAAATGCTGTGCGATTAAGATGCTTGGAAACGGATAGAGTGTGATAAACAGAACACGGGTGGCGAGATGGTACCTGTAATATGCGCCATTCGACTTTCTGGACCCTGGCCAGACTATCCTGTTCACAAAGTCCCGGATGGACACGATGAATCTCGGCAGCTACTAACCTGTACAAAATGGTTGTGAGAAACTCCAATGAGTAATGTGGTAACACCATAATGGACCAACATATTAGGGTGTGTTACCGTTCAATCGCATCCCATTCAATCCCCGTCTCGCAGTGCATGCCTGCCGAGTCAAAGTGGTAGAACTTAGGCTTGTGTGTAGGGGCAAATGGTGAAGTATCCGCGAGTAGTTCTTTTGCGTTGGCGACAACCACCAGGCTGAAATGAAACCTGCCAGCCGTATCTTTCATCAATAAGGACGGGATGTCGGGTTGTTTGCGGGGCGTAATCACGTTAAAGTGACACCGTAGTTACCTTCCGGTGACGACAATCGCTACGTTGTCAAAGTCGAGAAACGACCGTTTAGCTGGGCAGCAGGAAATCAGTTTACCATGATTCAACATATAACCGAACGCCTTGGAGTCGAGCGCGATCCATGTCTGCCCATTTCTGAGCCGTGGGTGACGAATGTCCAGCAAGCTGTCGGGTGTGAACGAGGAACGAGATCGTCAACCCGGTTTCCAAGAATGAATAATCACAAAACCATAATGTGCTTACATATTGTGTAAGTCGATGATGTTGTCGTTCACTGCCATGTAGGAGGATATGCGAGCAAGATCTGCTCCAGAGACCGTAATTCCAAACGAATGCCAATTGTAAATGGTGCACGTATTCCCCGCCAGAAGAGCAATGACGTCAGTTTGCGAGGCATTCACCCGACCGTCCTGTTCGTCGTGTTGAATAGCAGTCGATGAGCCACTGCTGTCCGGCATTGCACACATAACAGGTCCCGGACCATGCGCGCCATAAAGAGTATTGCTCATCGTATGTCTGAATTGTCTGCTCGTCGATGGGTGAAGCTTCAAAACCAGTGTGGCAAGTAATGTAGAATACAAAGCGTCGTGTGTGAAGTATAGCAGCGTACCTTTTGAGCATGGTCAAACTTACAATGTGAAGTTGGCGGTGCGCAAATTTGCATTCGCGCGCTTTTCAAAAAGGTTGACGTGTCTTGTTCTTGATTTGATCAAACGTGCAAGTTTCCGCGTTTTAAACACGCGAATGCCAAAACAGCACAGGACACTGTAGGTTTCAACCCGCCTTGCCGTTCATTCGTGATGCACGTTGCTCATTATCCCAATGAGGACCAATGGCATGCAGGCTTGAATAGCGATTCGTGTAGTCTTGACTGACACGATACAGTGTGCCTGCACCGCACGGTGTTACAGTGCTACTTGTTTCCGATTTTGAGCATTTCCCCGGTCGATTTCCAACAATGTACAGTTTTCGATCGCGCTGCGCTACGATCGTTAATTAACACTCCTCGGGATGTGGTCCAACAGTACTGTGATGTCGTGGATGTTGGCCGCTAAAACACGGTCGGAAACAAAAACGAAACAGAGTGCGTGATTCCGAGTTTCCGGTATTTTCATTATCGTTCAACGAGCTATGCTTCCAACGTGGTGCGTCTTTGTGATGTACTATGAAAATGTATCGCAAACAACATCAATTTGAGAACAACATCAATAGCCGCATCTATGAGAGATAACACACACAAGGAACCGACCCTTTTTTTTAGAATACAACAGTCTACGTAGATGCTCAAATTGGTGCCTCGTTAATGGGGTACTTCACCTGCCACAAATACACAGACAGTATAAGACTGTCAGTTAGGGACGTGGGAAAGTCGATCTAACACACGTGCATCTCGTACCTCAGTTATAGTGATGTAGGTCCTCCAAGTATTGCTGGTGACCACCTGGGGTTCGAGAGTGGGCCATGCCCGGAGGTTGTGTGGCCTGGCTGCTGCTCGGCTGTGCTTGCGGCCGCGGCGGCAACATGGTGGCTGCACCAGGAACCTAAAGCAGAGGAGCCGGTGCAAGCTCCGGCATAATCTGCCGCCATTTCGCGCCACCTGTGCCAGAGGCCACGCTCGGCCAGGCTTGCCACATGCTGCCTGGTGCACCCGGTCAGCAGCTGCTGCTCCGACAGGGTCAGTTCAATGCTACGCTGGATGCGATAACTTTGCGGCCGAACCACCACAGCGGCAGCCTTGTATCCCTTGGCTGCCTCCTCCTCGCTCGGGAACGGCCCCATGCGAATGGGGTTTTGAGGGGCCGACATCAGTAGCTTGGCAAACCAAGCATCTCCACCCCCAGTAACCCCCGCGTACCTGGACTTCGCTCGTCCGCCGTTGAAGGCATCGGAAGGAGCTCCAGCTACACCTGCCTCGCCTCCGGAATCGCGCATCCATTCCACGCCTCCTTCACCCGCGCCACTCATACTCGGGATGGCTGGCGGGGGGTACGACTGCTGCAGGGGGGGTGCGTGCGGCGGGGGAGCTCCTTGCCAGTAAAACGGCATCCCGGGCGGTGGAGCATAAGGTGGCATAGCCGCGAAACCTTGGTATATGGGAGCGGGCGGGCGGGTCGCAGCTGGGAGTGGAGCGACCGGACGCTGCGACGGGGCAGGTCGGGATGTACCAGGCTGATAGTACGCTGCGTTCCGCCCATGTGGCACGCTTGGCTGATGCGGCTGTGCAGTAGCTGGGGCGGGTGACTGCGGGGGGGATGCATAGTGGGGTTCACGCTGGTGCTGCTGCGGCAACCCTGCCTCCTCGTTGGGACCAATCCGCGAGGTTTGGTGAATTCCTGCAAGGGGGGAGGCCGCAATGTCTCTAAGTCCCGGGTCCGGACTAGAGTCAACCCGCTTGGATGGAGAGGCCACGTCTGGCTTGCCGTGCGCACCAAGCACGGCCTCTTTTTTCGCTGTCTCCCGCGCCTTCTCCAGTGCCGCCACGCGCTCACACAGCTGATTGCTCACGCTGCTGAAGTTTGACTGCAGGTCGGCATAATCGGCGCGCAGAGCAGCGACTTCCTTCTTCAGTGTGTGCACCTCGGAGCTCGTCTCCCGGACAACACCGCTCATCTCTGACACGTCAGGTACGGCACCTCCACGTGTGAGCTTCTGTGGGGGAAGGTTGAGCCCCGCAGTTTGAAGGGCAGACAACAGATTGCCCGAGATATGGGCGCACATGTCTGCCCGCCAGTCGCGACGGAAACGCAGGGGTGAAGTGGTAAAGGCGATAGGCCCGCCGAGGCGTTGGAAGTTGGTGGTCACGTGCAAGTGGAGGTACATGGCGGCGTAGATGCCACAGTCGAGACTCTTCTCCGGCTGCCGTGGTATCTCAAATGTGATCTGTGAACATCGACCGAAAGAGATTAGTAAATATAATAGTAGGAGAGCGTAGCCGGAATTGGATCAAGTGATAAGACGTTTGGTTCGGAACAATCTTACATCGAGTGCGCGATACGGGATGGAGCCAATCCGGGACTCGACCACCGTTCTTGAAAGTTCGGGGAAGACACGGTTCAGCTCCGATGCCAGAATCCTGCCATTGAAAAGCAATGAAAAACAATATCAGTGGTGCGGCAAACCGTTTCCATCATCAGTCCGCTCCTAGACTTACAAGCGAACATTTGTGACGACGGCGTTGTTGGCTGCGTGATGGCCTGTCGAATCATATAGCCATAGCTTGGGGGGGGGGAGCTCATCTCCACCGTCGGATGGAGTGACAAGCGTGCTTGCGTTTTCCAGAACAAACAGGCTGAAATGAAACCTGAAAGAAACACGACAGACGAGGTTAGAAGGGAGTCGCCGTGGAAACAAGATCAGGCGGGTGATTGCAACACATACTCAGCCGCGGCAAAAATTGCCACAGAGTCGAAGCGCAAGAATGTGTCCTTGTCTTCGCAGCAAGCGATGAGCTTGATCTGTGTCGCCATGTAGTCGTATGCTTTAACATCAAGCGCGATCCATGTTTTTCCGTTCTCCAATTTCGGATGGCGTATGTCCAAGATGCTGCACGGGTACCAGCACGGAGGGTGGAGCATAGAGGATTGTAACATTGAGTGTGAAAATTGTAGACTTGTTAATTCGGGTTTCCCAAAGTGTAATGTCTCAAAACGGATGGCGGCACTTACATGTTGTGGAAGTCCAAGGCTGTGTCCGTGATTGGTGCCGCATCCTGCATGTGGAGTGCGTCTGCCACGTTCAACGTAGTGCCGAATCCATGCCAATTACAAACCAACTTCGTGGGCCAGTTGCCACTCTTCACCGACGGTTCCTTCTTAGCTCGGCAGGCCGGGGTAATGCCCGGGAGCTGTTTGTTGCTCCGGGCCATATCGGCTATAAGATCCTGTGTTGGGGGTAATGTTTTCAGAGGTGGAGGAGGTGGTTGGAAAGAATAAGGTTCTTCTGTGACTCGTGCACGGTGCGCTCTAGAAGACGGGCCAGTGGTCTGTTGCTGTTCTGCACCAGTTGTCTTTTGGCGTTTTTGGTGCTGACCGCCCCTATTACGCGTGCTGCGGCGGCCACCAGGGGCCTTAACGGCATCTTCTCCACCCGCATCTACGTGGTCAGACTCAGCATCTAACTCGACGAAGTCTTCATCCTCATCGTCTCCTACTTTCACGGGGTCGTCAGGCCTGCCCGTAGGCATTTTGAGTTGCTGGAGGTGGCGGAAGCGGATGAGGAGGAAAGGTAACGGAAAGGAAGAGGGATCACGCTGTCTTCGCGAGTCTAAAGCTCGTAATCGTGTTAATAAGGGCTAGCGGAATGCTACGGCGATAGTGTTCGAACGGAGACGGGTGAAGCTCTAAACAGCGAATGCAGGTTGCTAGGTCTAACAAACACGGGTTATGAGCATGGCTGACAATTGATAAGAGTGCGAGCGAACGGTGTTCTCGAATCACGAACAAGAGCGGGCTTCGCTTTTGAGAATTGCGTGCAGAACACGGCGAGCTCTGAGTGGATGGAGCTCGCGCATCGAACGTGGGTTGATCTATTTGGGGACCACAACGGCTGTGCTGGCGTAACCTCGTTCGCACATGCTCGCGGTCTGTTAATTAGCCGATCGAAGTTGTACACTGCTGCAAGCCTGTTGGAGCAAACCCGGATTGGTGGACACTGAAAGGTGAGAATGACTCACGAGGATTTCGATGTCAGAATGTTATCTTATGCTCTAGCCTGTAGTGGGGTGCTCTATAGCGAGTACAACCCTTCTAGGGTTTCCTATTTGTATCCCCATTCTTGCTAGTGCAATCCTCTTCTTCTCTCTTCTTTTCTTTTAAACTTTAACATGGTATCAGAGCAGGTCGATCCCCTTGGATCGATCCTGTGGGTGGGCTCACCACCTTGTTGCTTCCGCTGCAACTGCTACTGCTACTCTCTGTGCCGCACGCCCCGTGGCGTGCGGCAGTTTTTCTTCCCGCCGTGCGCCCCGAGGCGCGCGGCGGTTTTCTGCCCGCCGTGCGCCCCGAGGCGCGCGGCGGTTTTCTGCCCGCCGTGCGCCCCGAGGCGCGCGGCGGTTCTCTGCCAGCTGTGCGCCCCGAGGCGCGCGACGGGCTTCTGCCCCGTCGTTCGTCGCGTCGCCCTCTGGAGGCGCCGCGACGGGCGACGGGGACCCGTCGCGGCCCCGCCGCCCCACTCTCGCGGCCCCGCCGTTTTCCTTCGCGGCCCCGCCACCTCCGGTCGCGGCCCCGCCACCTCCGATCGTGGCCCCGCCGCCCCACCATCGCGGCCCCGCCGCTTTCCTTCACGGCCCCGCCACCTCTGGCCGCGGCCCCGTCGTCTCGCCGCCCTACGTGCGGCCCGTCGCCCTACCTGTCGCGGCCCCGGCCCCGGCCCCGCCTCCCCCCCCCCCACCCCCCCCCCCCCCCCCCCCCCCCCCCTCCTTCGGGTTTCCCCTTTTCCCGTCGCCTGTCGAGGCGACCTGAGGGGGCCGCTTGCGGGGTGGCGGGTATGGGGGTGGCCGGTGTGCATTCCTCCCTTTGCTCCTCCTCCTCCTTCGTCTCCCACTGCTGCAGCTGTCGCTGAGGGGGGTGGTTGTGTGGGAGACTGGGGTTTAGGGTTTAAGGGGGGTGCGTGGGAGTGGAGCTAGCGGTGTAGCAGCGGGTGTGTGTCGGGGGGGTGAGACTGTTTGGGGAAGTTGCACGGAGGTTGCCGTCGTGTCGCCAGCAGCACCTGTAGTCCGGGGACTTCGTCCGGTAGCCCAGTCGTAGACTTCTACGCCAGCCGCCCGTGGGTCCGTTGCTCGTCTGCCGCTACTTTAGCCGCGGGGCCTGTTACTCCTGTAGTCCGGGCGCTTAGTCCGGTAGCCGCTGTGCCAGTCTGCCTCCTGTTGCCCGTGTGTCTGCAGCTTCAGCCGTCGCCTCCTATCTCCTCTCCCCTCACTCTCTCTCCTCCTCCTCGCTTGCCCGTTGTGACTACCACTAGCTTTGCTCATAATTGTACCCTTTAAACTATTCCTTCTTGAACTTGTGCTCAGAATGTGTGGTGACATTGTGATCCACCCTGAGCTTGTACTGCTTTTCTTGCTCTGCTGATTACACCCCACTTTGGCTATGGGGGTGTGTCAGAATGTTATCTTATGCTCTAGCCTGTAGTGGGGTGCTCTATAGCGAGTACAACCCTTCTAGGGTTTCCTATTTGTATCCCCATTCTTGCTAGTGCAATCCTCTTCTTCTCTCTTCTTTTCTTTTAAACTTTAACATTCGATTCATGCCAAGTGGCGTGCAGCTGGCATGTTTATGGACGTTGTCGATAACATTCTGATCGGTATTGCTGCGTTGTAAATACCTCGTTGGTCGTCTCACGCATGGTGTTAATGAGCACGTGTAGCAATCTGGCATACATAATACGTGTGCAATGTTAAAGTTTAGAAGAAAGAAGAGGATTGCACTAGCAAGAATGGGGATACAAATAGCAAAACCCTAGAAGAGTTGTACTCGCTATAGAGCACCCCACTACAGGCTAGAGCATAATATTCTGACACACCCCCATAGCCAAAGTGGGGTGTAATCAGCAGAGCAAGCAAAAGAAAACAAGCTCAGGGTGGATCACAATGTCACCACACATTCTGAGCACAAGTACAAGAGGTAGCAGTTTTAAAGTTAACAAATATAAGCAAAGCTAGAGGCTATCACAGAGGGCAAGTGAGGAGGAGGAGAGACTGTGGGGGAGAGAAGATGGGAGGCGACTGCTGACGCTGCAGACACACAGACGAGCTGCTGGCTCAGTGGCTACCGGAACAGCGCTCCGGACTACTGGGGTAACTGGCCCCGCGGCTAAAAGTAGCGGCAGACGAGCAACGGACCCACGGGCGACTGGCGACTACCGGAGATTGTAGCCTCCGGACTGCTGCTGCTGCTGACGACACGACGACCGCCTCCATTCAACCTCCCCCAACTGTCCCACCCCCATTTCACACACCCCCTGTTCAAACCCTAGCTCTACTCACACTCCACCCCCCTAGCACCACTCCGTACACTCCCACACATCCACCCCCCTCAGCGATAGCTGCAGCAGTGGGAGACGAAGGAGGAGGAGGAGCAGGCGACGCCACACACCCGCCACCCCCCAACCGCCACCCCCCAACCGCCACCCCCCAAACCCTAAAAACAGGGTAGGGAGGTAGGGGGGGGGGGGGGGGCAACGCGCGGCCCCCTGTAGACTCCCCAGGGTCGCCTCGACAGGCGACGGGAGTTGGGCCGGGGCAGGTCGGGGCCGGGGCAGGTCGGGGCCGGGGCAGGTCCGGGACGGGGCAGCAGGGGCCGCGCTCGGCTCCCCTGGGCAGCGCGACGGGGCAGCAGGGCCGCGCGACGGGGCAGCAGGGGCCGCGCGCGGCTCCCCTGGGCAGCGCGACGGGGCAGCAGGGCCGCGCGACGGGGCAGCAGGGGCCGCGCGCGGCTCCCCTGGGCGGCGCGACGGGTCCCCGTCGCCCGTCGCAGCGCCTCCCGGGGGCGACGCGGCGAGTGACGGGGCAGAAACCCGTCGCGCGCCTCGGGGCGCACGGCGGGCAGAAAACCGCCGCGCGCCTCGGGGCGCACGGCGGGCAGAAAACCGCCGCGCGCCTCGGGGCGCACGGCGGGAAGAAAAACTGCCGCACGCCACGGGGCGTGCGGCACAGAGAGTAGCAGTAGCAGTTGCAGCGGAAGCAACAAGGTGGTGAGCCCACCCACAGGATCGATCCAAGGGGATCGACCTGCTCTGATAGCATGTTAGAATCCCAACCACTAGACCACTGGGATAAAAGGGCTTGTTTCAGTAGCGGGTCAGTGCGCCCATAACCCCCCAGGCAAACGCGCCTGTAACCCCCCCTAGGATCGATCGGGGATCTCACAGTGCAGCTCTACTGACACCCCCCCACACTGGGAGGCCCAGGACTGAGCACAGTGGCAACGGCCTACATGTGCATACACCGGGATTCGAACCCGAGACCTCTCTGATACCATGTCAGAATCCCAACCACTAGACCACTGGGATAAAAGGGCTTGTTTCAGTAGCGGGTCAGTGCGCCCAAATTTTTTTTTTTGGATAAGATTGAAATATAAAACTATAAATAAGAAATGTACAGGCTTAGTTTGATATTTAAGCACCGGGGGTGAAGTTGGTGGCATAGGCCCACGCGTTGTTGACGGTGGGGTCAGCCAGGTGGTCGTTCAGGGTGTAGAGACTCGACCCCGGCCGACGCGAAAACGTGGCCAGGTGTCGGCCTGTGCGGGCGTCCGAGCAGTGGGTCACCCGCTGACTCGCAGGAGTAAACTGGTGAACCCCCGCATCCTGCAGGTCAGCACCACTCACCAAGTTCGTCGAGAACGAGGGGAGGTACAGACCAGACAAGGTGCCCGAGGGGGCAGCCGGACACGGGAGGACAGTGGAGAAGTGAGAGAGGACAGGACCCCCAGAGGGGTCAGCCAGGGAGACTGCAACCGGCCGGCCAAGCGGCGTGAGTGTGGTGCGGTCTCGAAAGAAGGAGCGAGAAGCCCCTGAGTCAAGCGTGAAGGTGAGGGAGGCCGAAGCCGACGCAGTACCTGAGAGCGCAGCCTCACCAGTACCTGAGAGTGCAGACGCACTGGCACCTAGAGCAGCAGCCGCAGAAGTACCTGGCGCAGCAGTACCAATGCCCGGGTCGGGCGGGAAACACCGGTAACAGTCACCCTCCTCACTAATAGTCACAGCATACATGGCAGCAAGGATAGCATCAAAGTCAAGATCAAAGATAGCTACGCCAGCCCTAGACAGCTCTCCCCAACGGGGAATCTCACTAGCCTCGGGGAACTGCTGACGCCAAGCGTCCGTCAGGCGGCCAAAGCAGCGCTGGGTGGGGTGGGCACCCCCACACTGCTCACCCGCGCGGTCGCCGGAACGAAGGACGTAGGTGCACGGACCAAAGCCCCCACCCCGCTGACGCTGCGTGTACCACTCACGGAGCTGCTGGGGCGGGGGGATGTCCCGCGAACGCTGCTGCTGCTGCTGCTGCTGCTGCTGCTGACGCTGGCCACCACCAGAGCCGCTACGCTGCGGGGCACCACCCCGACCAGCGCCACCCCCTCCGCCACCGCCGCCTCCACCTCCACCACCACCGCTGCCTCCGCTCCCACCGCTGCCGCCACCACCGCCTCCTCCTCCGCTGCTGCCACCGCCACCACCGCCCCCGCCACCACCCCCACCGCCACCCCCACTCCCTCCGCCGCCTCCACCGCCACCTCCACCGCCCCCGCCAGTTCCACCCGCGCCCTTGCCCCCCTTGCCCCTGCCAGGGCGGCGTCTCCCGCTAGGGGCAGACGCCGCGCAGACCGACTCAAGACCAAGCAGGTCGGCAGCAGCAGCAGAGGCAACAGAGGGCAGCAGGGGGGAAGGAGAACACCCCTCAAAGATGGGGGTGCGAGGGTCACCACGAGAGGCTCCTACAGCGACGATGCTCTTCTCCGCCGCCAGGAGGGACTTCTCGAGGAGGTCGACAGTGAGAGTGGTGGGACAGACTGAGAGGAAGTGGTCCCTGACTACGCGAAGGGAGTCAGGGAGGCGTGTGACTATGTAATAGAGAGTGATGTACATGGGGGGGGGGTTCTTGGCGCAGAACTCAGCAGGAAGGGCGGCGCGGTAGCGAGTGTCACTAGTGCGGAGGTGCGTAATGAGGTCAGCGACAGTGGGAAAGGCAGCAAGGTCAGGAAAGAGGTACGGTAGCATGAGGCGGCTCAGGGCAGCAGTGGCAGGGGAAGAGTAGCGCGCAACTACAGCGTCGTACAAGGTCTGAGCACTCTTGTACTGACTAAAGTGCGCGCGCTCAGTGGTAGGCAGGTGACGACGCACAGCAAGACGTGCAGCAGCATCGCGGGTGGCCCACTGAGAGCGAACAGTGGGGTCAGCATCAGCAGCAGGGGCAGGAGAGGCGCCAGAGGTGAGGTCAAAGAGGGAAAGACCGTCCGTCCTATCGCACTGTAAGAACAGCTGCAGGTCGTCGACCCAGACCTCAAAGTCAATGGCTCGACCCTCAGCGTCAAAAGCGAGGACACTAGGGGTAGCCATGACGACGACAGTGTAGTAGTGCAAGCAGTAGGGGAAGGGCACGCAGTAACAGTGGTGCTGTGCTCACCAGGCAGGGCAGGTCGGGCGGCTCGGTAGTAGGGCGGCCCGGCAGCTGGGCGGCTCGGCGGCTCGGCTGCTGGGCGGCTCGGCTCCCGGGCGGCTCGGCGGCAGGGCGGCTCGGCGGCAGGGCGGCTCGGCGGCTCGGCTCCCGGGCGGCTCGGCGGCAGGGCGGCTCGGCGGCAGGGCGGCTCGGCTCCCGGGCGGCTCGGCTGCAGGGCGGCTCGACGGCTGGGCGGCTCGGCGGCTGGGCGGTCGGCTGCACGGCGGCTCGGCTGGTGGGCGGCCGGGCGGCTCGGCTGCAGCTGCTGGGCGGCTCGGCTGCGCTGCTGCTGGGCGGCTTGGCTGCTGTAGAGGAGCGGCGGGGCCGCTGCAGAAGGGCGGCGGGGCCGCTGGGTAGGGCGGCGGGGCCGTGAGATAGGGCAGCGGGGCCGCGTGGTAGAGTGGCGGGGGCCGCGCGATGGGGCGGCGGGGCCGCGAGGAAGGGCGGCGGGGCCGCGCGATGGGGCGGCGGGGCCGCTAGGTAGGGCGGCGGGGCCGCTAGGTAGGGCGGCGGGGCCGAGAGGAAGGGCGGCGGGGCCGCTAGGTAGGGCGGCGGGGCCGCGCGATGGGGCGGCGGGGCCGCGAGGAAGGGCGGCGGGGCCGCTAGGTAGGGCGGCGGGGCCTCACGATGGGGCGGCGAGGCCGCGAGGTAGGGCGGCGGGGCCGCGCAATGGGGCGGCGAGGCCGCGAGTAAGGGCGGCGGGGCCGCTAGGTAGGGCGGCGGGGCCGCGCAATAGGGCGGCGAGGCCGCGAGGTAGGGCGGCGGGGCCGCTAGGTAGGGCGGCGGGGCCGCTAGGAGAGAGGCGGCGGGGCCGCGATGAAGGGCCGCTAGGGCGGCTCGACGAAGTGAGGGCCCGGAGCGCGACTCGGGCTGAGCGCGCTTCGGGCAGGAAAAAAAAAAACGATGTGGTGGGCCCTAAGCACAGTTCCCAAGGGGGAACCTGCTCGATACCATGAGAAGATTTGAACAAGAATGGGGATACAAATAGCAAAACCCTAGAAGAGTTGTACTCGCTATAGAGCACCCCACTACAGGCTAGAGCATAATATTCTGACATGCAAGACAGTGCATGAACGGCGGGGTGCGTTTGGAGCTAATTTTCGCGTCCCTAAAAGCCTGGATACATTGAACAATGCAGACACGATGACGTCAGACGTGTACATGCATGCCATTTGTCCAAATCCTAATCCGCCATCGTTTCGGCGGGATGTAACATATCATAGTCGTACCACGTGTTCAGGTTCGCGCGTGCACACGACAGTGATCCTTATTGGTCCGCGCTCGCGATGCGCAGCTGCAATTGCTGATGAACATGTTATTTCGCTGACTGCCATTTGGCGCTCAGTGAACCGTTGACTGAATGGCGCCGTGTCGAGCCTAAACGACGAAAATTTACACCTAGGCTTGGCAAACCAGGACTTCGCTGGTTTGGTTCTTACAATGTTGGAGGCTCTCGGTTGATTCCCGGCCAAAACGTTCCGACATGACCGTACACTAACATGTACACGACTTCTTTGAAGTCGAAATGTCGGGAGCGCGGAACGCGCGGGATAGAAGGTGGAGTGTCGTCGTTTCGGGTCATGGAAAATTTTTAAGCGCGATGAAAAAAATTCACGAGACCAAAGCCCGCGCCGCGGTAATTCTCTCGGGAATGGAGCTGTGGTGAATCTGGGCGCGCGAATTTCATTCAAAATGCGCTGCTTTTGCCAAACATGTGTAACCTGAATCAGCATTCCGAATTCACTCGCTATTGCACATTCTATTACAAATGTGAGGCACTCATTTCGTCCGCAAAGTTGTTTCGAAGTTGCCTTGCTGGTGCACGAAGCCATATTATCCCTATAATGAGGCCCTCAGTGAAGTGTGCAGATTCCACCCCACCCCAGCTGCGCGGATACGATCGCTTCCCATCAGCAGTTGGTGGGCTGAAGCAACCCATCCGCAGAGATACCCCTGCTTTTGCATCGGATTCCCCACGGATCCTTTAGTTTGGCGATGACGCGCTGCGGCTCCCATCACACCATCTGTCATTCGCGCTGCAAGCCCATCCGTGAGTGGTTATCCATTCATCTAACCGTTCACCATTCATCTGCCCATCCGTGAGTGGTGACCACTCATCCATTCATCCTCGTCGTGCGGCATCACCGCCGCACGTCCAACCTACCCGAAAGGATAAAGATGATCAGGGCACCCGCACCCACGCCAGCTCCCGTTGCTGAATCGCAGCGGAGCTTCAACGAGCGTATTCGCGCTGAGTCGATCGCGAGCGCATGCGCGCAACCGTGTGGCAATGCGGGGCACTGGGACTCATTTAGCTCTCTTCGCCAGTCCCCTTGTAACGTCTTCAACCCTTCGCATCACCCGGCGTTCATCGCCAGTTCCTTCCATGCTCAGCGTGCCTTTCTGGAAGGTACACCACCCTGCTCCCGTGAACATTCACTATCAGGGGAAGCTCGTCTCGTGCTGTTCCTCAGCACTCAAACCCTACAAGATCCCTTCACTAAGCACTGCCGCGGTGGTGGGACTTCGCTCCACGTTCGTGTTCACTGTAAGCACAACTGTCTTTGCTGTTCCTCCTCGTTCCTAGTAGACGATACCGCGCCATTCCAATTGCTCTGTCTCGGGTATAGGATGCACCCTTGGCTCCCTCGTGAGCACCCCGCCTTCGTTGCTGCGTGGAAAAAGGGGAGGTCCTGGTAGAGTGGGCGGAGAGCGAGGGGGAGAACTGACGAAGGTGGTGTAAGGTTGGAGAAGGGCGCTGGGGATTTAGGGGGGTAGGAGGCGGTGCATTAGGGAGGTAAGAGATTGGAAAGGTAAGAGTGGAGACAGACGGTCAGCGCGAGATGCCGAGGGTTTAAGGGTGAATGGCGGATGGAGCGTCGAGTCACGCTGGATGTAGACGGGCAAAGAACGAGGGCGGCTAGTTAACAGTAGAGAGCAGAATTATGTATTGCCGGGTGAGCAACGAGGAAGCTTGAACCTTGTTCTAGGCTCCAAAGCTTGGTGGTGAACAGATCTGGTTTCTATTTGTGGTGCCATTTTTTCCTTTCTCTTATTCATTACTTCCATAAATTGTTTTGCCCTGTGTGGGCCTTTGTCAGGCATTAAGCAGCCTGGAGGTGTTCCGTGGCCTGAGCATTTTCTCTCCATCGCCCAGCGACTGTAAGAGAGCCTGTGTGGGTTTGCAACTAACTAGTCTGCACCCATATGTCCCCTTTTCATTGGTATAATGCTTTGCTTGAGATCACTGAAATACCAGCAACCAGCAACCCTCTTCATCCTGTCTCCACCACTTCACTTCATGTGAAATTCATTTCTACTGTTTGTCTGTTTCTCTGCCACCTGATTGCACTTTCTGATTTGTGTACGCCAGTCCATGCAATCTACTTCTTTGTTCGCCACTTACCTCACGAGGTTATTATCTCAGCCTTCAAGGCTACTACTTGGCATGCCAAGCGTTACTCTGCTATTTGTCTTGACCACTTTGATCATGTCCACTCGTTAGTTGCAAACCCACACAGCCTGGAGGTGTTTCGTGGCCTTTTGCACAGCACGGATATTAATGTCAAATGCAACCATCTTTTCCCACCCCTTCCTCACACAAACTTACACCGGCAGCTGACCCAGCTCGTTACGAGTAGTGCGCGCTTGGAATTCTGCGGTCACGTTCGTGCAGATCTAGTGGTATTTCGCAGCCAGAAACGCGTGGATCCAGCATTTTGCTTCCCAATTCACACAACTCCGGTAATCCGTAGGACCGCAGCCTTGCAAAGCATCTGCACCCTCGCCGTGAAGGCTTTTGCTGCCCGCTGTTTCTGTTTATCCCTGCCTGACATGTGTTGAGTGTAGCTTGAGAAAAAGGGCACAGAGTATGTACAAAAGCGGATGGTGTGAAATGGTACTACACATACGCCATATGCATATATTCCAACATAGGATCTGATGTCAATCCCTCATGTTCCTTTTTTCTTGTGTGTCTATGTTTGACTCCGTGCCATGGGCGTTCCGCAACAGGGAGGGAGCTACTCAAGCTGCAGTCATGGCTGTTGCGGCAACTAAAGCATTGGAGTGGGAGGCGGAGGCCCGACAGAAAGAGCGGGTGCGAACCTATTCAGCATCAGGAGGAACCCAGCTGAGTTTGGCGGAACGCGGCGTCTCAGACGACATGCTCGCCCATGTGTCCAAGATGATGTGTCTGACGAGCTTGGACCTGTCCTCTAGCGCAGGCTTCAGTGCATGGGGCATCAAGCACCTCTACAGGCTGCCACAACTGGAGACGCTTATTCTCAACGGTACTTACATCTCAAACAGTGCCTTGGAAGGTATTGGGTCTGTGACCAGCCTCAAGAAACTTTATCTCGGTGTTACCAGGGTGACCGATGCTGCTCTGCCATACTTGACGGCTCTGCCCTCTCTCAAGTTTCTGAACCTTTTCAACTGCAAGGGTGTGACAGCTGCTGGTATGATGGATGTTGGGCGGCTGACTGGACTTGAGGAACTTGTGTTGGCTGGGACGGAAGTCACAGATGCTGGTCTGTGGTACTTGATAGGTCTGCCCTCTCTCAAAGTGCTGAGCCTTACTTTCTGCAAGGGTGTGACAGATGCCGGCATGGTGCATCTGGGGAGGCTCACATGGCTTGAGAAACTACAACTGAATTGGACAGCAGTCACGGATGAGGGCATGGCAGGTGTGGCAAGGCTGAGGGAGCTTCAGGAAGTTGAGCTGGGTGTGACGGAAGTAACAGATGCTGGTCTACTGCTCTTGACGGGTCTGTCCTCTCTGAAAGTGCTTAGTCTCTCTGGATGCGAGGGTGTTACAAGTGCTGGCATGGTACACGTGGGGAAGCTAAGCAGGCTTGAGAAATTTTTGTTGGGTGGAACGGCAGTCACGATACTGGACTGCTACACTTGTCAGGTCTGTCCTCTCTCAAAGAGATTTGCCTTCTCAGATGTAAGGGCGTGACGAGTGCTGGCATGGTGGAAGTCGGGACGTTTACAGGGCTTCAGAAACTTTGGCTGGATCAGACAGCGGTCACGGATGATGGTATGGCGGTTGTGGCAAGGCTGAGAGAGCTTGACGAACTTAGGCTGAATGATACGGAAGTAACAGATGCCGGTCTACTGCACTTGACGGGTCTGTCCTCCCTCAAATTGCTTAACCTTAGGGAATGCACGGGTGTGACAGATGCTGGCATGGTGCACGTGGGAAGGCTGACAGGCCTTGAGGAACTGGTGCTGGCTGAGACATCAGTCACACCTAACGGGCTGCAGCAGCTGACTGCCCTCACCGAACTGACATTGCTCTGGCTTCCAAATGGGGAGCGTGTTCGCAATGAGGATCTGCGGAGGCGGATAGGCAGTTAGGGGGCAGGGAGTGACATGGAAGGGTGGAGACTACAGGACAGGCATGATGTCACCTGCTGCTTTGAGCCACAATGGTGTGGGTGTGGTGTGAAATGTGTATGTGGGGAGGATGACATGGCTTGAGAGGCTTGATCTGGATTATCCGACAGTCACGGATAATGGGCTGCAGCAGCTGACTGCCCTGACCAAGCTGACAGAATTCTGGCCGCCAAAGGGGGGTAAACTTGTGGACGCAAGCGGATATTCGGGTAGTGTGGCAGAGACCGGTGGTGGAAATGAAGGGAGTGAGGGAAGAGTTGGCTGTGGCTGTCTAGGGGAGACGGAGGATGGGCGTGGAGGCAAGGGGTGTGAAGAATGAGGGGAGGCACGCATGCGGAGGAGTAAGGTGGGCAGCGTTCAGAAGCAGGACGGATGGGGAAGGGGAGGGGAGAGACGAGGCGGAGCAGGAGGGGAAGGGGAGGGGAGGCGGGAAGCTGGGGACAAGGGCGAGCAAGAGAGCAGTAAGTGAAGCGAGCAGCAGTGGCAGCAAGAGGGGCAGCAGCAGTGGCGGTAGCAGAGGTGGCAGCAGTGGCCGCATTGTATTGTAGGCTAGGCAAGGTGCAAGTTGGTGGCTGGGTCATGTTCATCCCGTGCACAGCTGTGGGTACCAGTAGGAGAATACTGATTGTGTGAACTTGTGCCCTTGACCTCAGACTGAGACGACGTACGGTACAAAACTTCGCTGGCAAATGCCTGATGTTGGGGATGATGGTGAGCTGTTGCATGCGGGTAAACTCTGGCTAGCCTCGCTGCCCTGATGTTGGGTGCAAGCTAGAATATGTCCCCCTTGAGTCTTTGCTCAATCCTACCAGTGTTTTACGCTAACTTCCAACATATTGGACTTGTATCGAATCGGTATGTATGCATGTGCAGCAGCGTGCTTTGCTAGATGTGTTGTGATATTCTTCAAAATGCATGGCTGATATACTTTCCGAATCTCGTACGGTATATGCCATGACATGACAGGATGTGCCACAACTGCACCTCCTCCCACAGGCACACTCCACTCCACCTGCTCAATGCACCCCTCTGTGGCTGGTTATTAGTGGCTCAGCTTCTGCTGGCACCCAATTGTATCCCTATGTGCTGTGCTCCAGTGGAATTTGCTGCGAGTGATTGATGGGCATGAATGAGTGCAAGAGAGGGAAAAGACTGAGGGAAGTGAAAGTGATTCAAAAAGACAGTGGAGACAGGGATGTGTAGTATGGGATGAGATATGAAATGGGGGGTGTTGGGGGATGGGATGAGATGTGAGATGAGTTGAAGTTATGGGGTGGTGTATACTGCACCGTTAACATGTACATTGAAAAAGCAATATCAGAAATAAACATATGTCTGTGTGTACTTGTTTATTCTTCAAGGTGCATAGAATAATACCAGTCACACTCAGAGCCCCACTCCTGCCTGAGATGCAAAACAATCTGCCGCTCTCTCCTCGCACTCTCTCCGCACCCTCCCTGCAAACGAGGCGCGTGCGATTCTATTCAGTCTGCAGTGTTCCAACGCAGGTGGGGGCCAGTATCGTTATTCTAAGAGCGAACGACACCTTGGATTGCCTCCAGATGAAATGAGCCACGTGTGACTTGACGCAGTTGTTGAGCTGGTGGGAGAAGGGATTGGCGAGGGGGAGCGGAGAGAGAGAGGGAGAGCCCGCAGGATGGGAAGGAGAAGGGAAAATGGGGACTGGAGTGAAGTTCAGACGCATGGCCTGTGCGAGTCGATGAGATTTCCCAGCTGGTTGGGGGAGGGAGTGCGGAGAGATGGCAATGAAGGCCAAAGCTGCCCATAAATGATCCCTCACAGCCACGTGCATAACAATGGACTCACGAGCCACAACAACCAATGCAGCACCTCCCATCTCACCAACATTGCCGCTCGACACCGCCCCTTAAAGCCCGAGTCTAGAATGGTAAGGGTTCAACTTCAAGATTCTTGAATTTATGTTCGTCAAGAACAGGGTAACCAGGTTCAGAAAGCTGATCTCTCGCGACTCACCGAGAAGGGAGCTGGTGGGCCAGAAGGTGATTGGCCAAATGCCCCTCAGCAAAAACACCAACGAGCCTCGCGAGAAACAAGCAAGGACAAGTACCACTGTTCACACTTTCGGAACTTGAAACTCGAGAACACCTTTCTAGACTCGTAGTATAGTGGGCTCCATAGCCCAAGTTCTCGTCAGTAGCCAGCATAGTTACGCCCATCTCCCCGCGCTATGCTAAGACGTTAGTAGCACATACAGATGAAACTTCCCGGCGATTTTTTCGCGCATAACAAATCCGATCTCGTAGCCATGAACAAAGACAGGACCCTCAGATTGATCGCCACCGTGAGAATCACTCGTCGCCACTGAAGGTTATCCCAGTCCGCACTCAATGCCGGTCCGCAATAACTCAAGGCCCGCCCTCACTCCCGTCGTTCACTCCCGTCGTTCTCTCTCTCCCGTCAAACTCTTTCTCCCATCGCGCTCTCACTCCCATCGCTCTCTCACTCCCGCAACGCTCTCACTCCCGTCGCTCTCTCACTCCCGTCGCTCTCTCACTCCCGTCGCTCTCTCACTCCCGTCGCTCTCTCACTCCCGCAACGCTCTCACTCCCGTCGCTCTCTCACTCCCGTCACGCTCTCACTCCGTCTCTCTCACTTCCGTCACGCTTTTACTACCGTCGCTCTCTCACTCCCGTCGCTCTCTCGCTTCCGTCGCGCTCTCACTACCATCGATCTCTCACGCCCGCAACGCTCTCACTCCGTCGCTCTCTCACTCCCGTCGCTCTCTCATTCCCGTCGCTCTCTCACTCCCGTCGCTCTCTCACTCCCGTCGCTCTCTCACTCCCGTCGCTCTCTCACTTCCGTCGCACTCTCACTCCCGTCGCTCTCTCACTTCCGTCCCGCTCTCACTCCCGTCACCCACGCACGTCGCTCGCACATGTCGCTCATATCTGCTCCTTCCCCCCTCTTCCCCCTTGCGCCCTTCCCCGTTCCTCCTCTTCCCATCTTCCTTTGTCACTCACACACGTCACACACGACATGCTCACACATGTTCCCATCTCCCCTCTCCTCCCTTCCCTCTCCGCTGCTCTCCTCCTTTCCCTCTCTGTCCCCCTCCTTCCCTTCTCTGTCTTCGCCTCGCCGCCCTCCCACTCATCCCCTCTCCTTCCTTTCCCTCTCAGCCCCTCTCCTCCTTTCCCTCTCAGCCCCTCTCCTCTTTTCCCTCTCAGTCCCTCTCTTCCTTTACCTCTCTCCCGTTTTCTCCCTTTATCTCTCCTCTGCCCGCTCTGCCCTTTCCTCTACCTTCCCTATCCTTATGTCCACCAACATGCCCTTTGATGAGCTCGCCACGTTTCTCCCTCCCTGTTTCTTGTTCTTCACTCCGTTTCCCCCATTGTCCTTCCCTATCTTTCCCCCCGGTCATTCCCTCCATCTCACTTATTGTCACTGCCTCCCTTTCCCATTGTCCTCTCCTCCGTTTCGCCCCTTTTTCCTTCCAACCTTTCCCCCATGTCCTTCCTTCCGTATTTCCCCTTATTTCTTCCTCCCTGTCCCACTTTCCCTCCTTCTCAAGACCCTTGTCCGTCCCTCGGGCTCCCCGCTTCAGCTCTCCCTCCCTTTCCCCCCTGTTCTGCCCTCCCAGTTGCTGGTGTCTCCCTCCCTTTCGCCCAAGTCCTTCCCTCCGTTTCCCCCCTTGTTCGTTGCTCCGTATCCCCGTGTGCTGGATCCGTTTCTCCTCTTGTCTCCATCTTTTTCCCTTTCCGCAGCTCCCGCCCCTCCGATTTCCCCCCTGGTTTGCCCCTCCGTTGCCTTTCTCCCCTTCATCCCTCTTGCCCTTTTCCGATCATCTGTTGCCCCATGCCCCACGCCCCATGCCCCATGCCCCATGCCTCACACCTCATATCTCAACACCCTGCCACTGTGCCCTTCATGGTCAGATAGGGTTCCTGCCGGCGGCAGCAGCAGCCAACCTCACAGAGGAAGTGGTGGTTCGCTTTGACTGCCTTTCCAACGCTCGAGAGCTCTCACGCCCACGACCACAGGCACACCACACACCCCTGACACTGAGGTAGTGGCCTCCAACAGGGGGTAGTTGGGAGGTCAATCAAATAGTCTCTTTCGTTTGCCTTCTCTGCATTGGTATCACGTCACACTCTTCTACCATCTTTCCACCACCCATTCCACCATACCCACCCTGACACTCATCCCTCACCCTTCCACTCTGTGCCTTACTCACTCCTTCGCTGTTTCTGTCCTTCTCTCACTTTCCCTTTGCTCTCTGTCATCTTGCTCACCCTGTTCCTTGCTCACTCATACATTTGTTGTTTCTGTCCTTTGCTCGCTGTCCCCTGCTCACCCTTCAATCTTTGCCCCTGCCTCGCTGTTGCATTCCTTGTCATTCCCCTCCCATTCCTTCCTCTGCACGCGATCCGTGCTGCCCTTCACCGTATGCTTCCCTGCTGCTCAGCCATCTCACATCTAATTTCCTGATTTGTGTTTGTACAGGTCCGCTATGCATCAGTGCTGGTGCTGTGGTGATGTGTTGGTTGGCAGTTTGATAGTACTATAATGACTTGCCATGCATTGTTTGGATCTTGGATGCTTTGTTATACCGGTATTACAAACTTTGAGCTGAGAGCAGCCGTGCACATGACCACTACAAAAAAGTGCAACAAAATTCGCAGTTGATTATCGACGCGAAGAAGACAGCTAGGAAATGTATTTTTTTTTCCCCCGTTCTTGTTTGCTACACTGCATGCAACCTTGGCCTGTGGTGTTGGGGGCCTGGGACCTGTACACTGCGTGGTTGGAGATGGGTATGAGTGAAAGGGGGAACAGATTGAGCAGCGGAAGAGAGAGTGAACAGGAAGAAACATAGCGAACAGGGGGAAAGAGAGTGAGCAGAGAGGAACAGAGCGAGTAGTTGGGGAGAGTATGGGCAGGAGAAACACAGTGAGCGGGAGAGAATGAGCAGGGGAAACAGATTGACCCAGGAAAATAAGGACGGAAAGATGAGCAGAATGAATGGGAGGGGGATGGGAGAGCGATGGGAGGGGGATGGGAGGGGGATGGGAGGGCGATGGGAGGGAGATGGAAGGGGGATGGGAGGGGGATGGGAGGGGGGATGGGATGGGGATGAGAGGGGGGTGGGAGGGGGATGAGAGGGGGGTGGGAGGGGGATGGGATGGGGGCGGGAGGGGGATGGGAGGGGGATGGGAGGGGGATGGGAGGGAGATGGGAGGGGGGATGGGAGGGGGATGGGAGGGGGATGGGAGGGGGATGGGAGGAGGATGGACGGGGGGTGGGAGGGGGATGGGAGGGGGATGGGAGGGGGATGGGAGGGGGATGGGAGGGGGATGGGATGGGGATGGGAGGGGGATGGGAGGGGGATGGGAGGGGGATGGGAGGGGGATGGGAGGGGGATGGGAGGGGGATGAGAGGGGGGTGGGAGGGGGTTGGGAGGGGGATGGGAGGGGGATGGGAGGGCGGCGGGAGGGGGATGGGAGGGCGATGGGAGGGGGATGGAAGGGGGATGGGAGGAGGATGGGAGGGGGATGGGAGGAGGATGGGAGGGGGATGGGAGGGGGATGGGAGGGGGATGGGAGGGGGATGGGAGGGGGATGGGAGGGGGATGGGAGGGGGATGGGAGGGGGATGAGAGGGGGGTGGGAGGGGGTTGGGAGGGGGAGGGGAGGGGGATGGGAGGGCGGCGGGAGGGGGATGGGAGGGCGATGGGAGGGGGATGGAAGGGGGATGGGAGGGAGATGGGAGGGGGATGGGAGGGGGATGGGAGGGGGATGGGAGGCGGATGGGAGGGGGATGGGAGGAGGATGAGAGGGGGATGAGAGGGGGATGGGAGGGGGATGGGAGGGGGATGGGAGGGGGATGGGAGGGGGATGGGAGGGCGACGGGAGGGCGATGGGAGGGGGACGGGAGGGCGATTGGCGGGGGACGGGAGGGGGACGGGAGGGGGACGGGAGGGGGACGGGAGGGGGATGGGAGGTCGACGGGAGGGGGAAGCGAGGGCGACGGGAGGGGGAAGCGAGGGCGACGGGAGGGGGAAGCGAGGGCGACGGGAGGGGAAAGCGAGGGCGACGGGAGGGGAAAGCGAGGGCGATGGGCGGGGGAAGCGAGGGCGATGGGCGGGGGAAGCTGGTGCGACGGATGGGGGAAGCTGTGGCGACGGACGGTGGATGCGAGATATGGACGGACGGGGGAAGCGGAGTCGACAACGCTCTAATTTCTCATCTTGCACAATATCTCCTTGCTTCACACTCGCATTCGAGCCACATTCCCTACCTCGGTCCTCGGATTCCTCTCGATTCCGGCATAAAAGCATATGTTCTCACATGTCATACCCAGCTATTTTACTCTGGATACTTCATATTTTCCTAACACTGATGCTCTATCTGGTCTTACGCATGTTTTTCTCAGGCTGCTCAAAGAGAGTGCTTGTGGACATGGCGGAAATCCGGGTTGTGAGCTTCATGAGAGTGGTTGGGTTTGGTTTTGTCGAAGCTGTTTGTTCAAGTTTCGGGAAGTTGAAGTTGAAGTTGCGATACACTTTCGGGCATTCTGCCTTCGCCAACTTCCTCAGGCGAATTTTTCTCTCGTCAACCTTCGCGCAACCCTTCTCAAGTTCAGTATTTATGAACCCTTGCCATTCTAGGCGCGGGCTTTAACCCCACGGCCTATCACCCTCCACCGAAATTTACCTGAAGGCCCAATCTGCTGCAGCAAGATAGAGCCCAATCGCGACCTCCTTGATGATTGTGGTGAGGCAAAAGGGCAGTGCCTCTAGCAGTGGCAGAAGGGCAGTGGTTCTCGATGTTGGACTGGTCGGAGCTGATCCACATGAACACCCGCATATTCTCGGTTGCAACGGTTGACTCATGGGTACCAAACCAAACCAACAACATATGCAGCGCATCCCATCTCGCCAACACTGCCGCTGAACTCCGCCCCTTAACCCGATGCCCATCAACCCCCCTTCACATTCACCTGAAGGCCCTCTTTGGTGCAGCAAAGGAGAGTACAGCCGTGACCTCCTTGATGCGCATGGTAAGGCAGAAAGGCAGTAGGTGTTGATGTTGGACAGGTCGGAGCTGATTCCGGTGAATGTGACGAGAGGGGAGGGGAAGGGAAGGGAAGGAGAGGGAATGGGGAGGGAAAGGGGAGGGAATGGGGAGGGAAAGGGGAGGGAATGGGGAGGGAATGGGGAGGGATTGGGGAGGGGAATGGGAAGGATTGGGGAGGGATTAAGGAGAGGAATGCGAGGGTGAATGGGGAGGGTGGATGGAGGGAAGGTGGAGGATAAAGGGAGGGGAAAGGGAGCGTAAAGGGAGGGGGAGGGGAGGGAAAGGGGAGTGGAAAGGTGAGGGGAAGGGGAGGGGAACGGGAGGGGAAGGGGAGGGGAAGAGGAGGGGAATAGGAGGGGAATGGGAGGGAAGAAGAGGGAAAGGGGGAGAGAATGGGAGGGGGAGGAGAGGGCAAGGGTAGGGAAAGGGGTCGGAAAGATGAGCGGAAGCAGGTTGTTGCTTGGTGTATAAAATGAAAGGAAGGTACCTCTCACTCAGCCATGCACTTGTGTCATATGGACAACATGAACGCCATGCAGAAAGCATGCACACACCATGCACACCAATCACACACCATGCACACCAATCACACACCATGCACACCAATCACACACCGTGCACACCAATCACACACCATGCACACCAATCACACACCATGCACACCAATCACACACCATGCACACCAATCACACACCATGCACACCAATCACACACCGTGCACACCAATCACACACCATGCACACCAATCACACACCGTGCACACCAATCACACACCATGCACACCAATCACACACCATGCACACCAATCACACACCATGCACACCAATCACACACCATGCACACCAATCACACACCATGCACACCAATCACACACCATGCACACCAATCACACACCATGCACACCAATCACACACCGTGCACACCAATCACACACCTGCACACCAATCACACACCGTGCACACCAATCACACACCATGCACACCAATCACACACCATGCACACCAATCACACACCATGCACACCAATCACACACCATGCACACCAATCACACACCATGCACACCAATCACACACCATGCACACCAATCACACACCATGCACAAAAACCATGTACACACATAGCACCCACCCAACCGCCCACCCCACTCAGCACTCATAGGGCTGCAGATCTTGTACTCGTACCTCTCAGGGTCATGCTCTTAACGTCGCTTGCCGCCTCTGCCGCCTCTGGAAGGCCGTGCCACGTGCCCTTCCAGAGGAAGGAGGTAACACAGTAAGGACAGCAATGGGGGCGGAGAGCCACAAACATTGGTGGCACAGCAAGTGAGGGGGAAGGAGAAATCAATGGAAGCAGGCATGGGGTTAGAAACACACTCGCAGTTCCATTACACTGGGTGCGTGTGAGAGCGGGAAGCGAAAGGAAGGACGGGAAGGAGGAGGGGGGAGGGGAAGGGATAAGAACGCAAGGCAGCAACAGTAATGCTCTATACATGTAATAAGTCATATACGCTCCACATGCTGAACGACCACAGTACGTACCTGGCACTGGAAATTGTATCTGTAGAGGAAAAAGTGGGCTAGCTGAGAGAAAGAGTCAATGATTAGGCCACTGCAAGGCATGCGCACATCATGGGGGGATCACGCTGTGTTATGCATGGGCTGGACGTTGAGAAGGATTGACGGGGGTCTGTCCCAGTCGTCCGAAACATGTTTGCGTTTTAATCGCTGTAGTGGACTTAGAGCTCAGTTTCGATCTTGTTTTTTGAACTGGCAACACAAGAGTTTTAAACTCTACTGTTTTTCTTCTGCTAAAGAATTCTCCTAAGCTGCAGCTCGCCTAGTCTCATGGCTGTGTTATGCATGGGCTGGACGTTGAGAAGGATTGACGGGGGTCTGTCCCAGTCGTCCGAAACATGTTTGCGTTTTAATCGCTGTAGTGGACTTAGAGCTCAGTTTCGATCTTGTTTTTTGAACTGGCAACACAAGAGTTTTAAACTCTACTGTTTTTCTTCTGCTAAAGAATTCTCCTAAGCTGCAGCTCGCCTAGTCTCATGGCTGTGTTATGCATGGGCTGGACGTTGAGAAGGATTGACGGGGGTCTGTCCCAGTCGTCCGAAACATGTTTGCGTTTTAATCGCTGTAGTGGACTTAGAGCTCAGTTTCGATCTTGTTTTTTGAACTGGCAACACAAGAGATTTAAACTCTACTGTTTTTCTTCTGCTAAAGAATTCTCCTAAGCTGCAGCTCGCCTAGTCTCATGGCTGTGTTATGCATGGGCTGGACGTTGAGAAGGATTGACGGGGGTCTGTCCCAGTCGTCCGAAACATGTTTGCGTTTTAATCGCTGTAGTGGACTTAGAGCTCAGTTTCGATCTTGTTTTTTGAACTGGCAACACAAGAGTTTTAAACTCTACTGTTTTTCTTCTGCTAAAGAATTCTCCTAAGCTGCAGCTCGCCTAGTCTCATGGCTGTGTTATGCATGGGCTGGACGTTGAGAAGGATTGACGGGGGTCTGTCCCAGTCGTCCGAAACATGTTTGCGTTTTAATCGCTGTAGTGGACTTAGAGCTCAGTTTCGATCTTGTTTTTTGAACTGGCAACACAAGAGTTTTAAACTCTACTGTTTTTCTTCTGCTAAAGAATTCTCCTAAGCTGCAGCTCGCCTAGTCTCATGGCTGTGTTATGCATGGGCTGGACGTTGAGAAGGATTGACGGGGGTCTGTCCCAGTCGTCCGAAACATGTTTGCGTTTTAATCGCTGTAGTGGACTTAGAGCTCAGTTTCGATCTTGTTTTTTGAACTGGCAACACAAGAGTTTTAAACTCTACTGTTTTTCTTCTGCTAAAGAATTCTCCTAAGCTGCAGCTCGCCTAGTCTCATGGCTGTGTTATGCATGGGCTGGACGTTGAGAAGGATTGACGGGGGTCTGTCCCAGTCGTCCGAAACATGTTTGCGTTTTAATCGCTGTAGTGGACTTAGAGCTCAGTTTCGATCTTGTTTTTTGAACTGGCAACACAAGAGTTTTAAACTCTACTGTTTTTCTTCTGCTAAAGAATTCTCCTAAGCTGCAGCTCGCCTAGTCTCATGGCTGTGTTATGCATGGGCTGGACGTTGAGAAGGATTGACGGGGGTCTGTCCCAGTCGTCCGAAACATGTTTGCGTTTTAATCGCTGTAGTGGACTTAGAGCTCAGTTTCGATCTTGTTTTTTGAACTGGCAACACAAGAGTTTTAAACTCTACTGTTTTTCTTCTGCTAAAGAATTCTCCTAAGCTGCAGCTCGCCTAGTCTCATGGCTGTGTTATGCATGGGCTGGACGTTGAGAAGGATTGACGGGGGTCTGTCCCAGTCGTCCGAAACATGTTTGCGTTTTAATCGCTGTAGTGGACTTAGAGCTCAGTTTCGATCTTGTTTTTTGAACTGGCAACACAAGAGTTTTAAACTCTACTGTTTTTCTTCTGCTAAAGAATTCTCCTAAGCTGCAGCTCGCCTAGTCTCATGGCTGTGTTATGCATGGGCTGGACGTTGAGAAGGATTGACGGGGGTCTGTCCCAGTCGTCCGAAACATGTATGCGTTTTAATCGCTGTAGTGGACTTAGAGCTCAGTTTCGATCTTGTTTTTTGAACTGGCAACACAAGAGTTTTAAACTCTACTGTTTTTCTTCTGCTAAAGAATTCTCCTAAGCTGCAGCTCGCCTAGTCTCATGGCTGTGTTATGCATGGGCTGGACGTTGAGAAGGATTGACGGGGGTCTGTCCCAGTCGTCCGAAACATGTATGCGTTTTAATCGCTGTAGTGGACTTAGAGCTCAGTTTCGATCTTGTTTTTTGAACTGGCAACACAAGAGTTTTAAACTCTACTGTTTTTCTTCTGCTAAAGAATTCTCCTAAGCTGCAGCTCGCCTAGTCTCATGGCTGTGTTATGCATGGGCTGGACGTTGAGAAGGATGGTTAGCATGGCACGAAAGTGGAGAGGAAAGGGGAGGAAAGGAATGTGGGGGGGACAAGGGTGGAAGGAAGGGGGAATTTGGGTGGGGAGGGATTATTGAGGTTGCGCATATCTCATATGCCAACCAGGAGGGCGGACAACTCCCAAGAAGGGAGCGACAGAGGGAAGGGTGAAGGATCCAGGATATATTTCCTGGATGGAAGGGGGATGGAAGGGGCAGGGAGGAGCGGGATGTTAGGACAGGAGGGGAGGGGATGGATGTTCAGGCGAGCACGTATGGAGGTGGCCGGTTGGTCGTGAGAACCCAATCTTATTTAGGTATCTTGACTAAACTGAAGTCGCACTCATCAACTAGCAACGGCACACTCACCCGTAGATGGAGCAACACAGGCATGCTTAAGCACCCCTTTGCACATTGCCTGTGATGGTGCCATGTGCTCGCACCTCTTCATCCCTCACGTGGAGCCCAAGAGCCCCACGTGACCAATACGTAAAGAGCAGAAAGCAGCTAACGCCCATGGTAAAAGGTCGCATCCACGGATTTTGCTCTTCCCTCCCACGCCCCACTCCTCTCCTGCCCTACTCTCCCACCCACTCCCTCCTGCCCACCTCGACGCCCCACAATAAATAGGGCAGACTTAACTGCCCAACGGATTTTGTTGCACATGGCTATGCCATGCTGCCTAACTATTTGTCACAGAGATCTGTGGGATCCTCACGACCAGTACAGGGCAGGGTTTAGGCTATTGGTGTGGGAAGGGGAAGGGGACGTGGAGGAGAGAGGGAAGGAGGTCGACGCATACTGGTGAGCAAGAAACAGGGAGTGGAACATAGCTGATGACGGCATTGCAGAGAGAACGCGTTCAATCTGCTGCATAAGCAAACTAGCGCCACAACTGGGATACCAGGATTGGATAGGCAAAGGGACGAAAAGAGATATAGCAGGAGAAAGTGATTCAGATCCCTCCATCCACTCCGTGTCTCTCACCTCCACTGCATGTGGTGTGGCCCTGCCTGTCATCAGCTAAGAAGCCATCCACACGCTCATGGCATGTGCTAGTTCTCACGTGGAGCTTGAAATCCCCGATTGACCAGCGTACAATGATCAGAGCGCAGCTAACGCTCACTCACACAGAGTCAAACCACATTACGGCTGCTGCTGCCTCACTCTTCCCAATAACACCTCCATCGTCGCCCCCGCGCATCCACCCTCATGTAATGTATGGCTCTGCCACACTGCCTGGCTCCACGTCGCAGCCATGAGTTGGGCACCTCATGACTAGTTCATGAATACTGCTGTTGGTGTGGACGAGGGAGGGGAGGCGTAAAAGGTAAAGGGGTACTTCAGAGTGAGGAGGGAGGCAGACAGCAGTTGATGGCATTGCATACCAAATGAATGCTAGATGGGAGGGACAAGAACAACGGAAGGGGAGGGGGTGAGGATAATGAGGGGGGTTTGTGGGAAGGGAGCTTTGCAATGTCACCAGTCATGATGTCATATGACACCCATGAGGGTGGTCAGCTCCTCCTGCTGCTTATACCACCCACCCACCACACTTGCAGAACCACTGATGTGTTAACTGCACATATTCCTGTAAAGAAATTCAGGTTTTATTAGAGGGGCAAAGAAGAGATGGGACAGGTGAATTGAATAATAGGTGAATTGATGGAAGAATGAGTGCAGTGACTAAGGGTGGGAAAGCAGTGGAGAACGGGGGGCGGAAGGGGGTGGAGGGATGTGGCAAGTATGCGGTGAAGCAATCCAAAAGGTACAATGGAAGGGGACATGGAGGAAGTTGAGGGGGAAGTTAAGGGATGTAGAAAGGCTAAGGGAGGTGGCTCGCTGTGCATGATGTGAAATCAGCTGGTAATTTGCTGCTGGTCAAGAGTTTCCTAGCTCCGGGCAAACCACCAGAGGTGTTGCCACGATGCACATAAATCCTAGTATCATTGCCTACATATCTGTCAACTGCGGACGAGGTAGTATAACGGAGGGCCTGCTGCATGTTATATGCCATGCAATGTATGGTCTAACATCTGTTGGAAACAATTAATTGTGAGCGCCTCTGTCGTGTCGAAACACCAAGTCAGAAGCGAAGCGAAGCATATCGAAGCACTGGCGAGTCAACCCTCGGAAGTTGAGCAGTTGCTGGAGGTTACGCGAAAGTCAAAGGTCAGCGACCTTTGACCTGACAAATACAGCGCGACAGCAAGGACACACAACTGACTCGTTACAAAGCAGTTGCCCGAGTCGTCACTGTATCGAACCGCAACAGCAACAGTAAAACAGTTGAAATCGTATCTCTTCGTATTCCCTGTACTCTTATATAATCTTGTATCTCTTTGCTTTAATCAATCAACTTTGCCCTCACATACTAGCGCAAGGTGGTTCACAACTCTTCATTAAATGCTTCCGCTACTACATCAGTTCTACCCAGAGTTCACCCCTGCAAAGATCCTAAGGGCTATTTTCTCAGCCCAACAACATCTCCCAGCAATGTCCCTGATTTGCATTGAGAGAGCCAACAAGTAGTAACATCTACAGGGTCAAGGAAATTCCCCACAGCCACTTCAGGAAACGTTGTCTTCACAAGATCCTCCAAGCCGTTAACATTTGAATACAGTCTCTTAAAGTTGGCCAGGCGCTGCAAGCACTTCACTGCAACTTCACATGTAACTGTGCTTCGCCACAACTGCAAGCTTTCCAGACTAGTCACCTGCCCAATGTGCTCCATGCCTGCATCGGTAATCCTTTCTACAGAGAGAATCTTCAGCCTCGTCAGGGAGGTCAAATGTTGCAGTCCACCATCCTTCACTCCACTCCCATCCGCCCACAGCTGCTCAAGGCTTGTCAGCCTCCCCACATGCTCCATGCCAGCAGATGTGACACCCTCGCATCCGGAAAAACTAAGATTCTCGAGTGAGGAAAGAGCTGTGAGGTGCAGCAGGCCAGCATCGGTCACACTGGTGTTGTCAAGAATGAGCCACATAAGGCTCCTTACTTCCCCAATGCCTTCTAAGGCATCATCTGAAACAATGGTGTTGAAGAGATAAAGCCTTTCCAGGCGTGACAGCTTGAAGAGGTGCTTTATACCCTCTAGAGTGAAGCCTGAAGACTTGCCCAAGTGAACTGAGTTCAAGTGGGTCATTGTAGACACAACACGCAGGGCTGAGTCTGAGACGCTGGTGAGGCCCTTTAACTCCAAAGAAGTTCGTCTCAACATTACCCCACTGAATGCTGACAGGAGAGCCTGGAGGGAATTCACAGCAAAGGCAGGTACGAGCATAGAATCAGAAAAAGGCATTCATGCATCGACCAAAAGAACTGCAAAGGTGTGGCATTAATGCTCTAAACACTAAGCAGGAAGCTAGGAGATTGCAATTCACGTACTCAGCTTCCCGATCCCTGCAATTACTACTTACATCCAACACTTGTGTGCTGCCCCAGTTGCCTCGTACAAGGGCGAGTACAGCTTCCTCCAGGGCAGCTTCAATCTTCAGCAGACGGCTGGTTTGCTCAGCGACCTCTTCTTTCACTGCTTCCACCTCTTCTTTCACTGCTGCCACCTCCCCCTCTGCTGCTGCCACCTCCCCCTTTGCTGCTGCCACCTCCCCCTTTGCTGCTGCCAACTTCTCTGCTTGCCCTGTCATTACAGTCTTTTGTGCTGCCAACTTCCTTTTTCCTACAGCAAACTTCCTGTTGGCGGCTGCTAATTCTCCCTTAACCGCTGCCAGCTCCTCTGCATGTACTGTCAACGCGTTATCGTGTGCAGCCAATGCCACCTTGGCTGCCGCCAATTCCTCTGCTTGCCCTGTCAACGAGTTCTTCTGTTCTGCCAACCCCTTTTTGGTTGCTCTCACCTCCTTTGCTTGCCTTGTGATCGCTCTCTTGTGTTCAGCCAACTCCCTCTTTGTCTCTTCCAGCTGCACGTCAAGAGCCCTCATTCTCATCTCCATCGCCTCTATCAACTCGCGCATTCCAACCATACTCGCTATGGCAGTCCCAGCAGCTTCCCGCACTCTCTGCAACCCAAAATGAGCATGATTCCTACGCATTACAGCACACAGGTGGCAGCACACGAGTGCAGATGGGCACCAGACATGGAAACGAAAAACTTGGGAAGGCTGAGTGAAAAAAAATGCAGGTGGTGCATCAGGAGATATGAGGAAGCCAAGAGAGGAACACAGTAAAATTGAGCAGAGAGAGAGCTCAGATCGTAAAGAAAAAGGTCGTACAAAATGACAGCATTATTACACAAGAAGCCATTCGTGTACCACAGAAAAGGATCACATTAGAACAAGAAAAGAAAAAGAAACAAAATAATTACATTGGAAACGAGAAGACATGAGAACGGAAGGAACAACGATGAGGTTGGAAATCAGTGAGGTGCGGCAAGCTCACATGGGGCTGTGCAGCAGAGGGAAGATACCGCGTGTCTGCAGCATGATGAGGGCGACGAAGGGAAGGAAGGAGAGACGAGTGGTGAAGGGGGGAAAGGAAGGGAAGGAACGAGTGGTGAAGGGAGTGAAGGAGAGGGGAAGAAAGATGAGGAGGATGCGAGATGGGTTAGGAATGCACAGCCACATGTAAACGAGGAGTGAGTGGAGGCATGAAATAGAGCGGAGATCGCCTCGAGAAGAAACGATTCGCAGACAGGCAAACGCCACAGTGGTGGGGAGCAGAGCGTATGGCATACCAGGAGGCACTTGGTTGCACTCTTCAGCTTCATCAGCCCAGCCGTCACAGCCAAGCCCTGCTGATGCACTCATGCTCTGACTTGCGTGTGGGTCACACCCATCCCCCACAGCAGTGCCACGAGAGTGGCGACGAGAGTGGCGATGGCAGTATACATCATGAGTAGATAAAATTCACCCGGAGACTGCAGGTGCGGGACAACAAGGGCGTAAGCAGTGACGCATGAGTAAGGAAAGGGCACTAAATTCCAGAACAAAGGATTCAGGCATGACTGTTGGTTTGTTGCAGCAAGGTGCAACCACAGAAGCTTCGATCATCACAACAGGCACCTGGGTGTGGAGGGAGTGAAGGGGCACGTTGAGAGTGTGGCCATGCTGTGGAGAGGTGAGAAAGAAATCAGCACGAGTGGGAGATAGGCACGTGGCATTCTGACACGTGGCAGCGGGAATGGCCTGGGAGGTAGGCAACTCGCGCATGCATGCAAACGGGGACACATGCATACACATTACTACGTTGCTAAATACGAGTACCGAGTATAATACGTTAGCGTATTATACGCTTGGTATATACGCGGTACGCCAAGGCTGGCGTACTGCTGATACGCAAAAATACGCTGGCGGGCAGCTAAAACTTTTTTTCCCGGGCAGGTATAAAAAAACCTGTTTCAGGGGGGGGTTCAGGCCGAAAACAACACATGTCAATATTTTATTTCATAAATATCCAGAAATACATAGTTCATCCACATAATCCCCACCCTCTAGCGAGCTTCCCCACAGCCTATTTCCTTGCGGGGCTTTTCCACCACCACACCAGCAGGTGAACTGCGCAGCGAGTGGTTCCGCCCTCAAACTTGAAGCCACAAAACTTACAAAGCTTGGGATTGCCTTTGGTGTGGGGGGGAATAAGAAAATGTTTCAGAATGGGGTTCGAAAGGCCAGCCTCAACAGGCTGCGTGTTGATCGCACTACTAGACGCGTGAACAGAAGCTACATTGCTCGTCGCGCTAGGAGGGGTGGAGTTCGACGCCATGGGGCGCGACTAAGGAACGGTAAACTGCTTGAGGAAAACGGGAGATCAGAGCTCGGGAATGAAATTGAGGAGGAGAGAAACGAATGAAGGATAGGAAGGCGTCAACGAGTAAATGCTCACATGACGTGCTGGACATTTGAGAGGGGTGGTTGGATATGAGAGGTTTGGTGGGGTGGTGTGTGGTTGGGGTGGTGGGAGGTTTGGATTCTGAAATTTGAATTTCAGACGTGGGTTGGGCGATGTGCTTGGTCGCGTAACCAGTCGCGAAGCCCTAATAACCGTCGCAAATTTTTTTCAATTTCGATTTTTTTTTTTCGCCAGGCTGCCCGCGCGTTTTTTCACGAATTCGAAGCGTATTAGCGTACCACGTACGTACGCAATCGTATATACGTGGTACGCCACCCTACCCAGAGCGTATTTGGCAACGTAGTCACTCACGTCCCCTGCCAGCCATGGCACTGATCTCTCACGTCCCCTGCCAGTGATCACTCACGTCCCCTGCCAGCCATGGCACTGATCTCTCACGTCCCCTGCCAGTGATCACTCACGTCCCCTGCCAGCCATGGCACTGATCTCTCACGTCCCCTGGCAGTGATCACTCACGTCCCCTGCCAGCCATGGCACTGATCTCTCACGTCCCCTGGCAGTGATCACTCACGTCCCCTGCCAGCCATGGCACTGATCTCTCACGTCCCCTGCCAGTGATCACTCACGTCCCCTGCCAGCCATGGCACTGATCTCTCACGTCCCCTGCCAGTGATCACTCACGTCCCCTGCCAGCCATGGCACTGATCTCTCACGTCCCCTGCCAGTGATCACTCACGTCCCCTGCCAGCCATGGCACTGATCTCTCACGTCCCCTGCCAGTGATCACTCACGTCCCCTGCCAGCCATGGCACTGATCTCTCACGCTAAGGTGCCAAATACGCTCTGGGTAGGGTGGCGTACCACGTATATACGATTGCGTACGTACGTGGTACGCTAATACGCTTCGAATTCGTGAAAAAACGCGCGGGCAGCCCGGCGAAAAAAAAAATCGAAATGGAAAAAATTTTGCGACGGTTATTAGGGCTTCGCGACTGGTTACGCGACCAAGCACATCGCCCAACCCACGTCTGAAATTCAAATTTCAGAATCCAAACCTCCCACCACCCCAACCACACACCACCCCACCAAACCTCTCATATCCAACCACCCCTCTCAAATGTCCAGCACGTCATGTGAGCATTTACTCGTTGACGCCTTCCTATCCTTCATTCGTTTCTCTCCTCCTCAATTTCATTCCCGAGCTCTGATCTCCCGTTTTCCTCAAGCAGTTTACCGTTCCTTAGTCGCGCCCCATGGCGTCGAACTCCACCCCTCCTAGCGCGACGAGCAATGTAGCTTCTGTTCACGCGTCTAGTAGTGCGATCAACACGCAGCCTGTTGAGGCTGGCCTTTCGAACCCCATTCTGAAACATTTTCTTATTCCCCCCCACACCAAAGGCAATCCCAAGCTTTGTAAGTTTTGTGGCTTCAAGTTTGAGGGCGGAACCACTCGCTGCGCAGTTCACCTGCTGGTGTGGTGGTGGAAAAGCCCCGCAAGGAAATAGGCTGTGGGGAAGCTCGCTAGAGGGTGGGGATTATGTGGATGAACTATGTATTTCTGGATATTTATGAAATAAAATATTGACATGTGTTGTTGTCGGCCTGAACCCCCCCCTGAAACAGATTTTTTTATACCTGCCCGGGAAAAAAAGTTTTAGCTGCCCGCCAGCGTATTTTTGCGTATCAGCAGTACGCCAGCCTTGGCGTACCGCGTATATACCAAGCGTATAATACGCTAACGTATTATACTCGGTACTCGTATTTAGCAACGTAGCTCTCACGTCCCCTGCCAGTGATCACTCATGTCCCCTGCCAGCCATGGCACTGATCTCTCACGTCCCCTGCCAGTGATCACTCACGTCCCCTGCCAGCCATGGCACTGATCTCTCACGTCCCCTGCCAGTGATCACTCACGTCCCCTGCCAGCCATGGCACTGATCTCTCACGTCCCCTGCCAGTGATCACTCACGTCCCCTGCCAGCCATGGCACTGATCTCTCACGTCCCCTGCCAGTGATCACTCACGTCCCCTGCCATGATGGCACGCCAGGCATCTTTGTGAAGTGGATTGATGCTGATGAATGCGATGACTGCGATGGCAGTGCCGAGAACGACACCGACCAGCAGCCCTGGCAGCAGCATGGCCACTGCAGTCATCCGAGCCATGGCTGATGGGGCGAGCCCAATGCAAGGCGTGAGTCTGCACAGTGAGGTGTGGAAAGAGCAGGGGAGGGAGATGGCCAGTGGCAGGGGAAGGAGGGGATAAGCGGCAGCAGCAAGGGAAGGAGGGGATAAGCGACAGAAGCAAGGGAAGGAGGGGATAAGCGACAGAAGCAAGGGAAGGAGGGGATAAGCGGCAGAAGCAAGGGAAGGAGGGGATAAGCGACAGAAGCAAGGGAAGGAGGGGATAAGCGACAGATGCAATGGAAGAAGGGGATAAGCGACAGAAGCAAGGGAAGGAGGGGATAAGCGGCAGCAGCAAGGGAAGGAGGGGATAAGCGACAGAAGCAAGGGAAGGAGGGGATAAGCGGCAGAAGCAAGGGAAGGAGGGGATAAGCGACAGAAGCAAGGGAAGGAGGGGATAAGCGACAGATGCAATGGAAGAAGGGGATAAGCGACAGAAGCAAGGGAAGGAGGGGATAAGCGGCAGCAGCAAGGGAAGGAGGGGATAAGCGACAGAAGCAAGGGAAGGAGGGGATAAGCGACAGAAGCAAGGGAAGGAGGGGATAAGCGACAGAAGCAAGGGAAGGAGGGGATAAGCGGCAGAAGCAAGGGAAGGAGGGGATAAGCGACAGAAGCAAGGGAAGGAGGGGATAAGCGACAGAAGCAAGGGAAGGAGGGGATAAGCGACCGAAGCAATGGAAGAAGGGGATAAGCGACAGAAGCAAGGGAAGGAGGGGATAAGCGGCAGCAGCAAGGGAAGGAGGGGATAAGCGACAGAAGCAAGGGAAGGAGGGGATAAGCGACAGAAGCAAGGGAAGGAGGGGATAAGCGACAGAAGCAAGGGAAGGAGGGGATAAGCGACAGAAGCAATGGAAGAAGGGGATAAGCGACAGAAGCAAGGGAAGGAGGGGATAAGCGACAGAAGCAAGGGAAGGAGGGGATAAGCGACAGAAGCAAGGGAAGGAGGGGATAAGCGACAGAAGCAAGGGAAGGAGGGGATAAGCGACAGAAGCAAGGGAAGGAGGGGATAAGCGACAGAAGCATAGGATGGACGGTGTAAGCGGCAGGAGGGAATAATAAGTGACAGGACAACACAAACAGTTGCGTCTGGGCGCAATTGGCCTTTGGATAGGAATAGAGTGGGAATATGGGGACAAGATTCAAGCGCATGGAGACTGTTGGCGAGTGAAGAAGGAATCACATGAAGGAACACGACGATGATTGTCGAACCTAGGTGCATCTGCAGGTGAGGTGGGCAAAAAGGGCAGCATGGCTGGCAAAAAGGAGAGGCAGCAGGAAGTGGACGTTGATGGATGGAAGGAGCGAAGCAGCAACTCAGGAAGGATGCAGAGAAGTGGGATGGATATCCTGTGTTTAAAGTTGCATACCTTGCGAGGTGAGTGCAGAACGGCGAAATGCTGTGGAGAAGGGCAGCTCACGTGATTGGCGAGCAGAGAGCGCAATCTGGCAGCAGCAGAAATTCAGCAGGCTGGGGTGGGGGACAAGACGCACGAGATACGCAGAGTGCAGAAAATGCGTGAATTCACGAGTGGGTGGAGAAGGTTGAAATAAAACAACAATTATCAACTTTATATCAAATTATTGTTCGTTGACAGGCATACAATGTGGATGTCCATGGCCAAGCAAGCAAGAAGAACAAGTGAATCAGTCCTTCTGTTTTGAACAATCCCCCCTCCACAGTCAAACAATTTGAGTGTCATTCCAAGTGGAGGAGGAAAAGAGCAAAATTGGTTTCAGGAACAGCAACAAGAGGTTGGAAAAGGGCAAATGCAAAAAGGCTTCAGTAAGTAGAGGCAAGCTGAACTGAAAAGGTGCGAGTCAAAAAGAGTAGGCAGGCAAGGCACTAAGAAAGTTGCAAGGAGGTACGGCTGGTCTTAGGCAAGGGGTGAAACGGGATGAGCAGGACACACGGGAAGATTGATAAAGGACGTGGGAAAAGTGTGGCAGTAAACGGATCCGGTGGAAAACGGATCCACGGGAAACAGATCCATGAGAAACGGATCCAGGGAAAACGGATTCCGGGGAAACGGATCCCAGGGGGGGCGGATCCAGGGGGAGCGGATCCAGGGGGAGCGGATCCAGGGGGAGCGGATCCAGGGAGAGCGGCAGGAAAAGGTGAAGTGGACGACCACTCACAGTAGGCTTGTGTGTGGCGGAGGTGCACCAGGTGGTGGCAAGGAGCTGCTAGTGTGAACAAGGCGCTTCTTAGCCAAGAAAGTGGCAGCGGTCCAGAGCAGGGGCGGAAGAGGAGAGAGGGTGAGGTGGAATGAAGTAAGTGGAGAGGAACTCAGAATGGAATAATTCGGAATTCCCAGGCAGGCAAAACAGGTCAGAGAGAGCTCGGAAGAGGATACCCAGAGTTGGGGTTTTGACTCGGGTGCGAGAGTAGGCAGAGGGAAGGGGACACGAGAGGGGACGAGAGGGAGGCATCGTGTTACATTACATCATACATGCTACAGGCTGCGTTCGCCTCGCAATCCCGTCCATCCATTTATTTTACCGTTTGCCTCTCACATCTCTCCCATCCCGTCTCCGCCGTGAGGCAGCGCTGTTCCACCGACCCATCTCGATTCTCGTAAGCGGTGAGCAGTGCACAGTGCCATATGCCAGGCTCCCTTCACCCCGTCGCCGCAGCCACGTGGCAAACGCATGCATCAAGGCGTTGGGTCGATCGCGAACGCTTGCAACGATTGAGCTAATGGATTCGCTACTCTAGGCCGCCTTCGGCTCGTCTCATCCCGTCGATGTACACCGCCTTCGCATGCACGCCGAATATTGCACTGTGATCTGAACTAACCATCGAATTCTTTTATCTGAAGGGGGACGCATCCCGTTATACAGCCGAGGCGCGTTTGCGCGAGAGTGGAAGGGCGAAGAACTATCGAAGAACTGACACGTGGCGACAGTGACGGTTATCGAATGAGACGGTGACACCCGTGCTCGCTGGTGCGGATCTAGCAGTCGACGAAGAGAATGTAAGCTATAATTATGAGTGGCAGCGAATAGCGGGAATGGTTGTGCAGAGGATATTGGCGAGAAGGTATTGTGATGTGAATGTCTAGTAGGGGTGTTTCGAATCTCTTTTCGTCAATTTTCAATGCTGCACACTTCTAGCTGTTACCATCCCGCTTTTCGCCAAACACAAATTTGCTCGCGAATGAAGCACTGCAGTGAACTTCGTGAGTCGTCATGACCGAATTCGCAAGTCATTGTGTCGTTCTTAGTTCAGCGAAGAATGTGCTTTGAGTAAGGTAACAACGCCAGAGCCAGTGCTCCTCCCTCGCCCGTTACGAATTCTCTAAAGTATTCGCACCTGGAAGCGTACTTTCGATCACGAGACGACGTTTGTACGACATACATCGTTATATGAGGCGATTTATGGATCACAGAATGACCAATTTGCAACGCAGCACGAGTCACGAGCGGAACCCCCGTAGCAGTTAGTAGCAGTCATACTTTCCCTCCGCTCCCTCACGCATTATCTGCTCGTTTCGAATCTCACGTGAAATTCGCGCCACACCTCAGATCGTGTGGCGTGTCCGGAACCCGTTGCCAACGGGCAACGTGGGAGTCGTCATTGCTTCTCCTATCCTCACGACATTTCATCTGCGAAACCCTAGAAAAAACTCCGAGGTAAGCCTGGGTCGGTTATTCAACTCCTCAGTCAATACAAGGAATGGAACCTCCCTCTTGTTCCGCATTTCAAGACTCCCGGCGTACGATTCATGGTGCTCATACATGTACCAGAGCCAGTTGTCTAACTTTTGATGCATTGTTGTCCCTGGGCCCTTCCCGAGTGCTGCGTTTTTCTCAGTGGCTCTGCGTTTTTCACCATGCCGTCACTGACCAGGCAAGCTCTCACTGATGTGTGTGACCTTGCATGTGACTGACTTAGCCTCTGATGACCAACAAGCTAGTTTTTGTGACGGTCACTTCATTGGAACAATAGCTAGTTCCTCTGAGCTGAGCCCCCATGTCAACCTCTCGGGTCCCTTAGGTGAACTACCCATCCAGCCACTTCAACTCTGTTCCTTAGGTGACCAGACCAGACCAGGCCTTCGGTTCTCTGATCCTTTGATTCTCTGAACACCCAATTAAAGGCCTGGTCTGGTCTGAACAATTGCTAGTTCTTCGTTTCAAAGCCATCTCTTTTTCTCGCGTGAGAATCGCACGGCATCTCAGATTGTTTGGCGTGTCCGGAACCCGTCGCGCCTAGTAGGCGTCATTGCCTCTCCTATCCTCACGACTTTTCGATTTGCGAAACCCTCAAAGCAGTTCTGAGGTAAGGCTGGTCCGGTCATTCCATTCATATCCGCTCACACGCCGGCAGTATCATCGTTTTCATCCATTCGTTAATGGTTTTCAGTCCTTTGATGCTCCTTAATCTCTGTTTCTCTCGTCTTTTCCCTGCTTGCAAGGCAAGCGAAAGATGTGAGCTTCGCAAGCAGCAAGCAAGCTCCGTTACAGTTCTTGCATTAATATGCCAAATGCGAGACACGATAACAAGCACAGCGAAGCAAACCCCGAAGCCGTATCCATTCCATGTTCCCAGAGCTTAGCGCTAACATAATATGCAGTAAATAGTCGTATAGTCGTGCATGAAAGCGCCACTCCTCCGTGCTCATATTGGGGCAATCTGACGCCAATCCGGGGTTTATCTAAGTATTGATTTTGCTTCTTCGTCGAATCTGCACCATGCAGTTATTTCTAGAATCGCTATTGATTAGAAGTGTTCTATTCGCTACAGCTCTGCTAGCCCGCATTTCCTACAACTGTTGGTAAAGCTCTCACCTTGGTCTTCTGGATCCGCCGCTTAAGTGTAGTCACGAGCAGCGAGCTTAGACGCGTAATACCTATACCCCCCGTGGGTGTAGCTCGCATTGAGTACTTGCCCTGTCCCGCTCATCTCCCTCCCTCCTTTCCCTCGCACCACTTTCAGGATCGCCAAGTCTCTCCATCAGCACCGCGCACTGCAGATCGACTAACCCTGCACCGCCGTTGCTGAGTCACTCCGTGTGACACGTGGAAAACATTGTCACTTGAAGAAACCCTGAAGAAAGGTAAGCACTCTGACTGACTCTTTAGTCAATACATGAGCTTCCCAACTGTTTCCCAAAACTCTGCCTTCATTTCAAGGCTCCCAGCATACGAGCCATGGTGCTCGCACATGTATCAGAGGTCGATGTGTAAATTTTAATTCATTGATTCCCTTGGCCCTTCCCATCCTGCTGATTTTCTCCGTGGCTCATTCATCATGTTGAGCTGTCACTGTCCCGGGCTCTCACTGACCTACCCTGTGACTGACCTACCCTGTGACTGACCTACCCTGTGACTGACCTACCCTGTGACTGACCTACCCTGTGAATGACCTACCCTGTGATTGACCTACCCTGTGACTGACCTACCCTGTGACTGACCTACCCTGTGACTGACCTACCCTGTGACTGACCTACCCTGTGACTGACCTACCCTGTGACTGACCTACCCTGTGACTGACCTACCCTGTGACTGACCTACCCTGTGACTGACCTACCCTGTGACTGACCTACCCTGTGACTGACCTACCCTGTGACTGACCTACCCTGTGACTGACCTACCCTGTGACTGACCTACCCTGTTACTGACCTACCCTGTTACTGACCTACCCTGTGACTGACCTACCCTGTTACTGACCTACCCTGTCCAGTCCAAGGTGCAAAAAAACGACGTTTTTTTCCGTAAAATACCGTATCGTAAAATTCCATCGTAAAATACGGAAACAAAACGATTAAAATCAATAATTAATTTGGGTGGAAAAAAACCATCGTTTTTTTCAGTAAAAAGTCAGATATGCTGCTGTAACATGGGTATTCTTTCATGAGTAGAACGAGAGTGCTGTTAGGAGTGGTGCTAACGCACCAAGGGATGCTGTGAAGCTTTTTTCTCAATTAGCATCTTTGAAATTGAAGCGCTCGTTTTTGTCTAACAAAATAAACGTCGTTTTTTTTCCCAAAAGGTACCGTAAAATACCATCGAAAGAAACAAATGTTTTTTTTCCGGAATGGTTTTTTTCCACCTTGACCCTGTTACTGACCTACCCTGTCACTGACCTACCCTGTGACTGACCTACCCTGTTACTGACCTACCCTGTTACTGACCTACCCTGTCACTGACCTACCCTGTCACTGACCTACCCTGTCACTGACCTACCCTGTGACTGACCTACCCTGTTACTGACCTACCCTGTCACTGACCTACCCTGTGACTGACCTACCCTGTTACTGACCTACCCTGTCACTGACCTACCCTGTGACTGACCTACCCTGTTACTGACCTACCCTGTTACTGACCTACCCTGTCACTGACCTACCCTGTCACTGACCTACCCTGTCACTGACCTACCCTGTCACTGACCTACCCTGTCACTGACCTACCCTGTCACTGACCTACCCTGTCACTGACCTACCCTGTCACTGACCTACCCTGTCACTGACCTACCCTGTCACTGACCTACCCTGTCACTGACCTACACCCTGCAGTTGCCGTACCTTATGAGGGATTTCCTGTGACTGCCTGGCCTGTAACCGACCTAGCCTTTGAAACAGCCTAGCCCCTGACTTTTCAAGCTAGTGACGGACCTGTTCTGAGTAATCTATCCTGGAAAAATACTGTTTCACTACGATATGATGATAATTATCATGACACGGATTCGTTATAAATTGGCGTTTGGGATAAAGATATGGCTATTGGGACTAAAATAGGCTAGCGCGCGGGGAAGGGGAAGGAGGGTGGTTGTAGAAAGGTGTGCGTTGCAGTGAGAGCTGAAAAGTATATTTACACAGTGGTAATTGGGTGAAGTAAATGCGGTGAGGTTTGGTTGATTGAGGGCGGTTGACCGATTTGGGGTAAGTTGGCGATCTGAGTGTGCTAATGTTCCTTCTTTCGCAACATTTCTTGACAAAACACCAATTCACGCCAGAGAAGTTACACAGTACGCTCAGATTTCCTAGTATTTTTTTCTAAGTACTTCTGAGCTAGCTTGCCTCTCACAGATCGAGGCTATGAGTGCCCTAGCATGTGACTAACCTTGCGAGTGCCTGGCCAACTTTGTGCATGACCTAGTCTCCTCCGATGGACCTAAGTCTGATCCTATCTTCACTTTTGTGACTGCCTCATATTGTGACTGCCCGAGCTTGTGACTGATCAATCATGATTCATGTTAGTGACCTGGCCTCTGACTGGCCTAGCTTGTGTGATTGGCGTAGCCTGTGTCTGACGTAGCTTTTGACCGTCCGAGGCTACAACTTACCTAAGCTCTGAGTGACATAGCTTGTGATGGACCAAGCATGTGGCTCACCCATCTCCTGACTGATATAACCTTCGACTAACCCAACCTATAGCTGTACTAGACTGTGACTGTCCTAGCCTATGCATGCCCTTGCCTGTGATTCACCACCTAGGGTGTGAGTGACGAAGCCTATAAGTCAACTAGCATGTGATTGTCCTAGGTTTGACTGACGTAGCCCGTCATAGGTCTAGCTAGCCTGTAGTTGGATCCGCCCGTGACTGACTGACCTAGCCTGTGACTGACCTAGCCTGTGACTGACCTAGCCTGTGGTTGTCCTAGCCTCGGTCATGAAGCCTATTTGTGTCCCGGCCAACAATTCACTTGCATGTATGAGACGTGACATGCATAGCATATCGTGTGATTGATTAAGTAGCATCGGCTTCTTGTAGCCAGTCATAATGGCTTCTGTTTCTGATGCTGTTCTGAATTTTCGCAAACCCCCTTTGACTGACCTACCTAGCCTGTTGCCGAGCTAGCCTGTAACAGCGCCTCCCCCAGCTTCTTGCTGTTAAGTGCGGCGGTCATAGCAGTTGACTTTACTTAGCATCGGCTCTGACTGACCTTGCTTGTGAGGGAGCTAGCCTTGACTTCTTTTCAACTGAAATGTTTCATGAGTAACGTAACCTCAGCTGACGTCAAACTTGATTGACTTGGCCAATACTGCTCTAGCCTGTCAGTGACCAGGGTTGTGACTGACCTAGCATGTGTGTGTGACCAGGGTTTTGGCTGGCCTAGCATGTGAGTGACCAGGGCTGTAACGGACCTAGCATGTCAGTGACCAGGGTTGTAACTGACGTAGCCTATGTTTGACCTAGCTTGTGACTTGCCTAACTTGTTGTGAGGTCCTAATTCTGCGAGTGACCTACTTCTGACTGGCCAAGCCTCTGACCTGACCACCAACAAGCGAGATGGTTGTAGCGGTTACAACATCTGCACAGTAGCTAGTTCAGACCCTCCCTCCCGCTCACCCTATAACAATCCCATCCACTCTCCTTACCACCAATGGCCCCTCCCAACCACTTTGACTCTCTCATTCCATAAGTGCTGTGCTCACCATGTGCTGTGCTCACTATGTGCTGTGCTCACCATGTGCTGTGCTCTATGCGTGAAGAATTGGCGAGTGGAACCAGGCTCGCCGCTGCCCGCTTCACCTTGTTTTGTGTGGCCTGGCACTCCCTCTCCTCCTTTTTCATGTGTGCGTGTCACTGTTTGTGTGCCTCCATGTATTCACCTCAACGTGTAGATATGTTATCTTTGAGACGTCTCAAAAGTAACCTATCTACACGTGGCCTGGCACTCCCTCCCCTCCTTTTTCATGTGTGTGTCACTGTTTGTGTACCTCCATGCATTCGCCTTCAACCGATTTCGACACACCAGAGTGCCATCAACGTTGGGCATTTTGCAGAGGGAGGGAGGAGGCTGTTCGGATTAGTGAGAGGGGAGTTGGCAGCACTGAGGGGCGAGCTGGTAGTGGTCCGGGAGGAGGTGGCTCGACAGAAGGAGCGTGTGTTGATGCTGGATGAGAGGAACCGGGATTTGGAAAATGATTTGAGGCGTGCACTGGGTGTTGTGGGCGAGAGGAGTGTGGCGACTGCTGCTGTGGTGGAGGAGAAGGGGAGAGAGGTGGCAGTAGTGAAGGGGGATCTGATTCGAATCAATGCAGAGTTGGCACTAGTGAATGGGAAGCTGACAGCAGTGACGGGGAAGGTGAATGTAGTGAGGGGGGGAGTGAATGCAGTCAAGGGGGAGGTAAATGCATTGAATGGGGAGGTGAATGCAGTGAAGCGGGAGGTCAATGCAGTGAGGGGGGGTGTGAATGCAGTGACGGGGGAGGTGAATGCAGTGAGGGGGGGTGTGAATGCAGTGAAGGGAGAGGTGAATGCAGTGAAGCGGGGGGTGAGTGCGGTGACGAGGGAGGTGAATGCAGTGCAGTCAAGGGGGGGGTATATGCAGTCAAGGGGGGGGTGAATGCAGTGAGGGGGGAGGTGAATGCAGTGAGGTGGAAGGTGAATGCAGTGAGTGGGGAGGTGAGTGCAATTCAGGGGGAATTGTGTGAGCACAGGCAGTCAACCGCACTGCTGAGGGAGAGGGAGCTGGCAGCAGTGAAGGGGGAGCTGGATGAGCATAAGGATACCCTCATGAGATTGGATGTTGATTCGAGAATCAGCAAGAGTGTAGGCGATCAGAAGACTGCATGGGAGGTGAGTGATGAGTTACTGTTTCACAGGGTATGCATAGTTTAATATGTCTTTCTTGTCGCCGTAATCATTCCCGTCATGAATGCCCTCTCCACCCATGTACTCCAGGCAATTAAGTCAGCATCACAAACGACTGAACTGGACCTTAAGCATCTCAGCTACCTCTCAAACGCCATGCTCGCCCATGTGTCCACAATGACCAATCTGAAGAACATTAGCCTGGAGAACAGCTCAGGCTTCAGTGCAGAGGGCATCAAGCACCTCTACAGGCTGCCACGGCTGGAGACGCTCAGCCTGGATCGCACAGACGTCTCAGACGATGCCTTGGAAGGCATTGGGTCCTTGAGCAGTCTCAAGGAGCTTTCTCTCTGGCAGTCCTTAGTGAGTGATGCTGGTCTGCTGCACTTGACACGCTTGTCCTCTCTCAGACAACTAGGGCTTGGTGAGTGCAACTGTGTGACGAATGCTGGCATGGTGCATGTGGGGAGGCTGAGAGGGATAGAGAAACTTTGGCTGAAGGGCACGGAAGTCACGGATCATGGGCTGCAGCAGCTGACTGCTATTTCCTCTCTCAAAGTGCTACACCTTTGGGATTGCCAGGGTGTGACAGATGCTGGGATGATGCATGTGGGGAGGCTGACAGAGCTTGAGGACCTGCTGCTGTATGGTACGGTAGTCACGGGTGAGGGGCTGCAGCAGCTGACTGCCCTGACCAAGCTGACAACTCTCTTTACGCCAGAAGGTGGCCACCTTAAGAACGATGATGTACGCAGGCGGATAGGCAGGTAGGGTGGCAGGGAGTGATGATGGAAAGGGAGGTGAGGTGAGGGAGGAAGTGATTACTTCTTATTAGTTAAGACTGAGGAGGGGAGGCATGCGTGTGGAGGAGTGGGGCATGGAATGGTGGTAGTGCACGGCTCAACTTGCATGCTGCAGAGAGTTGGAGAATGGTCGGACTCGTGCCTTGCAGTTGGACAGCAGCAGGTGAAGGGCTGTTAGGGCAAGAGACCAATGTGTGCATGAGGGGAGGCTGCATAGGAATTGCCTGCCTGGAATTTCTTATGATGGAGGGGGAAGCGGTCATCAGCAGGACAGACGGGGAATGGGAAGGGGAGGGGGGAGAATAGGCGAAGCAGGAGTGGAAGGGGAGGGTAGGCGGGTAAACTGGGGACAAGGGCGAGGAAGAGAGAAGCGAGGGAGGCGAGCATTGTGGGCGACAGTGGCGGCAGCAGTCGCGGCAGCAGTGGCGGCAGCAGCAGTGGTGGGAGCAGTGGCGGCAGCAGCAGAGGTGGCAGCAGCGCTGCCAGCTGCAGCAGTGGCGGCAGCAGTGGCAGGCTGCGGCAGTGGCGGCAGCGGCAGCAGCAGCGGCGGCAGCAGCAGCAGTGGCGGAAGTAGTGGCAGCAGCAGCAGCAGCGGCTGGGGGGGGGGGGGGTTGGTTGGTTGTGGATTAGGGGTGAGTAATGTTCAGCATGTATGCATGAGGGAAACTGCATAAGAAACGACTGGCTGCTTGGGTGCAAGAGGTGCAGTGCAAGCATCTTCACAGAGGAGAGGGTATATTGTGTATGATGTACGGTAAGTTGTAAGGTGTTGCTTCATTGAAAAACACCTTTATCTGTATGCTTGTTTATCTTTATTTAATACTGCTCGGAGACTACCCACCAGGCGAATCTGAAATGGTGGATATAGGACATGGCAGTCACGTGGTATCGTGCGAACTGAGATGCCTGCTGCTGCCACAAGGAACTGTGCATGCAGATTGGTGGGAGGCCACGTGTAATGAGGTTATTTTTGAGACGTCTCAAAAATAACCTCATTACACGTTAGAACTGAGATGCCTGCTGCTGCCACAAGGATTGAACTGTGCGTGCGGATTGGTGGGAAGGGTGGCAGAGGCCAGAGAGTGATGAGGTGAGAAAGGGAGATGGAGTGCGGATTGAGTGGACGTGTGTACAAGTTGATGGCTGGCGAGGCTTTGCATGTGCGCAGCTGAGGGTAGGCTTATGATTGTGAACATCATGATTGTGAACATCATGATTGTGAACATCATGATTGTGAACTTGTGTCTTCACATCTGGACTGCAATGGGTGAGGTTCAAGTACCGTAGTCTTGCTGGCCATGTTGCCTGCAAGCTCGAATATACCTCACTTTTATCACCACTTTTCTGATTGAGAATTCTCCAATCTTATTCGACAGCAGTATTGTATACACATACAATTTTCAACCACATTTTATCTGCATCAGATCAGAAGCTAGGCTAGTCATGTACTCATGTGCAGAGCTCGCTTGGCTAGATTACCTTTTGCTGGGTGGCTGAGGGCAGAGCACATGAGAACGGAGTGCAGCGGTGAAGCATCAATGGAGCTGTTTCTGCATGGGAAGGGTATAAGTCGCGCATGCTGCTGCATCACCCACCCATATGGCCTATTCGCTGGCACGCAGGAGGCAAGCAGAAGGTTGCAACTTTAATATTGAATGAATTTGGGTCTCCCTATTGTGTTGCAACCAGCTCGCCCTCCTGTGTGTCACCACCAGCTCTCGCAGTGGCTGATCTGCTTCAGTATTCATGGTCAATATACAGTAGTCAAAACACCAGAATTTCTGGTACACAAGACAGAACCGCCAAAACCGTACCACCTCAGTACAGCCACACTCCACCCACTCAATGCACCCTCCCTGGCTGATTACTGTTGACTCAATTTCTGCTGCTGTGAGGCACCCTTTTGCACCCCTATGTGTTCGAGGGGATTATGATGTGACTGAGAGATGGGCGGGCATGAGTGTACGGTAAGAAAGAAAAAGGACTGAGGGAAGTGAATGTGATTTAGAAACAACAGCATAGTGGGATGTGTAACATGCGATGAGGTATGACATGAAGTATGGGATGAGATGTGGGATGAGTTATGGAATGTATGGGATATGGTATGAGACAAAGTGTGGGATGAGGTGTGGGATGAGGTGCAGTGCACAGCTGTTCCACCACAACCGTATGTACTCCTGAAAGAGTGCACAACCATCGTTGCTCATGTACCTGGACAAACGAACTACCAAAGCCAAAGTCACTCCCAACTGGAGTGCCAAATACCGACACACCAGCTCCTTCCTTGGTTCTGCCCATGCCCAGACATTACCTCCCCTGAGTCAACCTCCCTCCCCGCCATGCCACCATAAATAGACTCCTAGAAGCAGCTGAGAGGGTATAGAAGGAAGGAAAGTGGGGTTTAAGGTTTTCACGAATCGTCCCTTTGCTGCCACCATCAACTATGCACCAAGGAGAAGGGGGGGAGGGGATGGGAAAGGGGAGAGAGAGGGAAACAAATAGGAGGGTAGGCATGAGTGTCGGTGGCAGGCGTGAATCAAAAGAGATTCAGAAACGACAGGCAGTGGCATGTGTAGTAGCAAAAGGCATGTATCGGTTGGGGTGTGGAATGAGGTGGGTGATGAGATATGGATGAGGTAGGGGAAAACGTGTGGGATGAGGTATTGGCTGACGTACGGGATGAGGTGTGCGATGAGGTGTGAGATGAGGTGTGCGATGAGGTGTGCGATGAGGTGCATGTGCACAGCTGTCCCAACAATATATTTCCCTGCTAGAGTGCACAGCACAACCAGGGCTTCTCATGCAGCTCACAAAATGCGGGAGGCAGTCCTGGTGCAGGTGATGGGAGGCATGGCAGGTCAAAAATCCAATGTAGCAGGCAGTCGGCGTGCAGGTGATGTGGGAGGGAGGGAGAGGTGCTGCCTGCGTTTTGAGGCCCCTCAAAAATCCAATGTAGCAGGCAGACCACGTGCAGGTGATGTGTGAGGGAGGGAGAGGTGCTGCCTGAGGGTGCGATGACTAACGTGCTGCTGCTGGGATGAGATCATGGGGAGCAGATGGAAGGGTGATGGGGGAAGGAGGTTATGTGTGAAGGGGAGGGATGCTGGATTCGTGCATGGGGTGAGGTACGAAGGGCCATGGCGTGACGGGATGAAGGGTATGGGCCAATGAGTATGGCTGGTCATTTTGGGTATAAGAAAATGGTAAACGGAGGGGAAAGAGGGAGATGAGATGGAGGAAGAGGAAAAAAAGGATGAAAGAAGGGGAATTCGGAGGGAAGAAGAAAGAGGACGAGAGGAGAGGTAGGAGGACGAGGATGTGGGAGGACGGGGGGCCGGGAGGGAAAGCAGACATGAAACAGATGTCATGATGCCATACGCTGTCCAGGAGGGTGGTCAGCTCCTTGTGCCACTTCATCATCATCCATGTGTCTGTTTTCCAACCCTCCTCCCCCCTCTTCCCCTTCTCCCCCCTTCCTGCTGTCATGCGGGTTGGAAAGCAGGCATGCGGCATATTTCATACACTATCCAGGAGGGTGGTCAGCATTGAGGTGGGTTTTGAGGTGCCTCAGAACCCACCTCAATGCTCGGGAAAGCAGGCATGCGGCAGATGTCATACGCTGTCCAGGAGGGAAACCACTTTTGAGAACTCTCAAAAGTGAAATCAGACATGCGGCAGAGATGTCATGCTGCCATGCGCTGTCCAGGAGGGTGGTCAGGACCATGTGCCACTTCACCCTCTCTCCGCACCCACCATGATGCCCCCATGACTGCTGTTCCAGCTGCTTCTGCTCTGAAGGAGCATGTGTGCAAGCACCTGTAAAGCGGAGGGTATGGTTCCTCATGCGACAAATATTTTCATGATGTCGTATGCGGTCCAAAAGGGCGGTCAGCTCCATGAGCCGCTTCATCCTCTCTCCGCACCCACCGTGGTGGCCCATGACTGCCGTTTCAGCTGCATGTTCTTGGGAGGAGCTTCTGTGCCAGCACCCGCAATGAGTGGGAGAAGCTTCTGTGCCAGCACCCGCAGTGACTGGGAGAAGCTTCTGTGCCAGCACCCGCAATGACTGGAAAAATACTTTTGAGGCGCCTCAGAAGTCGTTTCAGCTGCTCGTTCTTCGGAGGAGCGTGTGTGCCAGCACCCGCAATGACTGGGAGAAGAGTGAAGGTCGCTGAGGTGACTTTTGAGTCGATTAAAAAATTTCACCATGGTGGGCCCATGAGTGCCGTTTCAGCTGTTAGTTCTTTAGAGGAGCGTGTGTGCCAGCACCCGCAATGACTGGGAGAGGAGTGAACTTTTGAGTCGACTCAAAAGTCCACTGAATCTTTGGAGGAGCTTGTGTGCCAGCACCCGCAATGACTGGGAGAAGAGTGAAGACGCTGCTGGCTTGAAATAGAAAGGATCACTTTTGGGGGGAAGGGGGAAGGGGAGTGGGGGAGGTGGGGGAGGAGGAGGGGGGGTGGGGTAGAAGGGGGGTGGAAGGGATTTTGAGAGGAGATGTGTGTTTGGACAGGAGGGGAGGGAGGAGAAGTAGGAAAAGAAAGGAAAAAAAACGATTGGATTGGAGAAGAACAGGTGCGGTGGCTGGGGGCCAAGGGAAAGAGGGGGAAAGGGGGGGGAGAGGGAGTGGGGGAGGAGGGATGGAAGGATCAAAAGGGAGAGAAGGGTGGTTGAGATCCTTCTGTAGAATAGAGAATCAATGGCAACGATGATGTGATGGCGGAGACACGTGGCAGTGCAGTGCAGTGCAGACTACTGAGTCGACTCAAAAGTCGACTCCTGAGTCGATTCATAATGTGATGGCGGAGACACATGGCAGTGCAGCGCAGGGCAGGAGGGCCAGTGGATGTGGCGGTGCGTGGAAGAGAGGGCGAGCAAGTGAAGGAGCAAACTCTCACTTACTGTAAGGCGCCTTGTTGCACCTGGTAAGCACTAGACTGGGTGGTGCATCAAGTGGGGCTGCATAAGGAGGCTTCTTGGAAGTTTAACCTCTCAATCTAGCATTAACATTTACTCTTTCGAACATCCGCATTAACAAGGCCCCTTTCAATAAAAGCTATGCATTGACCGACCGACTGACCAATGACCGCTCAGCATGGCAAGCCGTGTTTTGAGTCGACTCAAAGCACAGTTCACAAGGCTCCTTTCAATAAGATCTATGCATTGACCGACCAACCAACCTGTCCACTCAGCATGGCAAGCACCAACTCTTCATGCAGGTCTTGAGTCGTCTCAAGACATCCGCATTAACAAGGCTCCTTTCAATAAGAGCTATGCATTGACCGACCGACTGGCCAGACCACTCAGCATGGCAAGCGCCAACTCTTCATGCAGGTCTTTGTGGCACCCACGTTAAATAGAACGATGCAGTGACTGCTTTCTCCAATCCAATCGTTTTTTTTTTTAGAATTATAAAAAAGTCCAGCACACAGCACCGCCTGATTTCCTCTGCGCGAACCCCAATGACCGATACAAGAAGTCCAACTGTAAACAAGAAAGCAAGTTAAAACAAAAAAAAAAGGCATGTGAATGGCACACGCGACTCCTGAATATGAAAAGACTTGCACAAAGTAGAACTGGTAAGTTAACAGCAAGAATAGACATGATTTACACAGTGAATAGTCAACTCAAATCGAGCCAGAGCAACACACGAAACGGCATCAAGCATTTGATTGAAGAATGCCCACTGGGAGAGAAGGAAGGCAGGAGGCGAACGAGTGGCACATGTGCTGTTTGAGAGGGCACCAGTGAGCCAATTTTTTAGGCGCCTCAAATGGAGTCTACTTTTGAGGCGCTTCAAAAGCAAACGTGCTAATTGAGAAGGCACCAGTGGCTCATAAACAGAAGAGTCAATTAAAGCCAGCAGCTAAAATAGTGACCCCCCCCTTCTAGTTGGGTCCACTTGAAAACAGAGTTTTTTTTGGAACACTTCGGAAAGTTGGAAGTGCTGTGCTTTTTATTTTTCCACTCCATACGAGTCTCATTGTGAACGGAGAACATTTTGACCATGTGTACAATTCTGATTGGCAGCGAAACTCACACACAACTCACACATACTTGTGTGCGAATTTGGCGCAAGGGGTTGCAATGCCTGTATTCACTCGAGCGCTCATGTGACTTCACCAAAACTCACATCAATCAACAACACAGGGAAAATCCAGCACACACCCATATGCAAGAGATGAGAGCAGAGCTGCGCTAAAATACGTATCCTTGGACTTGGGGCTGAAAGAAGTAAAAAAAAAAAGGGTGGAGAAAATAAGTTTGGCAAGGTAATAACCAGCGGATGGGAGGGGAGAGTGCAAAAGCGACGGGAAGAAAGGGGAGAGAGGAGGAACGACGGGATGGGAGGGGAGAGGAGGCGAACGACGGGATGGGAGGGGAGAGGAAGCGAACGATGGGGTGGGAGGGGAGAAGAGGTGAACGACGGGATGGGAGAGAGGAGGCGAACGACGGGACGGGAGGACGTGAGGGCGATGTCGAGTGGAGGGAGGAACGTGAGCGCGATGCCGACGGGAAGGGAGGACGTGAGCGATAGGAGATGAAGTGGGCGACGGGAAGAGAGGGGAAATTGCAAGGGCGACGGGAGGGAGAGCGCCCATGCGATGGGACGGAGAGCGAGAAGGCTACGAGGGAGAGAGCGCGAAGGCGACGGGAGGGAGAGCGCGCAGTCGACGGGAGGGAGATCGCGAAGGCAACGGGGGAGAGAGCGCGAAGGCGACGGGAGGGGAGAGAAGAAGGTGACGGGAGGGAGAGCGAGCAGGCGACGGGAGGGGAGAGAAGAAGGCGACGGGAGGGAGAGCGAGCAGTCGATGGGAGGGGAGAGAAGAAAGGCGTTAGGAGGCGGGCATTTCAGGGAGAGAGCAACCGTCGACGAGGACGACGATGGGAAAGGCGACAGGGAGAAAACTTGTCGACAGGAAGGGAGGGGAGAGCGAGGATGACGGGGAGGGAGGGAAGATAGAAGGCGACGGGGGGGGAGGAGAGAGACCCGCGAAGGTGATGGGAGGGGAACGGACATCGGACGAAAGCGCGATGGCGAAGGCGCGATACAGGAAACTAGCCCATGCGGAAATGTAACGAAAGCCTGCGGAGGGGAAATTCTTACGATACTATGCTACGCGACAGTCTTACGCATTCCTGGAGGGTCGAGCGCGATACCTACCTTGGCCACAAACACCTATTGTTGCCAGCTAAAATATGCTAGGAATATAACTAGTGACTTCGAGATGGTGAGCAGGTGGTCATGAAACCCAGTTCCAACTTGAAACCAACGTTGGCCTGGCGACGGAAACCATCGCCAGGCAACCGTCGTGCAGGTGTAGCACGAAAACGTGCGACGAGGGAGATCCGGATGGAAAAACATTTTGGCGGGAACAAGACAGCACAAGATTGGCGAAAGCCAATCACATTTGTTCAAGCCCCTGCTCGTTTTCTTTGGAACAGTGCTCTATCGGCCCGTTCTCTGGAGCACCATTTCAAGTTGGGACAGGGTTCATTATTTTATATTCTGGTTTTAAGACGCCAAATCTAACCCACAGGCAATATGCAGGAAGTCGTGATGGGTTACACAGCAATAGATCTAACAGGCACCAAGCTTTACTTGTTAAACAAAGAAAGTGGTGATTTTGAAAGTTGAGATACAAAAAGGTTGCTTCCTGAAAGACCTTTACATAATATTTTGATTTGCCGTGTTCTTGTCTGCTTCTCTAAGTCCTTTGAGGCGCCTAAATAAATGAGCTTGTCTGCTTCTGGAAGACTGGAAGTCCAAATCCAAATTGGTTGTGCCTGCTTGCGCGTTGAGAGTCCTGAGAGGCGTCCAGCCTGTAGAGAATCGAATCTTACATCGGATCTGATTTGGCACGTTCTTGTCTGCTCCTGGAAGAAAAGGTCGAGGAAGGTGGTGCCGGCCTGCACGTTGAGTCGAGAACCAGTGGCACTGATACGCATCCAGGTTGGAGAGAGCGAAGCTGCGTGGGGAGATGTTGCGACATAATTCCAGTGAGCTGCGATGCTTAGGAGCTGGTTTAAGCAAGTAGGAAAAACGTGTCAAGCTAAATGACAAGCAAAAACCCGCGAATCAGATCGCTGGAACCTTCTCGTAGTGCTGATAGGCGACCAGGCTGGAGAAAGTGAAGGCACGTGGAGGGATGCCCACCAGTAGGAGATGAGGAAATGCCCTGCCTCGTGCTGTGGGGTGGGAGGGGGGTGCGAGGTGGGATAAGAGAGTGAAGGAGGTGGGAGATGGGATAGAGAGAACGAGTTGGGAGGTGGGATAGAGAGAAGGAGGTGGGAGGCGGGATAGTTGGAACGTGAGGGAGTGAAGGCGCGTGGGGGGGTGCCCATCAGGTAGGAGATGAGGAAATGCCCTGCCTCGTGCTGTGGGGTGGGAGGGGGGTGCAAGGAGGGATAAGAGAGTGAAGGAGGTGGGAGGTGGGAAGGTGATAGAGTAAAGCTGCGTGGAGGGATGAACATCAGATAGGAGATGAGGAAATGCCCTGCCTCATGCTGTGGGGTGGGAGGGGGGTGCGAGGTGGGATAAGAGAGTGAAGGAGGTGGGAGATGGGATAGAGAGAACGAGTTGGGAGGTGGGATAGAGAGAAGGAGGTGGGAGGCGGGATAGTTGGAACGTGAGGGAGTGAAGGCGCGTGAGGGGATGCCCATCAGGTAGGAGATGAGGAAATGCCCTGCCTCGTGCTGTGGGGTGGGAGGGGGTGCGAGGTGGGATGAGAGAGTGAAGGAGGTGGGAGGTGGGAAGGTGAGAGATTGAAGCTGCGTGGGGGAATGCCTATCAGATAGGAGATGAGGAAATGCCCTGCCTCTTGCTGTGGGGTGCGGCAGGTGGGAGAGGGGAGGGATTTGAAACAGAAGAGGGTAAAAGGTGAGAAGAAGGCCCGTCTCGTGCTGTGGGGGTACTCTTGAGAATTCTCAAAAGTAACACCAAAATGGGTGGGAGCGGGGAGGGATTTGAAACAGAAGAGGGTGAAGTGTGAGAAGAAGCCCCGTCTCGTGCTGTGGGGTCGGACGGGGGGTGGGTTTTTGAGACGTCTCAAAAATCTACCTTTTTCACAAGATTTGAAACAAAAGAGGATAAAAGGTAAGAAGAAGCCCCGCCTCGTGCAGTGGGGTGGGATGGGGGGTGGGAGGTGCGACGGTCGGGACAGGACAAAAAGAAAGACCGAGATGATGAGGAAACGCCCTTAGAGGCGCCTCAAAAGACGGCCATGACAAGACAAAAAGAAATACCAAGATAATGAGGAAACTCCCTGCCTCGATCTGCCGGACCGGATGGCGGTGAGAGGGGAGAGGGGAGAGGGGAGAGGGGAGAGGGGAGAGGGGAGAGGGGAGAGGGGAGAGGGGAGAAGGGAGAGAGGAGGGGGAAGAGGGGAGAGGGGAGATGGAAGAGGGGAGAGGGGAGATGGAAGAGGGGAGAGGGGAGAGGGGAGAGGATGGAAACGAGAGGAGAGACAAGAGAACACATAAGGAAATCGCAAATGCGTGGAAATAGGAGAAATGTTGTAGAAGTGAGAGCGGGGCAAGAGTGGCTGGAACAGCATGTTAACCAATAAGCCTAATGGGGCCCTGATACGCAGGAAACCAGCATGCCAATGCGCTGCTCACGTAAACTCGAAAAACAGGGCACATGTGTCGAGAGTGGGATTTGACCCCACGCCCTTTCGAACTGGAACCTTAATCCAGCGCCTTAGACCAACTCGGCCATTCGACATGCAGGATTCTTCCACACCACGCTATCCTTTCCTCGTGCACTATCCACCCCCCTTCACCCCTCTCCTCTGAAATCTGCTGCACCAATGCACCACCTAAGTGTTTCCTCAACACCCTTATCACTCATCACCATCACACTCACCAGAGCAACTTGTCTGCTCTGCGATAGGTGGGTTTCAACGAATTTCCCAAGGTATCCTCCAATAGGGCCTCGCCACCTCCACCAGTTGACACCTGAATGGACAGTTAGGTTTACATCACAGTCGGGTGGGATCGAGTTGAGAGGGAGAAACAACCAGTAAAAAGTTAACACATGGTTTAGGGTTTAGTGGTGGAGAGAAGTAGTGCAGAGAATTAGTGAAACCCGATGTGAGTTGGGGCATGCTCACATGGGGCTGTGGAGCAGAGGGAAGACTCCACGTGACTGAGTTGACTTTAGAGTCGACCCAAAAGTCAACTCGAGTGAGGTGGGGCATGCTCGCATGGGGCTATGGAGCAGAGGGAAGACTCCACGTGGCTGCAGCATGGTGAGGGAGAGGATGAGTGGTGAAGGGAGTGGATGAGAGAGGATGGGAATGGGAGACGGTAGACGGATGTTCAGCAACGGTAGACGGATGTTCAGCAATAAAGAAGATCAGCAATGGGGCAGAGCTGCAGTGGTGGAGGGCAGATCTGCAGGGGTGGAGGGAAAATCTGCAGGGGTGGAGGGAAAATCTGCAGTGGGGGAGGGCAAAGCTGCAGTGGTGGAGGGCAGAGCTGCAGTGGTGGAGGGGAAAGCTGCAGTGGTGGAGGGCAAAGCTGCAGTGGTGGAGGGCAAAGCTGCAGTGGTGGAGGGCAAAGCTGCAGTGGTGGAGGGCAAAGCTGCAGTGGTGGAGGGCAAAGCTGCAGTGGTGGAGGGCAAAGCTGCAGGGGAATGAAAGTGGAGGGGCAGACCAAGAGTGGAGGACCATGCAATGGATAACAAGCAAAGCTGGTTCCAGGAATATGATAAGCACGGTGAGCTCAAACCGATCAGAAGGTAGATGCGCGAGGGGAAAAGGAAGAAGGCAAATTGCTAAGAAAGTTGAGAAGGGGTATATTTGGATGAGGGCAAGGCTGACTATGAGGAGAACGACTGATGGGCAATGGGAGCTATAGATACGGTATTGCTGAGCCTGAGAGCCTCAGGTACTTGTTGCAGTGATAAATTGAATCAAGGAGAATGGAAAAAGTTGTGGGCAACTATGTCAGGAGTGGGATTTGAACCCACGCCCTTTCGGACCAGTACCTGAAACTGGCGCCTTAGACCAACTCGGCCATCCTGACACGTGTTCTATTATTACGCATCCCACTTTGGTAAATATTCTAAAACGCTCATGGAATGCTGCTCTTCTCCTATTTTGTGCAGGAAAGGAGCTCAGAGAGTAGGAGGAAAGGAAATCTTACAAACTCCCCACACTCACGTAATTGTTGCTGGTGGTACTCACGCGTTGTTGCCGTGAAAGGCCAGCGCAGTGGATCCAGACTCGAAGAAAGCCCAGATGAGGTTGTTGGTGCTGCTGAAACTTACCAGTATTTCCCCCCTTTTCTCAGTCACTCCCTCACCCACTCCCTCACTCACTCCCTCATTCACTCACGCGTTGTTGCCATGGAAGGCCAGCTCAGTTGACCCAGACTCAGAGAAAGCCCAGATAATGCTGCTGCTGCCACTCAAACTAACTGGTACCGCCCATCCGTCCCCTTTTGATCGAGAAAATCTGCAGGCAGGAGAGCGTGGAGGAAGGGAGGGGGGTTGAGGAGGAATGAGGTTGTGAGGAAAGGGAGGGAGACATGCCAGATGATGCTGTTGCTGCCAGTGAAGCTGATTGGTACCACCCTTCAGTCCCCTTCTGATCGAGAAAACCTGCAGGCAGGAGAGCATGGTTGACAAGGGGAGAGGAAAATTTCATATGAGACTGATGCTGCCACTGAAACTCACTCGTACCGCCCCTCCGCCCGCTCAGCCTCGAAATAACCTGTGGGCAGGAGCAGGAGGAGCAGCAGTAGGAGCAGAAGGATCAGCAGTAGGAGCAGAAGGATCAGCAGTAGGAGCAGAAGGATTAGCAGGAGCAGGGAAAGTGAGTAGAAGCAGCAGCTGAAACACACTATTTCAATGATACAGGCAAATTCAGAGACATGCAGAGCTTTTGAGTCGACTCAAAAGCAGACTCAAAAGCAGCAGCAGAAACACCATGTCAATGATACAGGCAAATTCAGAGACATGCAGAGTCTACTGACGCAGCTGTGCCGTTTCCATAGCCAGGTAAATTCCTCTATTGTATTATGATGGATAGAAATCATCCCTTGGTATACAGACGATGTGAATGCATGGGGCAGGAAGAGTGAAGAGCCATAGCTCAAACCCTATATTTCAACCACTTTTTCGGGAAATATACGCTGTAATGAAAGTGCCGGGCAGACCAAGGGTGGTGGAAAACACAATGAATGAAAAGCAAAACTGGTTCCAGAAATAACATCAGCACGTTTAACGCAAGCAGAGGGAAAAGTCGAGGCACGAGAGGGAAAGGAAGATAGGCAGATTGCTATTTCTAAGAAAGTTGAAAAAGGGTATATCTAGAATTCTGGACTAAGGAAAGGCTGACTATGAGGAGCAAGACTCAAGGGCAGTGGGACAGCGTGCAACCGCAGGAGGTGGATGTGGATAGAGGGTGGGAAGGAGCGATGCCACAAGAGATAACTCGCGAGATGATAAATCGGAACTCGGAGGCAGGGTGTAACAAAGGGCACCTGCGCGGGAGCCAACGTGAAGCGCACGGGAGGCAGCAACATGCAGCAGCCGCGTGCTAGGGTGAACGTGGGCAGCGCAGGTGAGGACGTGGGCAGGACGTGGGGGACTCACGTGAGAAGGACGAAACACAGGTTTCGTGCCTTTGACTGACTTTGGGGGACTTCCGCTGCACTTGGGCTTGTTCAAGTTGTTTCTGACTGAGAATTCTTCCCAAGAGAATTTCCTTAGAAGCAAGGAAGAACAAACAGAAAGAGAAACAGCAAAACCACTCTCTCTATCCTACGAATGCATTTTTATATGTACAGTACATTTACAATTCAGACATGCGGCTCGGAATGTCGATTCGGGTGGCCAGCCCCAACATCGAGCCGCATTCCATATTTCTACTCACATTTGTACACCTCACTGCACACACACACGTGTTACTTTTCTATTCCTCCAAATCTGGACTTTCGCCACCTGTCCCACGCGGAAGTCCCCCAAAGTCAGTCAAGGCACGAAACCTGTGTTTCGTCCTTCTCACGTGAGTCCCCCACGTCCTGCCCACGTCCTCCCCTGCGCTGCCCACGTTCACCCTAGCACGCGGCTGCTGCATGTTGCTGCCTCCCGTGCGCTTCACGTTGGCTCCCGCGCAGGTGCCCTTTGTTACACAGGGAAAATGGGCGGAAAGAACTTGGAAGCGGAGGAAAAAGAGGTGCGAACTTGACTCAGGGGGCGAGAGCAGGCAGGAGGCAAGAGGATGAACTGCAAAGGGATGAGGGAGGCATCCACGACAGGCACATGCATGCCAGCTGTGCTTGCCTCTCACTCCTATCCGCTTTTGAGTCGACTCAGAAGGAGGCAAGAGGATGAACAACGAAGGGTACGAGGGAGGCCTCACGTCACCCACATGCATGCCAGCTGTGCGTAGACAATCGATTCTCAGTCACGATCGATGTGCGGATTGGTTACCCTGTTTACTACCTTGTAACCATACTACAGTACGTTTTTTTGCCGAAAACACTGCACAGCGAGGGGAGGCGACTGATTGTTGATTGCGGGAGATCACCCCAAAACTCAGGTGCGATCGTTACAACGTCGTGATCGCCACATTTCGCGAATCGAGCTGCCCACTCGATTGTGGGGCTCGATATTTGCAGACGATCCTGCGATATTTGCACTTTTACCGCGTCCTAAAGCATTCGGATAGCATTCGCATTTCAGAACATCTGTGCGACACCGGTTACCGCTTTGGTGTATGTTTGTACACCGTCGTACTCAATTCGTCGAATAACGCAGTCTGGTTACCTAACAATACCATTTTCGAAACGCAGCATCCAACATTCACGACCAAGACCATTTCAAGATGATTCGCTGTGTGGGAGTCATTCACCCACACTGATCCTCACAGTAGCACTATCAATTCGAGGCTCGGCATTGTCAATAGCGCATATTTATATCCGCATAGTGGTTAGTACGAGTCATCCGGCTAAAATTCCTCCTCTCTCCTCATCTTATCTGCTCATTCCGTGTCATGCCATTTTTTTGGAGGGACGATTCACAGCCGCGCGACATTTCAAATCGTTTGGCGTGTCCAGCTCCCTACGCAGATCAAATCCTAGTAGCACGACGTTTCAATTTGCGAAACCCTAGAAACAAGCCTGAGGTAAGGCTGGTCCGCTCATAGCAGACATTGTCTCTCTCAGACTCTTCGCATGACTTGAAGTCAACTCAGCTGGAAATAATCTCAGCAGCTTAGCGCCTTCGCTTCTCCTGACAGGCCACGGCAGCACTCACTGTCATCACAACATCGGGTACGGCCGCTCTGCAATGCCACGCACGCGAGAAACAGCCACATTCACTCCCGTCAAGCTTCACCTTCCGCATTTTTCCGCAGAGCATGCCCTTCTGCTCGCGTCGTTTGTTCATTCCCATCGTCCTGCTCACTATTGTCTCACTTCTGCTCCCCACCCTTGTTGCTACTTTCCCCTCAAACCCACTCACTCCGGCTCTTAATCCCTCTTGGTCCCTCGTCGCTCTGCTATCTTTCTCACTTTCAGCCCTGCTGTCATTGTAGTACTTGTACACCCTTAATTTCCAGCATGCGTCGCTTTCGTTCTGCACTCACTGAGGTTATCTATCTCTTTTGGTTCGTCTGTCCTCTGTGCCCATCACCGTGATTTGAGTCGACCCAGAACACTCTTGTGGTTCGTCTATCTGCTCTACCCATCACCTCTATTGACTGCTGCCCTCTGCATTCCGTGCAACTGACCTTCTCCCTGCCGCCTCTTTAATGCTTTCTTGCATTTGTTCTCTATTGAAGAGTATAATGCGTTTAAAAAAAACCTTTTTCTCATTCCCTATGCGATTTCTCTTCATCACCTTGGCTGCCTGTTGTTGAATAATATTCAGCAGTAATTGTTTGCTCCCCCCCCTGACCATTGTTTGTTGTGTTTGCTTGACTTTGAATGGTGATCCGTGTGTCTTGCATACGCACAACACCACCAATCATCCACTGTAAATTACTTGCATTCCCTTAGCACTCATTCTCATTTTCATTCCGTTCCTTTTCGTCCAATATAATTTCTGTCACTTTCTTTCTGCTGCTGTGTCCCCATCATCCATGTTTCTCGCCCGTATCGCCCTATTCCTTCCACTCCAGCTGAGGTACTAAAGTTACTTGAGTGCAAATAATTTTATTTTAAATTTTCAAGGAGGGGAGGCGAGAGATGGAAGAGGTTAGTGAGGCAATAGAGGTGGTGAATGCAGTGAAGACAACAAGGGCAGAACTGGCGTCTACTAAGTGGAACTGGAATCGATTTATGAGGATATGGCCTCGACTGAGAAAGAGATTGCAACGACTACACAAGATCTGGGATCATGTAAAGGGGTGCTGGCAGTAATCAAAGAAGGGCTTCTGAAAAAAATGTGTGGAATATTGTACCGTAAGTGCTGGTTATGAATTGGCACTGTTCGTTAGTGGTTGTAGCAGGTTTGTTGGCTGTTTGTCTATTCAGGTTAGTGACCAGAAACCAACCAAGATCAAATTTCAATAAGAACGTAGCGATCTATGCACAACCAATATATGGTATGGTATGAGTTCTCCTAAAATAATTTACTCCATCAGGCGTGCTGTTGGAGGACCCACACTTATTCTCTTCATGTAACCATTCTTAGAATATATTATGGATAAATTACACCATTAATACATACTGCCTAGAGCTTTCTACAGTGCCTCCAACTTGCCTCCTCTCCCCTCCAGTCAATCCCCAACTACCTAAGCTCACACCTACCATTACAAATGTTACCACCTTAACTTATTTCCTGAAATTCCCACAAGGACAGGCAGCGGAACATCGACAGGCAACGATTTTTGGTAGCCTTGTCCCTCCATTCCATCGTGTCACCTCCTCCCCCTCTCTGATCCCCAGACCTGTGGCCGATCTCCAGAGATAACCCTTTGCCAATCCATGTCCCCGCCCCACTCCTGCCTTTCCAACTTATGCCTCTACCCCACTCATGTCTTTCCAGCTCATGCCGCTCCCCCACGCTAGTCTTTCTTCCCTGATTTCATCACCACTACAGGAGGCGGAGTGGCAGTGTCAACCGCGATCGAATTCAACGGAGGCTTGCTCTGGTCTTCGCTATTGGCCCACGTGCGCTCGTCGAAAACATTCTCCTGTCCGCTGCCGTCGCTGGCGAAAATTGCAGCAAACAGGAGCACGAAGACGTTGCATACAATCACGCCGCAGCAGATCGCTTCTGTGGTTGTCACGTTCATTGCTTCCTGTAGCTGATAGATCCGAGAGAAGGATGCTTCCTGGAGCTGCTTAAAACGGAAATGGGATGCTGCTGCTGCTGTTCCCTCCCCAGGCATGCCCCTGCAAAAGGGAAGTGGAAAATGGATTTGAGTAACTTCTCAAAATTCTGACCAGATGTCAGTTGGTCGCTTCGGTTCTCTGAATTGATTCTGTTGCTGAACTTATGCTGGTTCTCCCATCATGTCATGCTTCTTCAGAGATGGGGGGAAGGAGGGAAGAGGAGGGAAGGGGGGGGGGAGAGGGGGAGGGGTGGGTGGGGAGAGGGTTGAGGAGTGGGGGAGGGAGGGAGATATACGGGTACAGTCGGGACGAGGTGAACAACTAGTAAGAACTCAGCGGGTGACAAGGCGGGCGGTTAACCACAGAAAGTAACTGATATGAGTGGAGCTAAAACGGGAAAAAAAATACTTGCTTCGTCGAAAGCTCATGCCCAGTCACAGGGTTAGAGAAAAGCTAATTCAATCTACAGCTAAGGCAGCAGAGGTTTAATTACTCAATCACAAGGTTAGTCAGAGGTTAGATTGTTCATTACAAAGTAGGTCATTCACAGGCTAGGTCATTCATAGGCTAGGTCATTCATAGGCTAGGTCATTCATAGGCTAGGTTATTCATAGGCTAGGGCATTCATAGGCTAGGTCATAGGTCATTCATAGGCTAGGGCATAGGTCATTCATAGGCTAGGTCATTCTCATTCATAGGCTAGGTCATTCACAGGCTAGGTCATTCATAGGCTAGGTCATTCATAGGCTAGGTCATTCATAGGCTAGGTCATTCACTGGCTAGGTCATTCACTGGCTAGGTCATTCACTGGCTAGGTCATTCACTGGCTAGGTCATTCACTGGCTAGGTCATTCACTGGCTAGGTCATTCACTGGCTAGGTCAGGCACAGGTTGCATTGCCAAACAAAGTTACACAACTGGTTCTGACACACCCTGCTACGAGCACCATGAGTTGCTGCGCCGCTCGTAAGCTGTGAGCCTTACATTCCGGACGGCCAAGACCAGGAAAGTGATAGTTACATGTATTGACTGACGGGTGTAAATGACAGCAGGTTTATTGGCGTACCTTTATTTAAGGTTCTCGAACAGCCGTGTTTCCACGGCTCTCAAAGCGATTCCAGCAGCGTGGCGCGTTGGATTTCTGCAGCGCGTGTTGCGCGGTGGCGACGCCTGGGGACGCTTCGCGACGATTGGCGAATGCTTGGCGATTGTTCGGCGATTTTGAAGGTACGCGGGAAGGAGGGAGGGAAACGAGCGGAATCGGACGAGAAGAAGTGATGAGAAGACGGGATGGCGATGGGAACGCTACGCGTGACAACGAAAGAACCGCGCGCTGTTCGTGCTGGAACTATCGTAGAGGTGACTGAAGTCACCTTGTGTCAGAATAGGACAATACGCCTCTTATTTGATGTGCGTGTATGCATTCAAGAAAACATCACCACCTGCTAGTGAGTGTCTGAAAACTGAGAGAGAGGATTTCGTGTTTACATTACAGATTAGCGGAGATAGTTTCATGAACCTAGCGATAAAGATGAAAGAAGTTGCGTAATCTGGCTGTACAGTACTCCCAGATTCCATATTGGCACTGAGTTTCGCACTCGCTTCAATATTGGTTCAGGAGTATTTGCTTCTGTGTGGGCCCTAGGGAGAAGACTGGATTGTTCACTTGGAACCCTCTAGATAAAAAGAATCGAGCGATGACACTCACGAGGGTTGTTTTCGCCAATATCGTCACAAATTTCGCGAGATCCTAATCAGGGTGGAACGCGAACACTGGGAACAATTGGAGCAGGTGCGGGGGGGCTTGGACTGAAGGCAATTCAACGAAATACTCGAGAATGCTGTTACCACTTCCCTTCAATTAAATCACGCGTTTTAGGGCACTCACTTGGAAAGCTGGCCGGTTTCCCGCCAATCCGTACCAGACTGATCAAATTCGCTCCTGAAAAGCTTCCTGTCCCACCTTACTAGTAGCGTCTCAGCATTTTAGTGGATGCTGAGAACGCCTACTAGTGAGATCGGGGAGCTTCTAAAATTGTCGGATCTTGCTGCTTTCGCATTATTCGATTCTTCAGCGCGAATCGTCATGTCGTTCGCTTAGCCAGCTGATCGTGCCGCAACCGGCGCTAGTGTCGCCATTCAGCTGGACCAGGATTAATCTGGTCGCATTGAATACTCCGTCATTACCGTTTAATCTTGTCCGTTATATCTGCAGTGAATTTTGTCTTCAGCTAGTGTCAAATCGTCTGCTTGTAGCCAATCGTTAGCTTGTATCGAATCGCGTAATATCGATTCGTCAGTTACCTTCGCTATCAGGCCAGAGGGGGGTGTATTAAGGCGTACGAGATGGAGGTGTTGAACAGATTAAAGCTGCTGGACGCGTATCCAAAGATCAACGAGGATTTCTACAGCCGTACGCTGTCCGGGGGTATCATTACCCTCGTTTCATCTGTCATCATGACGCTGCTGTTCGTCACCGAACTCCGTACGTAACGAGTGTGAACTCATCGCGATTCCCATTCTAACGTACATCCAATCTTAACCACCGGTTATTGTTCCCTTATCATATCTCCGCGGAGATCCACGGCTGACATTTCGCCAGATTACCCAGACTTTCCTTCCTCTAAAAAAATCCAGCATCTGGCAGCCACGCTGCTAGAGACATTCTTTGTAGAACTACGCTCCCGTCCCGGCCTTCGCCCCGTTCATCCGCCCTGCGTTGCAAAACTGCGCTGCGGCCTTCGACGCATTGCCCCACCACTGCTGCGCCATGCACTCTGGCACACCCTTCTTTCCCCTCTCCTCTCTCCCCCCCCCCCCTCCCCCCTCAACCCCATTCCCCTCAACCCGTTGATCCCTCATACAATGCAATTTGCATTTTTTGCCCGTCGACCCGTTACCCGTAGAACTACTCTCCCGTCCCGGCCTTCGCCCCGTTCATCCGCCCTGCCTTGCAAAACTGCGCTTCGGACCTTCGATCCATTGCCATTGCTGCGCCATGCACTGTGACTCCCCCCCCCTTCCCCCAAACACCCCCCTTCCTCACCTTCCCTCCCCCCATCCTATTTTGAGACGTCTCAAAATTTGATTAGCATCCTGCATTTTCGCTCCGTGCCCTTCCTTCTCCCCTCAAACTCTCCCAAGCAGAGATAGTGCGCGGCCCATGTCATGGGAAAGACGAGAAGACTAACAACTAAAGTATTCTCACGGCCAACCCCGTTTCCCCTCCGTCCGTTTCCTGTTCGCGCAGAAAGCTTTTCTGAGCCTTCAGTCGCGACCGACTGAGCTGTCAATAGACTGGTCTCGAGGGAAGGGGAAAGGGAGGCGGGCTGGGATGAAGGGGAAGGTGTGGCGGAAGGTGCGATCTGGGACTTTATATTATCGGTGCGCGGCCTTCTTCCCCTTTCTTCTTGCGTACCCCTTCAGCAGAGATCTTTCTGTGACCATCAGTGGCGAAGGAGCTGTCAGTGGACATGGAAGGAATCAGATCAGGGACGCGATGAGACTGGAGATGGTTGGGCATTCCATTCGCACGACCAACACTGTTTCTCCTCTCCCCTCCCTCTCTACTTCCCGAGTTGTCAGTCAGTGGACACGTCAAGGGGCGAGGCGAAACCACGAGACGATGAGGCCACAGACCCCACAGCTAATCCTGTTCTCCTCTCCCCCCCCCCCCTCCCCCCCTTCCTTTCCCTTCTGCAGAGATTTATTCGAAGCCATCAGTGGCGAACGAGCTGTCAGTGGACATGTCAAGGGCGGAGAGGGAGAGGATGATACAATGAGGCAAGGCGATCTGATGCCACAATATTCCCATTGGCAGTTCGATCTCCCCTTGCCTTCCTTGCACCCCTCTCCCCTCAAGCAGAGATCTATTTGAAGCCATCAGTGGCGAACGAGCTGTCAGTGGACATGTCAAGGGCGGGGAGGAAGAGCATGAGACGGTCATTTCCCCTTCCTTTCCCCTTTCATCCCCCCTTGAGCAGAGATCTATTTGAAGCCATCAGTGGCGAACGAGCTGTCAGTCAGTGGACATGTTTGGGGGAGGGGAGCGAGAGGATGAGACGACAATGATACGAGGAGAACCGATACCTCAGGTCCTCATGAGCAGTCCCTTTTCCCTTCGTTTCCCCTTTCATTCCCTCCTCGAGCAGAGATATATTTGAAGCCGTCAGTGGCAAACGAGCTGTCAGTGGACATGTCAAGAGGGGAAACCATGCGGATCAATGTGAGTTGAATATCCACGTCACGTGCTAACAAGCCCTACCTCCGTTAGTCCCTGCATTCCGCTCTTAACTCCCTCACCCTTCGTCTGCCCTCATTTCTCCAGTAATCCCCTTCCTGCTTACCCTCCACTTCGCCTCCGCTAACTGGCCACTGTGTGTGCCTCTGAATCGCCTTCAGCTTTCCATTTGCTTCCATGTTTCCCCTTTCATATTCTTCCATCTCCCCTCATCACTCTCCATTTCCTCAACCCCCCATTGTGTCTTCTCTTTTCCATCATTTTCCTGCCTCCGCTTCTTGTGTATCAGCTGGATGTGACCTTCCCACACCTGGGCTGCGCCATTCTCAGCCTAGACGCCATGGATATCAGCGGGGACCAGCACCTGGACGTGGTGAGTCGTTATTGTCACAAATGACTGGTAAAATGAATCTACCCTGGCATTCTCAGTCTAGACGCAATGGACGTCTGTGGGGACCAGCACCTGGACGTGGTGAGTGGTGGGGATAACTGAGTTCCTCTAGTGCACCATTCACCATTCTCAGTCTAGACGCCATGGATATCAGCGGCGACCAGCACCTGGACGTGGTAACAAGTGGGGATTAGACAGCATTCGTTATCGTCACAAATGACTGGTAAAATGAATTATACTGTCATTTTCAGTCTAGACGCCATAAATATCAGCCGCGACCAGCACCTGGACGTGGTGAGTGAGCATTAGATAGCGCCCTAAATAGCCTGGACATCAGCAGCGATTAGCACCTGGGCGAGATGGGGGAGAAGGAAGGAAGGCAGAGCAGAGGCATGAGCAGATACAGATGCTCATCCCGAGACTACTCCTCTCCTCCATCCGATTCTCTTCCCCTTTTTAGGTGCACAATGTGTAGAAGCGGCGACTGGGCAAGGACAGGCGGCCGATAGAGTCTCAAGGGACGAAGCACGAGGTGGGGGGGATGGGCGATAGGATCATGATCTGCTTTCTGCATTGTCCTCGTTTCCCCTCCCCTCCTCAGGTGCACAATGTGTACAAGCGGCAACTGGGCAATGACAGGCAGCCCATAGAGTCACAGGGGACAAAGCACGAGGTGGGGGCGAAGGACGGAAGGCAGAGCAGAGGCATGAGCGGATACAGATGCTCATCCCGAGTCCACTCCTTTCCTCATCCTTCCCTCTCCCCCCTCCTCAGGTGCACAATGTGTACAAGCGGCAACTAGGCAATGACGGGCGGCGACTGGGCAATGACGGGCGGCCCATAGAGTCGCAGGGGACGAAACACGAGGTGCGGGCGAAGGCAGGCAGAGGCGTGAGCGGACACAAATGCATTTCTTCGCCCTGTTCACTCCCTTCTCTTTCAGGTGCACAACGTGTACAAGCGGCGGTTGGACAAGAATGGGCGGCCCATAGAGTCACAAGGGACGATTTAGACGCTCCTTTCACCCTGTGTCTTACCCTCCTTCTCCCGCCCTCCTCTCCCCCCGTCAGGTGCACAACGTGTACAAGCGGCGGCTAGACAAGAATGGGGGGCCCATAGAGTCACAAGGGACGAAGCACGAGGTGGGGGAGAAGCATGAGCCGGGGAAGCTGATACAGATGCTCTTCCCGAGTCTACTCCTTTCCTCATCCTATCCGCTTCCCCACTTCAGGAGCACAACGTGTACAAGCGGAGGCTGGACAAGAATGGGCGGCCCATAGAGTCGCAAGGGACGAAGCACGAGGTGGGGGAGAAGAAGACAGAAGCATGAGTGTTCCCTCTCCCCATTCCGCCCCCCTCAGGTGCACAACGTGTACAAGCGGCGGCTGGACAAGAATGGGCGGCCCATAGAGTCACAGGGGACGAAGCACGAGGTGGGGGCGAAGCATGAGCCGGTGAAGCTGAAGGATAAGCACGGGAACGAGGTGGACGAGAAACATGAGAACATGTGCGCCAGCTGCTACGGTGCTGAGGAGGTCAGTGCGGTGACGAGGGGTTGAGTACAGTGCCTGTTGAGGGATTGAGTGCACGGTGTGTGTTGTGTGTGAGGTGGGGGAGAAGCATGAGGCGGTGAAGCTGAAGGACAAGCACGGGAACGAGGTGGACGAGAAGCACGAGAACCTGTGTGCCAGTTGCTACGGTGCTGAGGAGGTGAGTGCGTGCTGAGGAGTTAAGAAGAGCAGAGGGGTGTGTGCCGTACGAGGTGGGGGAGAAGCACGAGCCAGTGAAGCTGAAGGACAAGCACGAGAACCTGTGCGAGCTGCTACGGTGCTGAGGAGGTCAGTGCGGTGTGGAGGGGTTAGTTGCGGTCCTGAGAGAGCCAGTGCGGTGCTGAGGGATTGAGTGCAGGGGGTGTGTGGTGTGTGAGGTGGGGGAGAAGCATGAGCCGGTGAAGCTGAAGGACAAGCACGGGAACGAGGTGGACGAGAAGCACGAGAACCTGTGTGCGAGTTGCTACGGTGCTGAGGAGGTGAGCGCGGTTTTTAGGAGTTGAATACGGTGCTGATGGACTCAGTGTGGTGCTGAAGTTGCCAAATACGCTTATCGCGTATATACGCTTATCGTATATACGCTAGCGTATGAACGCTATCCGCTTAGGGGGTCGACTTGGGGATACGCATTTTCGGGCAGGGAAAAAACTTTCCCAGGCAGGTTAAAAAAAGCCCCGGGGATGTTTGAGGGGGGCGATCTACGGGATTTTGCATCAAATGTCATTTTTTTCCCGTAATAAGATTCCCACACCCTACACACGTGACACATACTCTCCTACCACCCTACTCTACCTACTACTAGGCGTAATTGTCCTCCAGCACGGCATCCTCGACTTCCTCCTCCTCCACCTCCGTCACATCCAACCCTCCTTCGCGACTACGTGGGATGAACCCACGTCCACACTTGCACAATTCGTGGACGTGCATTTCGACGAAGGCAAAATGCTCGTCGTGCAATTCCGCATCTTTCCGTATATTCACTTTTTTTTTTTCGGTCGGGCTGCCCCAAAAAACTTGGCCAGCGTATAGCGTATTTGCTTGCGTTTAGCGTTTAGTGTGTAAACGCCAGCGTATATCCACTAAACGCAAAGGGTCTCTAGCGTATTTGGCAACTTAGGTGCTGAGAGGGGTTGTGGTGGTCGAGGGGTGTGTGGTGTGGGAGGTGGGGGAGAAGCATGAGCCGGTGAAGCTGAAGGACAAGCATGGCAACGAGGTGGACGAGAAGCATGAGAACCTGTGTGCTAGCTGCTACGGTGCTGAGGAGGTCAGTGCGGCGCTGCGGGGTGCTGAGGGATTGAGTGCGGTGCTGATGGGTTAACAGCAGGGTGTGTGGTAAGGGAGGTGGGGAAGAAGCATGAGCCGGTGAAGCTGAAGGACAAGCACGGGAATGAGGTGGACGAGAAGCACGAGAACCTGTGTGCAAGTTGCTACGGTGCTGAGGAGGTCAGTGCGGTGTGGAGGGGTTAAATGTGGTGCTGATGGGCTCAGTGCGGTGCTGAGGAATCCAGTGCGGTTCTGACGGGTTGCGGTGGTCAGGATATGTGTGGTGTGTGAGGTGGGGGAGAAGCGTGAGCTGGTCCTGCCCCAACATCTTAACCCCCCTGCCCTGCCCTCCTGCCGTCCTGCTCCTCCCCCCTTCCCCTTCTCCTCAACAGCACGAGCACGACTGCTGCAACACATGTGACGAAGTGAGGGAGAGGTCTCTTCTCTCTGTTTTGTCTCGCCAACATCTTAACCCCCCTGCCCTGCCCTCCCGCCGTCCTGCTCCTCCCCCCTTGACGTTGCAGGGATTTTTTTAGAATTCTAAAAAAATCTCTCCGTTTTGTCTCACCAACATCTTAACCCCCCTGCCCTGCCCTCCCGCCGTCCTGCTCCTCCCCCCTTCCCCTTCCCCTCAACAGCACGAGCACGGCTGCTGCAACACATGTGACGAAGTGACAGTGGTCTCGTCCCTCCCATTTTCTTCTCACATACGTGTTGACCCCCATTCCTGCTCCCCTTCCTCCCTCCCAGCACGAGCACGACTGCTGCAACACGTGTGACGAAGTGAGGGAAGCGTATCGCAAGAGAGGATGGGCGTTTACCAACCCGGATTCCATCGAACAGGTACCGTGTACATACAGTCATGGTCAGTGATGCGCAAGATTGTTTTCCGACTTTGGCGTACTAGACTAGAAAGAAAGAAAAAAGGTTCACCGAGCAAGAAGTATTCCAATAGACCATACATTTTTCCCGTCTCCATCTCCGTCTTGCCCCCCATGCTGCTTTGATCCGCAGTGCAGGAAGGCCATCAACGCACAGAGAGAAAGAAAGAGGCCATGCATGCATTTTTCTTGTCTCAATCGCTCTCTCAATCCCGGCCATACTTGTCATGCTTGTGTTGACCCATACTTGTCATGCTTGTTGCTCTGCAGTGCAAGAAAGAGGGCTTCACTAAGTTGATCAAGGCACAGAGAGAACGAAAGAGGCCATAGATGCAGTCTCCCTGTCTCGATCACCCCCTCTCAACTCCTGTCTTGTCTTGTCGCCCGTGCTTGTGTTGACCCGTTCTTGTCATGCCGTTGCTCTGCAGTGCAAGAAGGAGGGCTTCACGGAAACGATCAAGGCACAGGAGGGCGAGGGGTGCAACATGTACGGCTTCCTGGAGGTGAGGGGGCAAGGATGTGAGTTCACTGGTGTGTAAAGGCATGGGAGGGCTCGCTGTCTGCCCTGGAGAGCAAGAAGAAGGGCTTCTCAGTGAGTGAGACCATGAGGGTGCTGGAGGCGAGGGGTGCAAAACCCTGAACCCAAAACCCTGAACCTGTATGGCTTTCAGGAGGCGAGAGGTTCAGGGTTTTGGGTTTAAGGATGTGTGACGGGTTGCCACGGCCTACAGGCTACAGCCTACAGGCTACAGGTATGAACGGGGCAACATGTATGCCTAGGAACCTATCAGGTTGTTTGGATTGGAGGACTGTTCTAGGCCTGCCTCCACCGCCCACACTGGAACGATCCTTCTTCGGAATAGCTTGCAGCAGGGACCTTGCAGCAGGAGCTTGCAGCAGGGAGCTTGCAGCAGGGAGCCATCCAATCCCCACTCCTCCTCCCTCCAGTGCTGCACTCTTTGTCCTCTGCATGCTACCTCCCACTTCTGCCGGCAATCCCCCCCTCCCTCCCCCCTTCCCCCTCCTCCCACACACCACACATGCAGGGCAGCTGAACAAGGTGGCGGGGAGTTTCCACTTTGCACCGGGGAAGATAGGCTTACAAGGCACACCCATCACAGGCAGTACTACTGTTACACTCCTTGTCCCCTCCTTCCCCCCATCCCCACACCTGCAGGTGAACAAGGTGGCAGGGAGTTTCCACTTTGCGCCGGGGAAGAGCTTTCAGCAGGGAGGCCTGCACCCATCTACCCAGTGCACTCCTCCTCCTTGTGCTGTCACTCATTGCTCCGCCCTCCCTTCTCTGTATGCGACCTCCCCCCCTTCACCGCCCCCTCATGTGCAGGTGAACAAGGTGGCGGGGAACTTTCACTTTGCACCGGGGAAGAGCTTTCAGCAGGGAGGCTTGCACGTGCATGACCTCATGCCTTTCCAACACATGACCTTCAATGTGAGGTTCACGTGAGGCTCATGTAAGGCTCATGCGTCATAAGGAGGGACAGGTGTTTGACATGTGAGCTTCACTCCACTGTGCTGCTTTGTTTTTTTTAGGAGCCTAAAAGATCGTCTCATTTCTTGCAGATTTTTTAGGCGCCTAAAAAACGGTTCACGTGAGGCTCATGTAAGGCTTATGCGTCATAAGGAAGGACAGAGGTTTGACATGTGAGATTCGCTTCACTGTGCTGCCTTGGGAGGCTTGCACGTGCATGACCTCATGCCCTTCCAACACATGACATTCAACGTGAGGCTCATGTAAGGCTTATGCGTCATAATGAAGGACAGAGGTTTGACATGTGAGCTTCATTTCACTGTGCTGCTATAATTTTTTAGGCGCCTAAAAAATCGTCTCATTTCTTGCGGATTTTTTTGGCGCCTAAAAAACGGTTCACGTGAGGCTCATGTAAGGCTTATGTGTCATAAGGAGGGACAGAGGTTTGACATGTGAGATTCGCTTCACTGTGCTGCTTTGGGAGGCTTGCATGTGCATGACCTCATGCCCGCCCTTCCAGCACATGACCTTCAACGTAAGTCCTCATCTCCCGCACCCTCACTCACTGTGTGAACCCATAAACACAGCTCATTTTTCAACTTGCCCATGCCCCATTGGATAGGGCCCATCTCCACCCATCCCGCCCTCCCCCACTCCCTCTCCCCGCTCCCTCCCCCATTCCCTGTCCCCCCCCCTTCCTCATCCCTCTCCCCTCCCTCTCTCCCCTCCTTTATAGCCAAGTCCGCAGGCCTACTCAACCAATTGAATAAGTACACATGGGTCTGCTTTCACTGTGCCTCCGCCCACTCTACCCCCTCACCCCCTCCCTCCTTCCCTTCCCACCGCAGGTGTCGCATGTGATCAACTCGCTTTCTTTCGGTGCCAAGTTCCCAGGCCTAGTCAACCCCTCAAGAGGGTATGCATGGGTTTGCTTTTTCAACATGCCCCAGCCCAATTGCCCCGTCCCTCCGCTTCCTCACTTCCCACCGCAGGTGTCGCATGTGATCAACTCGCTTTCTTTCGGTGCCAAGTTCCCAGGCCTAGTCAACCCCTTGGATGGGTGCGTATCAGCAAGTTCTTTTTAGGAGTGATTCCCTTAAATGGGTATACACAGGTACGCGCGTCTGAGAATTCTCAAAAGTGATTTCTAGTGCGTATCAGCAAGTTCTTTTTAGGAGTGATTCCCTTACGTGGGTATACACAGGTACGCACGTTGAGAATTTTCAAAAGTGATTTCTAGTGCATATCAGCAAGTTCTTTTTAGGAGTGATTCCCTTATGTGGGTAACACAGGTACGCGCGTCTGAGAATTCTCAAAAGTGATTTCTAGTACATATCAGCAAGTTCTTTTAAGGAGTGATTCCCTTACGTGGGTGGACACAGGTATGCACGTTTGAGCAGGACGGCTCAACTCCTTAGATGGGTATGTGATCACTCGGTTGCCTCTAGGAGTGATGTTCTTAAATGGTAAGGTACGGGTATATCTTTTGAGTCGACTCAAATGTCACCTGGGTATGTGATCACTCGGTTGCCTCTGGGAGTGGTGTTCTTAAATGCTAAGGTGTACATCCATCCATGCGTGCAAGACTAGGCAACCCTGGATAGGTAAATGCCAACGAGGTTGCTCTAGAGAATGATCACCCTAGATGGACAGGCCATGTACGGGGTCAGGTCAGGTACGGGTATGTGCGCACAGGACAGGTCATCCGTGAATAGGTATGTATGAAATTGCTTGGATTAATGACTTGGAAGGGTTTTTAGAAATTTGCTTGTAGATGACCTTTATTACGCTAGTGAAATTTAGTTATGAGGCGCCTCAAAACTAGAATTTTGCTTGTAGATGACCTGTATTACGCTAGTGAAATCACTCCAACGCTAAGTCATGGCTTCAAGGGGCGTGTGCGTGTGTGTGTGTCTCCTGCGTTGCCGTGGCTGGTGTGTGGCAGGGTGAAATGGATACAGGAGAAGGATCCCGGCATGTATCAGTACTTCATCAAGGTGAGACTGTTTTGAGGCGCCTCAATGACACTGCAACGTCGCAAGTGTGCAACGTCTGTTGCACACTTGCAATGACAGGGTGAAATGGATACAGGAGAAGGATCCCGGCATGTATCAGTACTTCATCAAGGTGAGACTGTTTTGAGGCGCCTCAATGACACTGCAACGTCGCAAGTGTGCAACGTCTGTTGCACACTTGCAATGACAGGGTGAAATGGATACAGGAGAAGGATCCCGGCATGTATCAGTACTTCATCAAGGTGAGACTGGAGATTCTACTCAAAGCATTTTGTTGCACACTCGGGTCGAGAAGGTGAAATGGATACAGGAGAAGGATCCCAGCATGTATCAGTACTTCATCAAGGTGAGACTGTTTTGAGGCGCCTCAATGACACTGCAACGTCGCAAGTGTGCAACGTCTGTTGCACACTTGCAATGACAGGGTGAAATGGATACAGGAGAAGGATCCCGGCATGTATCAGTACTTCATCAAGGTGAGACTGGAGATTCTACTCAAAGCATTTTGTTGCACACTCGGGTCGAGAAGGTGAAATGGATACAGGAGAAGGACCCTGGCATGTATCAGTACTTCATCAAGGTGAGAGTGCATGTTAAGTCAGCATGTATGAATGCTGATTCAAAGCACTCCGATGCACACTTGCATTCCATCAACAAGGGGAAATGGGTAGGGGAGAAGGACCCCGGCATGCACCAATGCTTCATCAAGATGAGACTGACTGACTTCAATCAGTGCGAACTGAAAGCATTCCGTTATAACGCGCGCTTGCATCAACAAGGGGAAATGGGTAGGGGAGAAGGATCCCGGCATGCACCAATGCTTTATCAAGGTGAGAGTGAAGATTTTTCAGGTCCCATTAAGTGACTTCTTGTGTTGTGCTGTGCCGTTTTATCGCAACCCACTTTCTGCTTTCTTCCCGTCCCTCTCTTCCCTTCCCCCCCACCTGCCTTGATTCGTTGCAGGATCTCCTTCCTCCTCCCACCACACCCTCCCTTCACTCAATCAGATCGTGCCAACCCTATACACAGACGTTTCAAACCACACCATTTCAACCGACCAGGCATCCTCCCTTTTCTCAATGCCCCACTCCCTCCCTCCATACTCTCCCTCCTCACCCTCCCTTCACTCAACCAGATCGTGCCAACCCTATACACAGACGTTTCAAACCACACCATTTCAACCGACCAGGCATCCTCCCTTTTCTCAATGCCCCACTCCCTCCCTCCATACTCTCCCTCCTCACCCTCCCTTCACTCAACCAGATCGTGCCAACCCTATACACAGACGTTTCAAACCACACCATTTCAACCGACCAGGCATCCTCCCTTTTCTCAATGCCCCACTCCCTCCCTCCATACTCTCCCTCCTCACCCTCCCTTCACTCAATCAGATCGTGCCAACCCTATACACAGACGTTTCAAACCACACCATTTCAACCGACCAGGCATCCTCCCTTTTCTCAATGCCCCACTCCCTCCCTCCATACTCTCCCTCCTCACCCTCCCTTCACTCAACCAGATCGTGCCAACCCTATACACAGACGTTTCAAACCACACCATTTCAACCGACCAGGCATCCTCCCTTTTCTCAATGCCCCACTCCCTCCCTCCATACTCTCCCTCCTCACCCTCCCTTCACTCAACCAGATCGTGCCAACCCTATACACAGACGTTTCAAACCACACCATTTCAACCGACCAGGCATCCTCCCTTTTCTCAATGCCCCACTCCCTCCCTCCATACTCTCCCTCCTCACCCTCCCTTCACTCAACCAGATCGTGCCAACCCTATACACAGACGTTTCAAACCACACCATTTCAACCGACCAGGCATCCTCCCTTTTCTCAATGCCCCACTCCCTCCCTCCATACTCTCCCTCCTCACCCTCCCTTCACTCAACCAGATCGTGCCAACCCTATACACAGACGTTTCAAACCACACCATTTCAACCGACCAGGCATCCTCCCTTTTCTCAATGCCCCACTCCCTCCCTCCATACTCTCCCTCCTCACCCTCCCTTCACTCAACCAGATCGTGCCAACCCTATACACAGACGTTTCAAACCACACCATTTCAACCGACCAGGCATCCTCCCTTTTCTCAATGCCCCACTCCCTCCCTCCATACTCTCCCTCCTCACCCTCCCTTCATTCAACCAGATCGTGCCAACCCTGTACACAGACGTTTCAAACGAAGTTGGCCTTTGAGCCGACTCAAAAGTCAACTGCATTCCCTCCCCCCTCCCTCCATACCCTCCCTCTTTACCCTCCCTCTTCTCAACCAGATCGTGCCAACCCTATACACGGACGTTTCAAACCACACCATTTCAACAAACCAGGTAATTTCACTCCTTTTTTTTTTTTTCCCCCAAGGGTCACCACCACAGCCGTCTGTCATTATTTACAACCCCGTATTCCTGTTCTGTTCTCCCCACTTACGTCCTGGACCTCACTCACCAACCACCTCCGCCCGTCAGCAATGGGGCACTACACTTCGGGCGTGGGGCATGGTGCCCCCTACCTCCCTACCTGTTCTGTTCCCCCCACCTCCCGCCCTGCACTTCACTCACCGACTGCCTCTGCCCATCAGCAACAGACTCACTGACTGACTAACTGCCTAACTGACTCAGCTCCTAATCCCCACCGTTCCCTCATCCCCCCAGTTCTCAGTGACGGAGCACTTTCGGCCGTCACAGATGGGGAACAGCCTGCCTCACGCCATGAGCCATTGCTCACACCTTCCTCCCTCTTTTCCTCGTCTCTCCCTCTTCCTCCCGCCTACCAGTTCTCAGTGACGGAGCACTTTCGGCCGTCAGAGATGGGTCACAGCCTGCCAGGCGTCTTCTTCTTCTACGACCTATCACCCATCAAGGTGCGCTGTCTTCTTCTTTCACCTCTCACACATAAACATGTGCGCTTGTCTTCGCCTTTGTCTGTAGCTGTAGCTGTGGTTGTGGCTGTGGCTCTGCTCCCTCCCTCCTCCTCTCTCCCGGGCGTCTTCTTCTTCTACGACCTATCACCCATCAAGGTGTGCTCGTCTCCTCCTTTGTGCTGTTGCTGTAGCTGTAGCTGTAGCTGTGGTTGTGGCTGTGGTTGTGGCTGTGGCTCTGCTCCGTCCTCCTCTCTGCTGTGCCTGCCAGGCGTCTTCTTCTTCTACGACCTATCACCCATCAAGGTGCAACCTTACTTTGTGATAAAAGAAGTGTTTTGAGACGTCTCAAAACACAGCCTCCCGGACTTCTTCTTTTACAGCCTATCACCCATCAAGGTGCGCTTGTCTTCACCTCTGTCTGTATCTGTAGCTGTAGCTGTGGTTGTGGTTGTGGTTGTGGTTGTGGTTGTGGTTGTGGTTGTGGCTGTGGCTGTGGCTGTGGCTGTGGCTGTGGCTGTGGCTGTGGCTGTGGCTGTGGCTGTGGCTGTGGCTGTGGCTGTGGCTGTGGCTGTGGCTCTGCTCCCTCCTCCTCTCTGCTGTGCCTGCCAGGCGTCTTCTTCTTCTACGGCCTATCGCCCATCAAGGTGTGCTTGTCTTCTTCCTATGCCAGTATCTGTAGCTGTGGTTGTGGCTGTGGTTGTGGCTGTGGCTCTGCTCCCTCCTCCTCTCTCCCAGGCGTTTTCTTCTCTACGACCTATCATCACCCATCAAGGTGTGCTCGTCCCCTCCCTCTCTTCATTCCTCGCCTTGACCGCTCTTTTCTCCTCAACCGCCATGTTCACACAATCCCTTCCCTCTCTGTTGACTCGCCTCAAGACACTTCATCCCCTCTTTGCTCCCACATCAGGTTCGATTCACGGAGCAGCACACGTCCTTCCCTTGGTCACTAATCCCCGTGCGCATACAAACACTGACTCTGATATCCAGCCTTCCCCCTGCTTTGTATCATCTCTAAGACTCTTCATCCCCCCCCTGCTCTCACACACCAGGTTCGATTCACAGAGCAGCACACATCCTTCCTCCACTTCCTCACTGATATCTCTGAATAGAAACGCTGACATCCACCCCCCATCCCCCCTCTGCTCACACATCAGGTTCGATTCACAGAGCAGCACACATCCTTCCTCCACTTCCTCACTGTTGTCTCTAAATACAAACTCTGACATCCATCCCCCCTCTGCTCACACATCAGGTTTGCTTCACGGAACAGCACACACCCTTACTCCAATTCCTTACACCCTTCCTCCACTTCCTCACTGTTGTCTCTAAATACAAACTCTGACATCCATCCCCCCTCTGCTCACACATCAGGTTTGCTTCACGGAGCAGCACACACCCTTACTCCAATTCCTTACACCCTTCCTCCACTTCCTCACTGTTGTCTCTAAATACAAACTCTGACATCCATCCCCCCTCTGCTCACACACCAGGTTCGCTTCACGGAGCAGCACACATCCTTCCTCCACTTCCTCACGAACGTCTGCGCAATCATAGGAGGTGAGAGTCTTGATTTACCTTCTTCACGTACTGTTTAAATTCTTGAACATTGCATCGGGTGGTGGTGATGGGCGAAACTTGCAGCCTTTGAGGCCCTCAATCGAGGGGGGTTGTGTGAGGCAGTTCAAATTGACTAAGCTTATTCATAAATAGCTTAATGTGTGTTCGCTTATTCTTAGACATCATTGGTGCTGTGTTGTAGCATAAAACACGAGCTCGCATTTTAATGTATATACGCACTAATGAATGTTCCTCTTGTGTCACCCTACCCTTGCCTTGCTTGCAGGAGTGTTCACTGTGACGGGGATCATAGATGCCGTGGTTTACCATGGGCACAAGGCTATCAAGAAAAAAATGGAATTGGGAAAGCTCAGCTAAGCTCACTATGCCATTGGTTTTGGCGCTGCTTGCTTTTATTTACTAGGCTGGATACGGAAGCCACGTGGATTGGATTCTTCGCAATGTCCCTAAAATGTTAATTGGTCCATTCCTGATGTAAACGCTGGAGCTGTACAGCAAGTACAAAACCACTTGTTTTGGGTGTCTAGTTTTTCGCAAACGCGTACACTGACGGCTTTGAGTCGCCCCGTCGCACCTCCCACCCTTCTGTTTCGCCACCTCCATTCCACCAACTCCCCCTTGCCCTAACGGAGGAGGATTTCAGACGGAATCAATCAAAGATTCCAAACAAGGGACAAGGATTTCACCGACGGAATCAACAGTACCACCGCCATTACCTCATGCTTTCAGCTTCAACTCAACTCCAGCCATATGCTTCGATCTTACCAGCCATGGTCACTTCACATGTCTGTCACTTTTCATAACGCCACGACTATGGCATATGTCAAGGTGAAAGTTCGGTTGTGTCTTCAGATGTTCCCTGACATCTTCAGAACACAGTGAGTAAAGGTAGGGTTTAGATGACTGAAGGCGTGTTCGTCGGTATGGAAGCTCATCATTTGTCGTAAAAGTGGGATTTTTCTGTGCACTTAATACAGTTGCTGAATTCCGGAATTACACTGAGGTCGTCACAAGAATGGAGAAGGATAATTCTTACTATAAATATATCAACACAAGAGAAGAATCAAAATTGCCTTACGGCTGAAACACAACTCGAGAGAACGCTATGTAACAAAACGCGTGCCTACGCACTTATTCCGTCACACATAATGGAGTCGCACACATGTCGCAACTACTCCTCCTCATCATCGTTGATGAACTTGCCCGTGCCAGGGTTGATCGCCGCGACGAAGAAAAGAACAATGCTGGCGATCAGGAGCGGCTCGAGCTCCCAGACAGGCAGGCCCGTCTCGATGTTCAGCTGCGCAAGCGCACCCTTGCCGGTGATCACCTCACCAACGAGCGACGCAGCAAACCCTAGTTGCGCCATGCGGCCCACGAACAGCTCGTTCGACTTGCTGAATCCGAACAGAGGACCGTCCTCGCTCAGGCCCAGCGCGGACCGCAGGCTCCCGGGCTTCGCGGGGACGAAGCGCGGCGCCTCGTCGTCGACGAATCGCCCGCGGTCGCCGAGCGCGCCGATCGCGCCGAGCACGGTGAAGCCGATGAAGAAAAGCAGAAGCGGCTCGGCCTCGGTGATGGGAATTCCGGTCTCAAGGTTGAGCTGTCCGAGAATCCCTTGGCCGTCGATGGCCTCTCCGAGGAGCGACGCGGCGAAGCCGAGCATGGCGACGCGGCCGACGAAGAGCTCGTTAGCCTTCGTGAAGCCGAACCCGCCCGACGTGCCGAAGATGCCATCCTCCGTGCGAAGCTTCTTGGTGGTAGCGGCCTTCGCGGACTTCGCCGGGGTGGCAGCGGCCTTCTTGGAGAAGAGCGCGGTCGTGGTGAGACCGAGGCCGCGAGGGACGGCGGCAGCGGCGGGGGTCGCGGTGAGGCGAGGGGTGGAGAGCGCAGCGCCGCGAACGCTGGCGCTGAATGTGAGGGAGGCAATAGCCTGGCGGGCAGCGAGAGAAGTGGCCATGGTGTGAGAGTGAAGTGAATCGGCTCTGCTGAGACGAAAGAGCTGAAGGGACGAGATGCAGAGAGCTCAGAAGTCTCAGAGAGCTGTACACACTGAACAGGTTAGTAAACTGATGATAATATGAAAGGAACCACGTGATGTTTATAGGTCCCTCCAGTGAGCTCTCAACAATCCAGGCCAGCTGTGTTCATTCATCAGTCCCTGATGCCAGCCGAATCGCACAGCTTTTTCGCCTTTGCCTGAGGTTGAGCATCAAATTCGAGAGTAGGACGCTCAGTCACCCACACATTTGGCTGATGACAGACCGAGGCGCACCAATTCACCCCTCCCACACTCCGAAAAGCAGTTGGGAGAAAAAAGGGAGACGTGTTCAGTTTGGGATGGTCCACGCTGGCAGGCATTTCCTCCTCAGATTTTGGCAGGTTGCACGTACGACCACGCGTGCAGTTGCCATGTGGTTGCCATTTGGTTGCCATGTCACCCCTTCAAAATTTGATTGGCTATACGCACGATATTTTGGAGGCTGAGAGCGATTGCAAGCATGGACCCATTGAAACGACGCCACATCAGATCAGCGAGCAATGGGGCATTGACCTACCAAGAATTCTAGCCTGGCCGCTTGCAGCAGATGCATCGTACCTGCTCTAGCATTGTGAGTCTGCTTCTAAGCTGTGAATGGCTGCATCCTTAGTACACCCCTTTTCTCGCCAAATTAGAACATCCTCATGAGCCCTGTTTTATCAGGCTTATTGATCATGATTACCCTTATTTATGTATAACGAATCTTCAACTAAAAGTTTATTATTGATCGAGTTTCTGACATTCTTGTCCGGTTCGTGAGTTTCTCTATAACTACCTACAACTGTTCGACGAGGAAAGTCGCAGGCAGATGGGGGGAGTACAAAGGGGAGCACAAACTACCAAGTTTGCCCATGGGCGTAGCCATGTCGGCCGTGCCCCACACGACACGCCACAGCACGGCACGGTCAGGCCAACACAGCCGTTGTTGCTGGTCAACGAGTTACCCGGAGCGCACGCAACCATTTCGGATCGCAGCGTGTAGTAGACGGTTATGGTATCCGCATATGCAGCTAAGGTTTCGCAGCATGTAGACGATTGTGGGCGCGAGATTATTCTCAAGCCCTGGGTATCGAATACGCGCGCTTGTAGGCATATGTATATAAACTAGTGGGCCTCATCGAGAATACGCACCCACCTTGTCGACTATCACTGATCGCACTTGTGAGGCATCGACGCGTACCAGCCACTTCTTAGTCTGCAACCCTGAATTCACCTCCGGCGCGTTGCTGCCTTTTGGTTGGTTGAATCAGTCCGTCTTCCTGTCTCGACAGTTTATCCTGTCCAATTCGCCCAACCGTTCCCAACCGACTACCGCCGCTTGTTCTAGAAGGCCGCTTCTACTACCGCCGCTTCTGACGAGGCTAGTGCCTCTGGCACCCGTCGCCGCTACTGGCCGAACCTCTTTCGTCACCACCGCTAGATTCCAAGCTCGCTGTCGCGCTGCTCGTCGTCATCCTCGTTGGTACGCTTCCCAACCTCAAGGCATTGTGCGCGACGCTCGTTAGAAGCTTACAAGCTGCTCGATCAAGTCCCAATTCCGTACACATTTTTTTTGGCGCCTCAAGAAATCGTCTCGGTTCACGCGGCTTTTGAGGCGCCTCAAAAAGCGATGCTCGTTAGAAGCTTACAAGCTGCTCGATTAAATCCCAATTCCGTACACATCCGACTTTTGAGTCGACTGAAAAAACGTCACATTTGCGAGTCGCTCGTTACTTAATCAGGGTTTCCCCCTTCCCCATGTAACGTCCTCGCAGCGAGTGAGGTTGAAAGGTCGTTGTCGCTGACTGTCGCCCTTCCCCGTGTCACTTCCTGCTCTCCCTTCCCCGTGTCACTTCCTGCTCTCCCTTCCCCGTGTCACTTCCTTCTCTCCCTTCCCCTCCATGTGACGTCTTCGCAGCGAATGAGGTGGGAGTGTCGCTGGCGTTGGGAGAATCTGCCATCAGAGGGACGACTGCTGGCGGCGGCACCGACCCGACTGGTACTACGGGCGTGACTTGTGCCCTTCCCTGTGTGACGTGTCTTGCCATTCTCCCTTCCCCTCTGTGTGAGCGAGTGAGGTGGGTGTGTCGTCGCTGGGAGCACCAGCCGGCAAAGGCACGACTGCTGCCGGTTTCTGTGCGCGTGGGCTCTTTTTGAGACGTCTCAGTAACATCATTTTTTCGCGCTGGTGATGCGGGTTTATGTGCACATGGGCTCGCTCGGTGATGCTCCTCGGCTCGCTTGTTCTGAACCCTTGTCGATGGCAGCAAATGCCGCTGCTGCCAGCGATGTGATGGCAGCAAATTCCGCTGCTGCCAGCGATGTGCGCGCTGGCTCGGCGATGCTCCTCCTCGGCTCGCTCGTTCCGACCTTTTCGCTTAGCTTTCCGTCTTCGCCCTTCTCTGTTTGACATGCTCGCAGCTACGGCAGCAAATGTGGTGGCTGCCAGCGATGTGGTGGCTGCCAGCGATGTGGTGCGGCTTTATGTGCGAATGGGCACGGTGATGCTCCTCGGCTCGCTTGTTTTCAACCCTTCCCTTCCCTTTTTGTCTTCGCCCTTCTCCCCACAGCCATGGGAGCGAATGCCGCTGCTGCCAGCGATGTGATGCGGCTGTATGTGCGAATGGGGACCGTGATGCTCCTCGGCTCGCTTGCGCAGCCGCGCAAAGTCCGATTCGAATTTGAGCGCTGCGTGTCCGTGGGGACGGTGATGCCCGAAGTCGCGTCCGCGAGCGATGTTGGTGTGGCTGAGAATTCCCCAAAGTCACACCAACATAGCGTGCCCGAAGTCGCGTCCGCGAGCGGCGGCGGAGGAGGTGCGGTGGACGCGCTGCTGTTGTGGGACGTGTTTTTGGGTGACGCGCTTTTCCAGCGCACGGTGTGCGACGCGGTGCAGCTGTTCGCGTCGCCCGACTGCTCGGGTGCTGCAGCGGCAGAGTACCAAAACACGGTTTACCACACAAGGGACATGAGGTGAGTGCTCACCCGCTTGTTACTGGCGGGGGGGGGGGGGGGGGATGTGCTGGTGTGGTGTGGTGGGACTTTTTTTTTGGATCGTACGGTGTGCAACGCGGTGCAGCTGTTTGCGTCGCCCGACTGCTCGGGTGCTGCAGCGGCGAAATACCCGTTCACGGGGGATATGAGGTGAGGAGTAACCATTTTGCTGCGAACTGCCCATTTGCGGGGTACATGAGGTGATCATTGGTGGGGTAACCGAGGTGAAATACCCAGATTCATTATTCACCCGTTTGTTTACCTTACTGGCGCACAGTGAAGCTCACTCCCTTGCTTGCATGTGTCCCAATCTCTCCACATGCCTGTGTGAGCAGTGCATTCAAGATGGACACATCAGTGAAGTCCATCCGCTGCGTTCTCGGTGAGTGCACTGCTGCCACCATGCGTTGACCCCTCTGCTACTATTACTATGCATGCCCTGATGCTCATGCATCGCATCATTGAACAACATCACTCGCAGCTTCCACCTGTGCCCTGCTGCCGCCATGCATGCGCTTCCTGCTGCAATTTATGCCGCTTTTCCTCATGAGTCATGCCTCTCCCCCCGTTCTTTCCCCCGTGCCTCTCCCCCCATGCCTCTCCCCCCATTCTTCCCCCCATGCCTCTCCCCCCATGCCTCTCCCCCCATGCCTCTCCCCCCATTCTTCCCCCCATGCCTCTCCCCCCATGCTTCTCATCCCATCCCTCCCTCCCATGCCATTTCCTCCCATCCCATCCCTCTCACCCCATCCTCCCATGTGATCCAGACTACATCTGCAGCCGTGTCAAGTGCCCGGCACACTCCACGTGCATCAAGACAAACGACAGCATGGAGGTGGCATGCCAGTGCGCCCAGGGCTACCGGGAAGTCTACGGCAAATGCAAGCCCCAAGAACCTTCAACCGAATGTAAGTCTCTGCGTTGAATGTGCATCAAGACAAACGACAGCCTGGAGGTGGGGTGCCAGTGCGCCCAGGGCTACCGTAACGTCTATGGTCAATGCAAGCCCCAATCGCCTTCCCTCTCGCCTTTAGTGGGGTGGCATGCCAGTGCGCCCAGGGTACCGTAAAGTCTACGGTCAATGCCAACCTCAGTAGCTTCCCCTCCCCCCTGTAAGCCCTCGCTTCCACTCTTTATTTCCTTCACGCTCTACCTTCCCCCCCTCTCTCTTCCTGTCCCGTCCTACATCCCCCTCCTCCCCCATCTCCCTCTCCGCCTCTCGCACCCTGTCCCCATTCTGCCCCCTCTCTCTCTCCCCCCCCTCTCTTTCTCCCCTCTCTCCTCTCTCCCTCTCTCCCTTCTTGATCTTCTTCCACTATGCAACTGTGTGCTCATCGCCCATTCTCGCATTGTCTGTTGCACAGCCCCTCCCCGGACTCTTCCTCTTCCTCTCTCATTCCCGCTCCCTCTCTCCTCTCTTCCCTTCCCCTGTTTCCATCTTCTGCCACGATGCATCTGTGTGCTAATCATGCCTTCTCGCCTTGTCTGCTGCATGCAGAGCCCTCCAGCGCCGCTGCCATGCTGAGAGCTAGCACAACCTCTCAAGCATTTCCAGTTCTGTACTGGGCCCTAAAAAGCAGAGCCTCTGGATAGCAGAGCTTTTTAAGAGCACCTAAAGAGCGCCTGGAGTGGCGGTGCTGCCACGAATGTCCTGGGGTGCCACTTGGAGAAACCAGAGCAGTGGGTACCCATCAAAACAGCACAGGAGTACCGTATTGCACAAACTGCCGTTGTTTTGTGATTGTTTGAGTGAACAGAAGAAGACGTTAGAACAGATGTCTTATGCTGCATTTCTTACGTTTTCCGGATACGGTACCTCCTGAAATCTCGTGTGCCTAAATGTTCATGCTTATTTGGAACAACTCAGCAAAAATTATAATTTTTAAACACACATTGTGTTTTTTAAATTGTGTATTGTGAAAGCGAAGCTGCCTGTACTGCACATTTGGCATCGTCGAAGCGCACTAAACGCCCTTCTCCAACTACAAAAACCGTGGGTTGGTCTCAGAATCTACATGCAACGGAATGATTGGGATTAGGGATTGCAAGCATACAAGTAGGAGTCCTACAAATGTTGTACCCTCTAGGGAGTGCCTCACTGCGGCCTATCATAACATTAACATTTGACACACCCCCATAGGCTAAGTGAGGGGCATCAAAGCAAGCAAGGTGAACAAACGGTCACAAGACCAGTCAAAGCAAGAAACAAGGCAAGCTCAGGGTGGATCTCAAGGACACCACACAAATTCCGAGCGCAAGCAAGCGGCCACAAGGCCAGTTCAAGAGTTCACTAGGATATAAATACAAAGCACAACAAGCAGAGGAAGCAACAGGACTACAGCAACCTAGGGCCTACCTCAACAAGCCCCAACTGCACACAGAACCTGTGGTGGTCACCAAGCGCCAAGGCCTTGGTGAAGACGTCTGCAGTGTTGGCCTCTGAGGCCACAAAGTCCAGGCGTGCCTGACCGCGTCGCTGCAGCTCTCGCAGGAGGAAGTACCTCACGTCAATATGCTTCACTCTGCTCTCCAGTCGAGGCTCTCGACACAGGAGGATCATGGCCTTGTTGTCAGCGTACAAGGTCGGTGCAGAGCGAGGCCGCTCACCAAGGTCGGCGAGCAAGAAGGTCAACCAGCGAAGCTCCTGAGCCGCCATGGCACCAGCGTAGATCTCTGCCTCTGCACTGGAAGTAGCTACAGACGACGACCGTGTAGACCTCCACGACACAGCACCAGCTCCCAGACTGAAGCAGTAACCCTGAGTCGAGCGCTGAGTCTCCACGTCGTCAGCGTAGGAAGAGTCACAGTGACCAGTCAACGCCACTGGCTGAGTCCCTCCAAGCACAAGCCCCATGCCTGATGTAGTCGCCAGGTACTTCGCCACCCTCACAGCAGCTGTCCAGTGGACAGGGCGGTGTCTCCCAGTCGCAACAAAGCGAGAAAGGACGCTGAGGGGAAAGGCGAGGTCCGGTCGAGTACAAGTCATCAGGTACATGAGGCAGCCCACCAGCTCTGCGTAGGGTCCACTGGACTCAAAGGGCTCGTCAGGAAAGGGGCCCGTGAGTCTGTGGTCAACAGCACGAGGAGTGGGCTGAGTGGTGGAGAACTGGAAGTCGAACCGCCGAAGGACCTGCTGCACCATGTGTGACTGCGTCAGTGTGATGGTGCGAGCGGCTCTGTCCCGGGTGATCTGCAAGCCAAGGTAACGTTGCAGCTCACCCAGGTCAGTGCACTTGTGTCTCTTCTGCAGTTCGGACTTCACCTGAGCCAGGGCTGCCCTGTCTGCTGTAGCAAACACCAAGTCGTCGACGTAGACAAGGATAAAGAAAGGAGTAGAACCCGCTCGAACAAACAGCGACGGGTCGGCGGAGGACGGGCTGAACCCAAGGTCACGAAGCGTGGAGCGAAGAGTGTCGTGCCACTCACGGGGCGACTGGCGGAGACCGTAGACTGGTCGCCTCAGGCTCCACTGGGTCCCAGGTGGGAAGGTGTCAGTGAAGTCAGGAGGACGGCGCAGCCAGATCTCCTCGTGCAGTCGGCCGTGGAGGAACGCAGTGGAGAAGTCGAGGGAGTGCAGCTCGTAGTCTCGCTGCGCTGCTATGTGGAGTAACACCCGAAGAGTAGTCATCTTCGGGGTCAGGGCGAAGGTCCGGAAGAAGTCAACTCCCTCACGCTGACTGAAGCCCCTAGCCACGTAGCGCGCCTTGAACACCGGCGGTGCTCCAGGCGGCCGCTTCACCTTGAAGAGCCACATGCCATCGACTACGTTCGCCCTGGGAGGGGGAACTGCGTCGACGTAGGTGCCTGTGGATCTCCAAGACGCCAACTCTGAGTCCATAGCCGCTTTCCACTGAGAGGCCCACGCCCCTGACACTGCCTCGCGGTAGGTGCGAGGAGTCGGTATGTCAAGGGCGTCGGGGTCTCCCTCAGGGGAGAGCAGCATGGCACACACAGAGGGAGAAGCGGCTGCCCAAAACTCCAGCTCAGACTCTCTGTCCTCTAGGACGTCACAGCCAAGGGCAAACCCACCCCCGACGGACAGAGGACGGTAGGGAGGAGCTGGCACCACACGAGTGGCGTAGTCAAGGCGGCTGGCGGCAGCAAACTCAGCGACAGCGGCAGTAAGAGCCGAGACAGACGACGGAGGGAAACGAGAGTCGGTGACAAGAGTGGCGAGGACACGTGCGGCAACAGGACGAACAGCGCAGTAGTAGTCAGTGATAGGAGTGGGGAGGGCTGGGAGAGAGGACGGAGGAGGAGACGGGAGAACGGACACAGGAGAACGACGACGAGACGAAGAAAGGAGGGCTGTGTGAAGGTCAGTAACAGGGGACGAGTGACGGGCACGTGGAGGACAACGAGTGATCAAGTCGTGACGGACAGAAGGAGGAGGAGACTGAAGAGGCGGAGAAGACCAGACCGCCGGACGGTCGTCAGGAGGAGGCAACGGAGGGACAAACACAGGAGGAGACTGGGAGCGGACAGGAGGAGAGGAGGAAAGGCCAAGGGCCCGCAGGCCACTCACAGGTGGGAACAACCGCCGCTCCAGAGGAAGCTGCGGTGGCGGCTGCGGCTGCTGCTGCTGCGGCGGCGGCTGCGGCTGCGGCTGCTGCTGCTGCGGCTGCTGCTGCTGCTGCTGCTGCTGCTGCTGCTGCTGCTGCTGCTGCTGCTGCTGCTGCTGCTGCTGCCGCTGCTGCTCCAGAAGGTCCAGCACCCGCAGCTCCTGCCGCTCCTGCTCCAACCGCTCCTGCTCCTCACGCTCACGCCGACGGGCAGCCTGGAGACGCGTGTCGTGGCGGTGGGGAGGCGGAGTGGACTCCGCAGAACCAGGGTCTCCAGCGTCAGTCTCCTCAGACTCAGCACCCCCAGAACCAGCACCTCCAGTGCCAGGACCTCCAACTCCAGCACCCCCAGAACTAGCACCGCCAGTGCCAGCACCTCCAACTCCAGCACCCCCAGAACTAGCACCTCCAGTGCCAGCCCCTCCGGCTCCAGCACCCCCAGAGCTAGCGCCACCTGCGCCAGCACCTCCAGCTCCAGCACCCCCAGAGCTAGCGCCACCTGCGCCAGCACCTCCAGCTCCAACACCCAGTGACCGAGCACCCCCAGACCGAGCACCGCCAGCGGCTGCACCTCCAGCTCCAACACCAACCGAGTCCACAGTAACCTGTCGCGGAAGTGCCGAAGGCTGCTGAGGGGACTGTGAGGAGGACTGCGGGGAGGGAGACGCTACCTGACGCGCGACCGAGGGTAGAGGGGTAGCGTGGGACACACCAGACGGGGCAGGACCAGTGGGGGGCGGGGGTACCGGAGGAGCAGGAGCAGGAGGAGGAGAGGGTGCTAGGAAAAGGGGGGGAGGGGGTACCGGGAGACCTCGACAGGGGTACCGGGTGTAGTAGGACACGGACTCGTCGAACCTGACGTCACGGGAGTCGAGGAACTGGTGGAGGGGCGGGTGGTAAAAGGACCAGTCAGCAGAGTCGACCGGGAAACCAAGGAAGACACAGTCGATGGCGCGTGCCAAGAGCTTGTCCGCAGAGGTGTCGCGGACTTGCGCAAGGCAGCCCCAGACTCGAAAGGCCGACCCAACACCAGGGGAACCAGTCCAAAGACTGGTCGGTGAAGCCTCGAGCCGCGAGACACGCGGCTGGAGGTTCAGCTGGTGTGCGGCGTAGCGAACCGCGTAGGGCCACAGAAAATGGGGCGCACGGGCGTGGATCATGGACGTGCGGGCGATGTCCATGACCAAGCCTATGCGGCGCTCAGCAACCCCATTCTGCTGTGGGGACTCTGGCAGCGTCCAGGACTGGGTGATGCCCTGTTCGCCGCAGAATCCGCCGAGAATGCCGGAGCGAAACTCGCCCCCACGATCGGAGTGGAGACAACTGACTCGACGACCACGAGTGCC